TGGCCATGTGGTGGTCTCGGTGGTGTAAGAACCTGGAACATCGACTTCTACGGTAACAGTTCCACCTGGTGGAGCGGAGTGAGTGGTAGTGGTGGTAACAGTGCCCGTCCAAGTAGAGGTCACAGTAGTGGTTGGAGTAGGAACTTCAATTTCAACAGTTCCAGTTCCACCTGTGGTGTTTGGAATAGTTGTGGTAGAAGTGTACGATTCTGGCCATGTGGTGGTCTCGGTGGTGTAAGAACCTGGAACATCGACTTCTACGGTAACAGTTCCACCTGGTGGAGCGGTGTGAGTAGTGGTGGTAGTAACAGTGCCAGTCCAAGTTGAAGTTACAGTAGTGGTTGGAATAGGAAGTAATACCTCAATTGTTTGAGTGTTACCATATCCTGAGCTGAATGGTAATGTGGTAACACCGGTGGTAGTTCCTGTCCAGGTACTAGTGGTGTACACGATTTCATTACCATTTGAAGCTGATTCTCCATTATTGTAATTATTCCAAGTGTATGGACCACCATATGCAATTTCATTTGCACTTCCACATTTAACTGTGTTAACTACAGTAACAGACACAACATCTGTACCTGTTGGTGGAACAACTGTAAGGTCGATGTATGGACGGTATCCACTTGGAACATTGGAGTATGTGACAACGTATTGACCATCAGAACAAGTTCCGGAAATATCAATCAGACCAGCAGTCTCTGGGAAATAGAAATCATTCAAAGAGTTTGAGATAGCAACGTGAGCAGTAGAACAATCGATATTAGCACCGTTAGTGAATATGAAACCGATCGAACCACTCAGGGTTGCGCTTGAACATTGACCACCAATTACAAGTTGTTGTAATCTATTGACAGATGATATAAGACGAGCTCCTACAACTTGTTGATCTGGGTTATCGTTCAATGTAGACCCTGATCCAGCAGTGAATGTAACACTACCAGTAATGTCATGGGTACCATCTGTCCAAGTAATAGAGTTGGAGCCGCCGGTGAAAACAGAAGCAGCTTCAAGGTCGACTGATGAACCACCAAATCCTGCGTTGAAGGTAATTGGGAAGGAAACATAACCTGTTGCCGAAGTCGATGAAGTAACACTAGAACTCAAAGTACACCTAAGTTCAGAGTAATCTGTAGTAACTTCTCCAGAATAGTAATCACAGGTAGCATAACTGACACTGTTGACAGAAAGATCAACTGAAGTGTTACTGGTAACAAACTTGAAAACATTTGGAAGATGTAAAGTAAACGTGTCGCCTGCTGAAGCAGAATCTCCCTGAATACTCCAAGTAACCGTTGCTTCCCAAGCTGGAGATTGAGGTGCTGGATTGTAAGTGGAAGCTAATGGAGTCCATTCCAAAGAAGTGATTTCTTGGAAGATTCCATCGATGGCAGCAGCAGAGGCTATTCCAATCAATAAGAGGTTAGAAATCAATAAATACACCTTAGAAATCATACTTAGTATTATTACGATAGTTGGAAATGAAAATCAAAGTTACAGGACAGTAGGAAGAATTTACGAGTTTATAGGGAGTTGCCTCCATCTTATGGTTCTGCTTTCTGACACAATCAATAATTTTTGACTTTAATTATTCATTCATTTGTTTTGTAATTATTATTCGCATATGCTATTTACTGGGGTCAATGTCAGGAAAACGCTTATGATTGGCGTTTTTATGCTTGCAACAACGCTTGATTTGAGTTTTCGCTGCAGCCAGATTCCTAATTTGGGTGGAAATGTTCTCTGTTCCTTATTTTTTCGTCCGAAAGTGCGGCTTTTAATCCTAACCGAGAACAAAATAAGGTTCTTGGCTTATTTTCATTGCATGTTGATGTATGTTGCACCGCGAAAAATGCCAAGTTTAGCATTTGGGGGCGAATATTTGCAGCAATAAGTTTAATGAAAGAATATGCATATGGCGTACTTAAGGATGTACCACATAATTGTCGCGTCTCATTTGTTTCTAATTTGTCTCAATTAGTTAAGCAGTAGACATACGATAAAAAATTTCAACTGCTTAGGTGACAGTCCTTCTCTGGGGCAGTCGTTTGGGCTTAGTTAGTCTGAATCTACGAAGAAAATACACGTTGAGTTCTCTAACTCTTGCTTGAACTACCTCGGTATGTAATATAAGTCAAGAGAGGAAAAAAGTGATTGAGCTCGTTTATGCTTTTTGATCAACACCTGTCACGGTATGAATTGTAACCTTATTTGATTTGTATGTCGTGCAATAATAATAAAGTAAATTGAGAAAATTTTTAAACTATCCAATATATTTTAGCACAATAAGCACATGAATAGGAATTAATCGAAAAACTTCAAAAATGCTCATAGGTAAACAAAAAAATACGAGACGTAAACTCTAATTTCGAGAACAATGTTCACAAGTTTGAAAAGTCAATACTAGCGTCAACAAAGTTGACCTAACGGGAACATAATGTTGTCTCTTTGAGAGATGACACACCTACGAAATGGGGCCTGGATGTTTTTCCATTGTTTAACACTTGAGCACTCTCTTTTTCAGCTCACAGCATTCCGATGACTAAAAATTCAGGTACAGAGCTTTCAGATTGTTCACTTGAAAAATTGATGAGCCCTCGCCTTTATGCACAAAGATGCCAAAAAAGTCTGCCTAAGTTATTACATGCATGCACAGGAGAAAATATGCAGGGATACAAGGTACGGAAAAAATAAGAACTTGCACATATATCATTGCACTTAATGAAGATGTGACCCTAACAGCTGGCTAGAAAATATTGAGGAAATAAGAATGTGCATACAATTACCCCATTTGCTTTACCCCATTAAGTTAGAAGGCTTGATCATTGTAGTTCATTGATCTTCTTATGCAACTTCATTTCTACAAATTAATTGGCTTGAAAAAGCGTATGGTTCTGAGCTCTTTAGATTTATTTAATACGCTTTGGGAACTTTTGCAGAGTTTACGGATTTCGTAAAGGCAACATAGATGAAATGTTGTCTCTTAAACTCTAAATTCGAGTAGAAACTAGACCCACTACAGTGTAAGATTCTAGTTCCAAACCTTCATTTTAGATGTAAAGCAGTAGATGTACTCTTGGAATGTTTCACAACAAAAAGAGTTGACATACACCAAGATCATTACTAATACAGAGTACATAACAATAGACTCGTGTAAGGGGTTTGGGCCCCCTTACTGTTTCAAGAGTCACATTATGCTATTATCCCTTAGAATCCGTGGAGTTTCTTTTACATTCTTCTTCTCGAGAATTTCTTGCTAATCTCTATGTTTTTACAATTCTACGCATTAGTCGTTTCGCTTAAAGGTTCCTTCTGACAGGTACTGATCTATTTTTAGTAAGAATTTCTTAGCATTATCCACAATTTATTCTAGACTAAATGCTACAGGGCCAACTTCGACGTACGGATACAATAATGAGAAAGCCAACAGTTACCTTCATTTTATTGATCAGTACTAAATGAATCGTTAATCTATTAAGTCATAATTTTCTTCATCCTCTTGTCTTCGCTTTGCTATTCCATGCAGATCAAGTTGGTCCATGCTGGTGTCACCACCGTATGAGTGATTCGGTCTTCCTTTCAAATCTTTGTTAGCATCATAAGTAGCCTTGTAAGGAATTTTAGTAGAGGAGTTCCCAGGAAACCACTTCCAAGATCTGCTGACAATTGGTAACAAGCCTTTATTGTAATTGAAAACCATCATAATTTCAACAATGATGGTTGTCAATAGAAGTAAAAGTGTTAACACTCCAAATGTAACCAAGGATTTCCTACCAGGGAAACTCTCCCCAGGTTCAACTCCCGTATTGTAAGCAGAATCATACTTGGTATACATTCTTATCATCTTAAATATAACATAAGCGCAACCCCCTAAAAATGTAAGCGTTGTAGTTACACTTAGCCATATCCATTCTCTAGTTGTAGCGAGATCACTGAAAAACAACAATATTAAAGTTAAAGGCAACACACATACTGTTAATATAAACTCCACAGATGTTCTTTTACTAACCATAATTACCAAAAATTGCACAGTAAATCCAATAAAAAAGAAAAAATCGAAAATTAGCAATGATCTATGAATAAGGAAAAATCTGTACAACTTCCGTATCTTCATATCTCCTCCAATTTTCTTATACTGAAACCAGCTAACTTCCTTTCTTAGAACAAAAAATATAAGGTAGACTTGGGATATCAAGGTAAGAGCCAAAACGACAATCGTGGCTAGATTGGTGGCCTTCGTTGCTGTTCTCCATCCACCTGTCAAGGCTATAGAGATATTTTGCGACACTTCCAGATACTGTATTCCTGTGTATATCAACATACAAACATAGAAGACACACAACAGGGTTAGAAGCAACATATTCTTGGTATATAAGCCAAATATCGTAAGACCAACCTGATATACAGATGCGAAAATAAATAATGATAAATAGATAGATATTTCTTGGAACCTTGCATTTTCAAGTCCTACCTTATACTTGTCCATCACTGCGTACATGTACAGTTCAAGGAATAACACTAAAGCCGCGCAACAAATGGATATACCCAAAAAGATCTTAGATCCTCGTGTGTACCTATTGAATATGTTAAGGTTATTGTTATTTTTATTGTCCCCTTCAGGGTCATACCCAAGGGCACCTTCATACGAGATCATTGATATATTTTCAGAATTGTTGGTGTAAGTATTAATCAATCCTCCGTCCTCTTCTGGAAAGTTTCCATTCCTGCTCAAGCTCGGGGATCTCGCTTGAGCCGGGTATGTGGGTTCTCTACCGTAAGGTACCTTTAATTGATCTTTCTGGACATCTTCGTCTTCATTCATATTTGCGTACTGGTAGTAGTTGAGGTCCAGTTCAGTCCTTCCAACCGTTGAAAAGGGGTTTAAATCTGATCCATTGTCGAGTGTTCCTTCATATATGGACCCTGAAGGAGTATCAGAACTATTGTGATTGTAGGACATATTTGAGCTTGCCAACGAGACTTCTTTATCTGAGCGTCGAATAGCGTCCTTTGATTGACTCGAGTATCTAAGTTACCTTTGCGAGCCGTTTGGTGTACCTAGCTCTGGAACACTAGAGCCTTTATATCGAGCTGCATGGTAGTCGACTTTTGCTCGCTTAATTGTGATTCCGTCCCGTTTTTCTGCGCACATGATCACGATTAGGCAGTGTGAATGCGAACATGGAACGTAACTGAGTGACTATTAATAGAAGTAGTCAGTCAACATCAACAGAATGTGTAAGGCTGAAGCAGATGATGAGATGTGTGACTTTTTCCAATTGACACATCTTGGGGGAACTTAAAGTGGAACTACGTTGAAAAAGAGTTTGTTTTCTTGTATTCTATTTTTATTATGTAACTTGCTACTAGAACCCTACATAGTCACATGCCTTTTCCACCACTACACCTTCAGACTCTTCCTGTAAATCCAACCAGGTAACCTTATCCAATCTCTCACCATTCGCCTGTAAAACATTTGAAATGCTATTCTCTATTACCAATAGGCATATTGCATCGTATCCACCTGCCCCTGGGACCACACCCCCTAACACACCTTCGATCGAACTGCAATCGTCGAGTAAATGTGTTTGCTCTATGGGCTCGATCTCTGCTCCGGAAAATTGGGTTAACTTGCGGAGATTTTCTCTGATCTTCTTAATTGAATCGATAAGGCTCTTAAATGGGCCCAAATCTTCTAATTTTTCCCCTCCATCTGAATCTACTACTTTGGCGTGGGCTAATACCTTTAAGATGCTTTCATATTTTTCAATATCCTGTTCGTGTAAGCTTTGTAAACTTTTTAATGACTCTATAAATTGAACATTTGCATTGTTCAAGTCAAAGTACAATTTATCACTCTCGGCTTTATTATCAGCCTTCCACTTCAAAACTTTGGATACTAATTTAGGGGTTTCCGAGCCTCCTTTAATATCTCCCATTAGGAGCTTGATTTTGGGTGGTAATGCAACTGGTTGAGCACTGAAAACCCACTTCTTTTCAGCAAGAGCTTTGATAGCTTTACGATCATTAACCAAAAAGTTCTCTCTTTGAAACAACTCATTTAAAATCTCAGGATCAAACCTCTGGTAGATGATTGACCCAAAGGTGGCAGCTGCAACATCAAAGCCTGATCCGATCTTCTTCTGAGCATAGCAGTGGGCAATCTGGGCAATGTTATGCACTAGACTCTTCAATTCGTACACCTGGTCCTCTTGCTTCTTGCCCAAGAAGAAGGCTAAGATTGCAGTTGTCAATACAGTGACCAATCCTGCAGATGAGCCTAGGCCAGTCTTGGCTACTCGCTCGATAGGATTGTTGTGGAAAAGGAAAGATTTTGACCCATTTTCAGATTTCCTGAGTACAGTATTATCTTGAGAGTGGTACCCAGGGTCAGAATATATGGTAATCGACAATTGGAAGGGCAGTTTAGGCTCTAAGTAGGCAAGTACTATGCTAATAGTAGCTTCTATGAATGGGTTCCTTCTTCCCTGGGCTTCAGAAACAGAGCTGAAAGTTAGGTCTGGAAACGTGAATTCCCAGCATCCACCAAATTGGGGAGATTTGATGGTTATGGACGACTCTGTGGGAGGAGTTGAATCTTGTGCAAGTGCAGAACTTTTTTCAACTACCGCGTGCATTCTTGACGAGAGAGCAGTGACATAGGCAGGGTATTGGGGATCCAAGACCAAAAACCCTCCGGCCAAAAAGGCCTTACCAGGAGCACTGAATGCGGACATGATATCTAGGTAAGTTATTGAACGAAAACGACAACTCTACAGCGCAATGATTGGGTTTCCCCTCCGTCTTCTTTCTGCACCGCTTGCGTCCTCGACTGAAATTTCGGAGGAGCCCCAAACTGAAAAATTAGGACTCTCCTGCATATAGACGCGATATGTGCAATCTAAAAAAACGATGGAACCGGTTCTGTGGTTGACCAGAGGCACCTCTATTAGCTCCAATAAAACGTCTTGTTACTCTGTAATACTTGCTTTTGGACGCATTTTTGAACTGCTTGAGAGATGGCTCTACCTGAAGATGAAATTTCCACACTAAAGAGTACCAAGATCATTGGTATTATAGGTCTTGGTGATATGGGATACTTGTACGCTAAGAGGTTTGGAGAGGCCGGATGGAATGTGGTTGGATGTGATAGAGAAGAGCTCTTTGAGCAAACATCGGCTAAATTTGCCAATGAGCCGTTCAAGGTTCTCCAGAATGGGCATTACGTGTCCAGAATCTCGGACTATATTATTTATTCTGTGGAGGCTGAGAACATCGCCAAGATAGCCTCCATCTATGGGTCATCCACCAAGTTTGGATCAATTGTAGGGGGCCAAACTTCTTGTAAGGGACCTGAAATACAGGCATTTGAGAAATACTTACCTGCAGATACAAAGATCGTTTCGTTACACTCGTTGCATGGACCTAAAGTGAACACCACTGGGCAACCATTGGTGTTGATTAAGCACCGTGCCAGCGATGTGGATTTTCTATTTATTGAAGCACTTGTGTCGTGTTTGAAGTCTAAGGTGGTTCACCTATCGGCCATAGAGCATGACAAGATCACAGCAGACACTCAGGCTGTAACCCATGCAGCATTTCTTTCAATGGGTACTGCTTGGCACTCGATCGTAGCATATCCATGGGAAACACCAAGATGGCTTGGGGGGTTGGAGAATGCCAAGATCAACATCTCCATGAGAATCTACTCGAACAAATGGCATGTTTATGCTGGTTTGGCAATCACAAACCCGGCAGCTCACGACCAGATCTTGCAATATTCCAATTCTGTCTCCGAGTTGTTCACCTTGATGATCCAAGGTAAGAAGCAGGAGTTGGAAGTCAGATTGCTAAAGGCCAAGAACTTTGTATTCAAGAACTACCTTAACAGTAAGAAGGACGGTGACGATGAAATGCTTTTGAACGATGAGATCTTGGAGAAATACTCGCTCAGTAAGGTTCCTCCTGGCGGTAGACAGCCAAACTCCCACTTGTCCTTACTTGGTATAGTGGATAGTTGGTTCCAGTTGGGTATTGTCCCCTACGATCACATAATCTGCTCCACGCCATTGTTCAGAATATTTTTGGGGGTCACAGAGTACTTGTTTTGTACGCCGGGGCTATTGGAAGAATGTATAAACGTTGCAATTGATGACTATTCATTCAGACATGATGATTTGGAGTTTACGATTGCTGCTAGAAACTGGTCCAACATTGTTTCCTTTGGGAACTTCGAGCTCTACAAGAAGCAGTTCGAAAAGACCCAAGACTTTTTCAAGCCGAAGCTTGCTGAAGCCAATGCCTTGGGTAACGAAATGATTAAGACCATTCTAGAAAGAGTGAAAGAGAAGGAAGAAATGACGCAGACTAATTTATAATGAAATACTATGATAAATCGCTATATATGTAAATGTACATACATACATAGGCTATGTAAATATTAGAATATGTATACATACACTATAATTACTTAAATATTTTAGTGGGGGAAAGATGAAAGTGAAGTTCTTGGAAAAGTGCAAGGCACTCGAAGCTGGCTGAAGTTGAAGTTGAAGTTGAAGTTGAAGTTGAAGTTGAAGTTGAAGTTGCAAGCATCAAGATGATCTGGAAGACATGAAGCAGAAGCAGAGGCTGGAATGCTGGAAGCAAGAAAGCTGGAATACCGGAAGCAAGAAGGCTGGGATGCTGGAAGCATAAAGGCTGTATTAAACGCGTTCCCATATTGTATTATTCTGAGTGTTTTATGGCTGATTAGCGTAGTGCTTCGTATCTCTTTAGCAGGATTTTGCGTATTACAACTGCTCGTCCTTGATCACGTCCATCAACCAGTCCAAACCTTCGGTCAAACCCTCGCCCTTGATGGCACTGGATGCAACAATCAGCCAACTCCTGTCCTTCAAGTCCGTCAAGTTCAAAGCCTGGCTAACCTCGGCAGCAGTCATGGCGCCCGGCTGGTCCTGCTTGTTGGCGAACACCAAGAGTGCCGAATCCAACAATTCTTCTTCTTTCAACATCATGTGGAGCTCTTTGCTAGCGATGGCAATACGGTCTTTATCTGTCGAATCAACCACGAATATCACAGCAGCAGTGTTGCTGTAGTAGCACCTCCAGTAGGGACGAATGGACGTCTGGCCACCCAAATCCCATATATTTAATGTCAAGTTTTTATATTTTAACGTTTCCACATTGAATCCGATTGTTGGCTTAGTAGTCACCACTTCCCCCATTTGTAATCGGTACAAGATGGTGGTTTTACCTGCACCATCCAACCCGAGGATCAAAATTCTTATATCTTTATTGATCCCCCAGAGCTTACCGAATATGTTAGTGAAGCTGAATACTTGGCCCATGGTTTACTGCCTATTTGATGTGGTTTATGGTGTGGGTTGAAGAGTACCCTGCCCTTGAATACGTAGCTGTGAATTTTGATTTTAATGACGAGAACAAAAAAAAAAAAAAAAAAAAAAAAAAATAAAAATAAAATAAAAATAAAATAAAATGCTGGAGAATGCGAAGGTAACGTGAGCAGGTGCAGGGAACAGTGCAACAGGGAACAGTGCAACAGGGAACAGTGCAACAGGAGCAGTAGAACAGGAGCAGTAGAACAGGAGCAGTGGAACAGGGAGCACAGGGTGCAGCATAGCATATAAAGGAGCGTGATGATTAGATGGGAGCGTGAGAGCAGGGTGCTGAAAGATGTCGCTAGTGGAGAATATTGTTTGAGAAGAGCGCTGTGCTCCGTTGCAGTGGTAGTGCTTCAGTGCGTGTTCCGTATTCCTACCATTTAGCACTAGTAAAATTCGCAGCTGTGCATCACTGATTGTTCTCGCCATTACATCACTATTCATTCTCCCCACTACCTGCTAATAATTATACTATTATTCTCAGCATACCAATGTCAGCATACCAATGTTGCGTTGTATGGGTGTAGGAGGCACTCTGCCCAACTTTCCACGTTCTCGAGCTCTTCCCTACATATAGTTCCTCTTTCAGTAGGCAGTGTGGTGCGGTTTTCGGCTTCTCTTTAGGCTTCTAGAAGGTAGTAGACGCTATTTCTGGTCATCTAGGGAAGGAACGGGCCGCCAGTGGTTCAATTTTTTCCCGCGCTAGCTCGCTAGGCCCTAAAATATACTTGTGATCACTAGTGCAGCACTAGTGCAGCACCAGTAGAGCATGGCCCAACACCGTCTCAGAGACACAGTACTGGCACTGCTTAGGAGTGAAACCTTTCCATAAACACCTCATTGCTCCTATCCTCTTTCTTCCCCCCTCGCCCCTCCGCCCTCTCTGGCCCACTCGGTGCCCACTCGGTGCTCACTCGGTGCCCTCTCGCTAGGCTCCGTACACCCACTGCACCCCACATCACCTGACCTGGATCATCCTTTTTAAATTACCACCGTACAAACATCAAACGTTTCTCCGACTAGTTGTCTCTTCTTCACACACACACCAGAACCCTGCCGTAGATATGACTAAAGGGATCTTGAGAAACAAAAACGAAGCTGAAACAATTGACCACAGCGGCGCCCTCGAGGCCGCTGCGGAGTTGGACCGTCAGGAGGTTATCCGCAACACCAGGTTGAACGCCCTGTTGACCTCGCCCAAGGAGAAGTCAAAGGGGGACATCCTCAGGGAGAAGATTGCCGAGCAGAAGTCCCACCTGAACGAAGGTGGCGCTGCCCCAGTAGGAGAGCATTTGAAGTGGGATGAATTGAACTTGTACAAGACCGAGCAAGAGAAGTGTTCCACTATGAAGATCGATGAGCCCAAGACCCCATACGAAGGCGGCTTCAACCCGAACGGGGAGTACTACAAGGAAGACGAGGATGAAGATATCCCTGGGTTCGAATTGGGCGAGGGTGAATTCGACCAGGAAGCTGCAAATAAAGAGTCGTCGATGAACGGTGGTGAGATAATAAGGAATGAAAACCCCGAAGAGGGAGAAGAAGAGGAAGAAGCCGAAGAGGTTGAAGAAACGGCAGAAGAAAGGCACAAGAGGTTCGAAGAGATGAGAAAGCAGCACTACCACATGAAGGGGAATGCCTTACACCAAGGAATACAGATCTCTGACGACGAGGACGAGGCGTAAACTGCCCTCAAAACGTCTACGATCTAATAAAACAGCACACTCTCTCGTTCAGTATATACTACATGTAATTATAATCAAAACGTCTACGATCCAGATCAAACAGTACACACTACATGTAATCATAATTAAAACGTCTACGATCCAAGTAAAGCAGTACTCTCTCTAGTTCAGTACACTACATGTAATCATAACTAAAACGTCTACGATCCAAGTAAAACAGTACTCTCTCTAGTTCAGTACATACTACATGTAATACATAATTAAAGCTACAACTATGAAGCCCGCTGATGGAGCCTGTAGATTTTAGAGGAGCCGACGTCGGAACAGCACTAATCTCTCCCAAGAAACTCTACGTCAGTTCAGCCTGGCTTATCTACTTTGTTGTGTATTTATTTGCTTGTTTCTTATCTGCCTCGTTCTCTTCTATAATTATTTAAAGTACTTTAATGAACTTGACACTCCCAACTCTGCTGCAACATCAACAAATGCTTGCTTGACAGTGGCAGCGTCAGCTCCAGTGACCTTGGCTGCAACTTCTCCTAATTGAACATCGGAGAACTTCTCGAGCAAGTAGTCAACATCTTCTTCAATACCGGCGGATTGAGCAGCATCACCAAAGAAGTCAACATCCTTGACTGAACCTCTAACAGCTCTCTTGTTCTTCTTCTTGGCAGCCTTGGCAGCTTCCTTAGCCTTTTTGGAGTTTTGCTTAGAAGCAGCGGCATCTTCAGCAGCCTTCTTAGCGGCTTCTTCCTCAGCGGCCTTCTTGGCAGCAGCAGCTTCAGCAGCTTGTCTTGAGCCAGCTTCTCTTTCCCACTTCTTTCTTTCCTTTTCCTTCTTAGCTTCATCCTTGAATGCCTTGATTCTTGGATCTTCCAAGTGAGCTCTCTCAACCAAGTCAATGACTCTCTTGTTGTCTTCTTGCTTGAACTTCTTTCTGGCAGCGATGTTCTTACGCTCAATGTAACGCTTGTGGTCTCTGTTGGCAGTGTCATCTGGAACATCGTCATCCTTGAACTCAAAGGTCTTCCAAGAGTCAAACTTACCCCAGAAGTTGTAGAACTCGTCAACTTGTTCCTTGGTAGCGGAAGCGTCTCCTAATAATGGAACTGGTTGCTTCTTGGAGAATCTGGCTTCGCTTTCGAAGACTGGTCCAAATGCTTCAAAGAAATCGTACTTGGACTTGGCTGGTGGTGGTAAGACGTCGGCGTTGGTGTCAACGGAATCGTACTGTTGTCTCTTGTTGGAGTCCAACATAATTTCAAATGCCTTTTGGATAATCTTGAAGAAACCGTCCTGTTCTAATCCACCAGAAGCAGACTTCTTATCTGGGTGATGCTTGAGGACTTGCTTTCTGTGGGCTCTTCTGATTTGGTCTTCGTTGGCTCTGTATCTTAACTTGGAAAGACCCAAGACGGCGTATAAATCAGCAGACTTCCATTCTCTTGGATCGTGTGCTAACAAGTCTTCGTCTTGGTCTTCATCACCAATGTCGTCGTCTCCGTTTTCTTGAACAACCGTGACGTTCTTTTCGGCTTCCAACTTTTCAAACTCGGACCAGGTGTGGCCTCTTAAGGTTCTTGAAGCGTGGGCAAGGAACAAAGGTCCAACTGGTTCAATTGGACGACGGGTTGGCTCGGTGTACTTGTGGACGGCCTTGAAGGTTTCCGATCTGGTACCACTTGGTAAGGTAATAGACATCTTTATGGAGGTATTGGGGGTCTCAAACGTGTATTGCTGGTCAAGAAAGCACTCTACTTGATTCCATCAAGGTGGAAATTGAATAAAAAAAAAAAAAAAAAATTTTAGAAACGATGGAAGTCGTGCGAGGGCCAAGTTTGGGCTAGTGGTTGCAGAGTTTGGTGGTGAAGGTGGGAGGAAGAATGTGGTCGGGAAGGAGGGACCAGAGATGGAAGGAGTCGCTGGCAGAGGAAGGGAGGCCATGGGTGTTGCTTCTGGGTGAGGGAACGCTTGGAAAAAGTGGAAAAAAAGGGACCAAAGGGGAGAAATGGTGGGGGCATTGCTGTGTGATTCCTTCTCTACTATGTAGATTATGCACGATTTTTCATGGGCACTAGAAAAGTATATGAACAGTGGTGCTCTGTTCTGCACACCCAAAGTAATTTGATTAAAAATTGGCTTGCTATGTTTGTGCGTACAGCCAGAATGATAGTGAACCATAGGCGAAGCGGAAAACTGGAAGAATTTGCCGTGTTGGTGCATACACTGTTCATAGAGTAGACTACTCTGCATGAGTAAAGAACTGCGCAGTGACAAGCAGCGTACTATGTAGTGGTACTGTAATGTGCCCATGACCACCACGCCGATATATCAGTTACTACCCTTCTTACCCTTATTCCATTATGTTTATTACTATTCTTTTATCTTCTATTACTATTCTTTTAGTATTATTATTATCCTAGTATTACATCATTGTTAATATTGATCTATACACTTCAATTGGCTCAGCGCACTTTGCTCTGGAACCTTACTCTTTTATTGCTGCCATGTCTAGCACCTCTATACTGGCATCGTTCTTCTTTTTGATCAAAATATCACTGATTTCTTTATAGTTAACGGGATCAATAATCCCAACACATTCAAACACTCTTGCATTGGGAGTGTTTTCCTCTTCTACGTGGTCAATTAATTCCTTAATCTGATCATCAAAAAGCTGTTTTTTCACTTTGGTGGCTACAGTGATCTTCACCTTCATTTGCGCCCTCGCGATAGGCACTATTTGCTTTGCTACAAGTAATTTAATGGCATCTAAGGCTTGTTGTTTAGTAGGCTTGGTAGGACTTAAGTGGAATTTTAATTGGTCTAAGCACTTTTGAATCATAGAAGGTGGGTATCTTTTCTTAGTTTTAGGGTTTATACACTTGGTGGATATGATTGTTAAGAACTCGTTAGTCTTCTGCAGGATGTTTGCCTGCCTTTCCTTCTCATTGAGCTGGATCTCACCCTTGTCAAGGATTTCCTGGATTATGGTATCCACATCTGTGCTTCCAAAGGCGGTGAGTAAATCCTCGTTACTAGCCACTTGCCCCTTGGAAACATTGGTGAACACCTGTGGAATTTGTAATACCTCATCCAAGTCCTTCTCCACCTTCAGTCTCCAGTCCTGTACTTTGTTCTGATAACAGGCTATTTCAAATCTTTTTTTGCCCTTTTTCATTCTAACCATAGAAACATTGGTGAGCTTGATCTGAGACGCTGGCTGATTAATCGGCATCTTGGCTAGTTATCTGGTAAGGTGCAATCATATGGGAGATGAGCTCTTGGTGTAGTGTGAGAATTTTATTAAGCATGGTGCATATGTATGAGGTCCTGCACATAAGAGGTTGCAATATGTATGCACCACTGTAGAAGTGGAGGTTGCAACTTATCATTCAGCTAGGTTGGTTTAAGGAAGTGGTTGTCAATTCGTACGCTGTTCTTTGAAGACGGACTGTAGACTTGGAAAGGATGAAGTTTGGTACTGGAGTGTTAGACTTTTGTTTTTTTTTCGATTTCTTGCAGATAAGTGCTACTAATTTCACTGAATACCAGCATTGGCCAATTCAGTCTATGGATGATCTGCCGAATTATACTATGTTGCTTGAATGCAGAGAAGGAGGCAAGAGACGATACTTTTTGAACTTACAAAGATTATTTAAACTAGAGATTTCAATTTTAGAATGATACTGAGTAAGTAAATTGCACTAAAGTTGCAATGATCTCCTATTAGGCATCGTTGTGTTTCATACAGATGTGTAGTTCATCAGCTTAGATCACCATTGGGTATTACCCATCCTGACCGGCTAACAATTGGATATTAAAGGGTATGGACCACCCTGACCAACTCCCACTTGGGTGCAAGTACATCGTGAAGTGCACACATAGTTACTATCAGTAGACCGCTTGTTTATATGGGGAAATGGGCACTGAACAGGAAAAGAATAGAAAGAGCTGTAAGTGATGGGTAGAGTGTGCTAGAGCTGTCCCTGATCAAAGGAAATTCTTTGATTGGAATATCAGCCATTCTGAGCGCCAGAAATCTTAAATCAAGCTTAACTATTCGTAGCTTCAGACATTGATACCAGTCTTAGGCGAGAGACGTGGCTACGAAACATGCTAGTTTTAGAAACAAATTAAACCTTCTATTGGTAACCTTTTCTCTCCAAGCCACGGATGAGTCAAGATCGGGTTGCTGATCTTGGGCAACTTGGGAAATTCCAAAGTGAACTGCTCAACCGCTCTCCACTTTCAAAAGGTGCCTGAGGAACAGTAAATCAGCTATGAGACTAGCCCTCAAGGAGGGCAGAAAAGCCACCAAACATTGAGTCTACACAACACTACTCCTACACTGCTCCAGTCAATGACTACTATAATTAATTTATTCTTTTTTATTTACTTTTGTTTCTTCATTTCTATCTATAAAAAAACACTATGATGTAGAATTGAGAGGATGTTCCTCTGCATACTTGCAAAAATACTTAGATTTGCTCTGATTTTCTTGTTTCTTATGATCTTACGATTAACCTATCTATTCGTCATCTTCATCTTCATCTCCACCATCGAGGAACTTACCCTTAACGTCGTGCCACAACTTACCCTTGTTATGGTTTTCGTACCACTTGGTAACGGCAACGTCAAAGAAACCTTGGAAGGCGAAAGCACCTCCGAAAATGGTTGCGACGTAGATAGAGTTTCTTTGGAATAAGGAAGCAATAAAAGACTAAACGTTTGTTAGTACATAGAGGAAAGCTGAAAAAAAAAAAAAAATATTCACTGAATGAATGAATGAAATAGGGCCAGCTGAATATATCGAATAAGCACCTGGATATCACCTGTATTATGCCTCCTGTTCCTCAAATGTATCCATGTCTATATATACACTACAATTCATTCATAAAACCTCTGCCTCCCTATACATTTTCAGCGAGTTTCTTATGTACACCTTTTCTTCAGCTGAGCATGTCACCACACCCAACTTCCTGTCAACTGGCTGTGAAACAGGTTCACCACTGACGCCATAGTTCTCTCCAATTATCACATAAAAACAATTCTGGTGACAATCTCCACTAGTCTTGCTTCAACTCCACATCACTACATACCATTTTGATGAGTTGTGCTCTTAGTTATCTAGTTTGAATAGTCCTCTCTCGATTCTCTTGATTACTTTTGCAAGTGTTTCGTTTTCTCATCGAGTTGATTGGCTGCGATGTGTGCAGGATTAATATACTGCATATAAACTGTCAGTGTTCCATAGAAGGCTGCCCCAGAAGAGGTTACGGTTGATATGGCCGTTTCAGCAGAGAAGAGGCGGAGTAGATAGATCTGATGACTATTTGCTTGGTTGAAGGACACTAGGAGCACTAGGGACGGAGAAAATATAGAAAATTTAGTTTGCTGACTCCCTGGTGCTACCATGAAATGTCACCTGCATAGAACACTCTCTGTGCCTTGGACTAGGGTACACTGGCAAGAGATACACAGCATGGAGCAGTCTCTGTGGCCCTGGAGCTCTGTAGTATAGACTTTGTCACTAGCAAACATCACAGTATAGAACGCTCTCTTTGACCATGCACTCGCGATTTCAGTAGCCATTGACTCAAATATCTATGGACTTCAGTAGCCATACACCTCTGTTAGCCTTAGAGTTGTATACATAGAGGAAACAAAGATACTACAAAAAAGATAGAGTTGCATCCAGCCTGTTCCATTTACTTCGTTTGTCATTCATTCTATTTCTCTAAACTCACTTCTTTCAACTCTTCGGTCACTTCTTTGACTGGTTCACCGGCTGGAGCTGGCGATGCAGCCTTTCCTGCACCTGGGTAATGGGTACCCTTGTTCTTAGGCTTCTTTTCCTTCTTGACCTTCTTGACTTCTTCAACGTGGTAAGCAGCAACTTCGACCTTTTGGAACTCAGGGTCGCTGTCGAAGGCCCTCTTGATTGGTTCTAACAACTCAACAATCTTCTCGGCTACACCAGCCTTCAAATCAATTGGTCCCAAGGCTCCAGATGAGTAGTCTTCCTTCAATTTGTCGATAGAATCGTACGAAATTGGTCCACCGTATTGCTCAGGTCTGTCGATAGAGAAGTCAAATACTCCTTCCTTGTCCGCCTTCAATTCTTGGATTGGTTGCACGACATGCTGCAAGAATGCAATAAGACCATTGCCCTCAACCTCACCAGGTGCACAGTAGGCACTGTTAACTTTCTTCTTGATGTTCTTTGGGGTCTCCAAAATATCAATCTTAGAGTTTGGATCAGAAGCACTCATCTTACCACCTTGGCCCAACCCTGGAACCATTGGGTTCATCAAGTGTGCTCTCTTTTTGTAGCCAACACTTGGTAAGTTTTCTTCAGCCAATACGAAAATCTTTCTTTGATCAACACCACCAAATTGTACGTCAACACCCAAGTGCTCTTCATCAAGTGCTTGCATCAATGGGTAGATCAATCCAGATAATAATGGGTTGGCCACTTGCTTGACCACATCGGCACCAGCTCTCTTTGAATCGGTAAGCGAAACTATGTTGGACAACTTGAAGATGTCCATGGTATACTCAGGGGTTAATTGGTACGAAGATCCAACGACAAACTTCAACTTTTCGATAGGAACTCCGATACTGGTCAAGATAGACTTGACAATGTACTTGTAGTACTGAGCTCTGTGCGTCACAGTCTCCAATGGGGCCTTCATGTTGTCCAAGTAGGCGTGCAAGTCAGCCAACAAAACAGTAACTTCGCAGCCAGCTTTTAAGAAATGAGCTAACTTGATCATAGGGACAAAGTATCCACAGTGTGGCTTACCAGTGGGCGCTGTCCCCCAGTAAAGCTTCACTGGTCTTTTTTCAACCTCAAGCACATTTTTAATGATTTGGCCGTTAAGGGTTTCCTGGAGATTCTTGGTAATCAAACGGTATTGCTCCTGCGGGTCAGTTACAACAGACATATCGAGGTTTAGACTAGTTTAAGTGGACTATAAGGTGACAAAGTCGTGTTCATTTTTTTTTTCAAGTTTTTTTTTACGCCAAATGTTGGAGTTGATATTCCTGCATATAAAGAGATGAGTCAAGCTGCAGCTGGGAGTGGAAGGACGGCTGAGAGAGAAGATATGGCAGGATGTAGCAGGATATGGCTGTGGTCAGCATTATTTGAAGATTCAGTGTGACTTAGACGCTATTTTATGCATTGAGGATTCTTTTCCGCTTGAAATTGACGCTATTCTAAGTAGAATTAGTGGACTTTCATCTCCAGTACCATTCCTTCAGGGGTAGATTCCTCCTACAAGTTTTGCACCCAAAATGCACTTTGGACTATGAGAGAAACCAGCATGCTATGATATCTCCACATAGCTTTTCTCGTGCCTTTCCGTTTGTTACAGTACTGTGGTTAGCAGTGTTTATTTCCTTTAATCTTATTTTTTTGTTCCTTCCCTTTGCTACGAATACTATATACCACATCAACTCTATAATGTATCCCAACCTCCAGCATCCATCACACTATCGAGCTTTCTTGCTACATAGTTTGGTATATCATGCTGTAGCCAGACATTTCTAATGAAGTCGTCATATCGAGATTTCATTAAGTAGAGCGTCTTCATGCGCTTGGATTCCGACGCCAACTCCCCGTGTTGGTCCAAATACGGAGCATTGTAGAATGAACCTCCATTCTTATGCATAAGGAGGACGCAGCGTTCCTTAGGAAGGAGAAATATACCTATGCTGTTAGAGCACTCTTTGCGGTAGTGCGTTGTACATTGACCCTCTTTGCATCCCAATGCTGATTTTTGCACGTCAACTACTTTACCACAAAATAAGCAAATCGCTGGATTCTCGATACATCGATGAGGATTGTCGTATATATCCAGATAATAATAGTTAGTGAAGAAGAAATCCAATCTCTCCGGCAAGTCAATAAGTCTAATTAACCCAGGGTATTCGAGTTTCTTGCGCAAATCAGCAACTTCTCCTTGCGGATGTCTTGACGTACCAGCAGTATATTCTAGATGGTTTAAGAATAAATTGAATTTGGTATTTTCAAACGTTCCCTGTTCTGAAAATTTCATCACAGTCTCGGCAAACAAGTCAGCATGCATAAACTTGCAAATCCTGTCGGCTTCAAGTTTACTGCCTTCTTCGTCAGATAGTAATAAATCCATATTCTCAGTATCCGCACATGAAGAGAACGCGTAGATAGCTGCTCTCCTGTAAAATGGAGTAGTAGCTTTAAGAACCATTGAATATATAATTTTTCCAAATTCGACTTCATTTTCGATATGACAATCAACACAGTTACTATCAGAAATATCAATATCTCCGTCTTTATTCTTCTTTGAGGGGCTGCTCTGAAGTCTCTTGAACATCTTAGTGCATACAAGGGCAGCTTCGTCAGATATGCCACCAACACTAGGAACATCCAATATTGAATAGCTTCTATGGTTTTGAAAGAGTTTGTTTTGAACTATTTCACTGCAAATAATATTGAAGTTTTGGATCACTTGTCCAATGATACAAATTTTCAATATTGAATTAAAATCAAATCCTGATCTTGGAAGTGGGAAAATTGTTACTAAGATTTCAAAGAAATCTCTTTCCAATATAGAAACATTGAAGTCATCCTTACTTAAAAAGAGCAAATTTGCCAATAGTTTAATGTAAAGCTCTAATCTTTGGTTTTTTTCCATGGGCAATTTAGACTTCAAAAGAAGACTAGTATTTCTAAACTCATTTAACGTTCTTAAATTAATAAGGGAATTGTTTGACAATTGAGAAATCACAAGACTTCCATTTGATGGTACACCTCTTAACCCAATTTCTGTCGACTTTATCGTATTTACAAGTATAGCAGTCGAGTCAACTTTGAATGATTGTGGGAATGTTAACAGTGACAATGTTTGGAACATGTTAGATAAAAGTAGCCGGAATGATTGACTACTTGAAGATAATTGATTTGTATTAGTGGATATTTCCTTTGTATGCTGCTCAATCATCTCCGTTGCTGTTTGTGTCAAGCTTACGGAATCTATAATATCCATATTTGTTAGCTGCAAGAAGTTCTCAAACCAATCTTTATCACGAGCGACTTCAATACTAAGATTTTCAAACGGAGATTTTTTCTCCTGAACAGTTTCTGAACTCGGATTCAAAAATGTTGATAATTTTCTCTTATTAGAACTCCATAAAATCGGCATGAACATGTTGTTGATCGATTTGCACAATGGACACAAGAATTCTTTCTGATCAATATTTTCAGGCGTGTTTCTAGTAATTTGATTCAGCTTTCCCCTACTTGTATTCAAGTAGTTGAGATAGCACTGGAAGTGCATTCCATGACCACAGCTTGATGATACCAATTTGTTGTCAACATTCTCGTGCAGCGTAAAGCCAGGACCAACGACATTATTGTCTTTAATTTGCTTCATATAGCTATTCCAGCCACTACTGTTCAACTCAGTATTATTTTCAGTATCACTTAAATCTAGGCACGCATTGTCGGAAAAAGATTTCAAAAACCAATAATCGTCCTCAAACGGAACAGTCCTAAATTCTGACGACTTGGAAATACTGGTAATAATACCAAATGGACCAGCATCTTCAGCAGCATTCTGACAGAGCAAACAATGTGGCTCGGGAAACTTCCACCCTACTAGATCGCTGTCATCATCAGGTTCTGTGTCAATTTCCATATCAATATCACTGACATCTGGATTTGTACTAAGGCTAGTTGTTGCACTGCTTGAATTTGTTGAATTTGTATTTAACGAGGCTGCCAAGGTGCTGGCCCTATTTTTTTCAAGAAACAGGGTTTGTTGCTTTTTAAACTTCGCCATAAGTTTCTTCTGTCTATCTTTAGCAATTCTCTTCTTTCTCTCTTGTTCATTTTCATCAAAAGCGGTGGTATCATTTTCTTCTAACATCTTGAAATTAAAATCGGGGATTGCAGCTTCTAAAGTACTGTATAATGGGTACTTCCCATGCTTTTCAAATACCCTATATACGGATCTAATCTTAGAGTGATGATCTTTAAAAGCTTCGGAACAAAGAAACTTATACAACAATGTGGCCACAGATGTTGTATCATGCTTTTGAATGAATATATCATAGAATGTGCCATACTTCTCCACATCAATAGTATTTTCGTAAGAGCAGATATGGATTAGATGAAGGACAGTTTCCAATAAAGATTCGGTCTTTTCAGCTCCTTCTTGTAAAATATATTTCAATGTTTTGATCATAAACTTTTGAAAATAAATAGAAACCGCAAAATTTCCCACAAATTTATAAGCACCTAATACTTCTGACTGGTTAATTTTCGGCTTTACTACAATTTCGCTCTTTGGCTTACCAGTCTTTTTATGTTCTCTATCTTTAACAAACTTAATGGCATCATCTTTCGTGTTTGTGGTATAATTGAAGTAATACGGGTTAAGTTTATCAAAGTTTTCTTCTTTCAATTTGTAAACCCCTATGTCCTTTGCTCCACTTGGAGAGACGAAAGTAGACATATCCTCCAAGATCATGTCAAACTTCTTTTCTGAAGTAATATGATCAGGAATTTGAGCACATAGTTTGGTATAGCTCATTGCTCCAAAGCATAGATTATGAATAATTTCATTGCGTATTCTTAATTCGCTAATCTTTTCGTTGCTTAAATTTCTCAAATAAAGGTCTTCAGTTAAAACATGAATAAAGAAATTCAAACACTCTTCGATCATATAAGGAAGGGTATTTTTATCATAGCTACATTCAGTTTGCTTCAGTACTTCTTCGCCACTATTGTCTAGTTCCTCGAGCTTTGCAGGCTCACTATTGTTTATCCAGCCATCTAATAAGAGCCATCTATTCAATAATAGGAAACATACAAGGTTTGGTGAATTGGTATTGATAAACACTTGGATCAAAAATAAGTCCCTCATGTACCCACTTTCTCTCAATAACGTATTCCTGTAGAGCTGTAATTGAGATCTTACACTAAACCCATTTCTCACCCAAAACCCTGATTTAATTTGAGACATCAAGACAATTGTACGAATTGGATATTCAAATATTGGGGTGCTCTCAGTAATTCCACTAGAGATGCTTGTAATTGATTGAAGTTGCTGACTTTGCGATTGCAGCCTTGCAGCTTTCTCGAATATACTTCTAATTTCATCAGCTGACGAGAAATTCGAAACTTCCATTAGCCAAGATAAAAAAGAATGTATTGGATGTAAAAAACTAACCTTTTCTTTGTCAATGTCATACTTTTGTATTACACTACCCTCTATTTCTTCTGTGATAGTTCTGATACTTCTCGTCTTATCGTCACTCAAGTGGATGTCCACAAATTCGTCGATTAACCCAGGGTAATCATTATTCTCTAATTTCAACAAAAATTGTATCACATAGTCAATAACGTTGTTAGAAATGGTTTTCATCTCTTCTGGACTAAGTTTGTCTTTCTTTTCCAAGTTACTTAAGCAACTTGAGATGACCCAAGCAAATTGGTATATGACCAGGATTGCGTGGAAAAATGCAGTATAATCAGGATTTTCATATTCAATATGATTCTTACTTTCCCTCTTCATAACTGGTCTACCTTGGAATAGTGCTAGAATATCGCATGCCATTGGAACTATATTTCCAGTTAAGATTGTTTTCAGCTGTTTGCTCCTACTCAAGATATAACCAATATCGAAGAATATTTGCCCCCACCTTCTATTCTTCAACGATTTTAAGGATATTTCATGAGAAAGTTCAATATTATCAGGGGATCTTATTTCCTCAGTAGTTAAGAACCCGTAAATGGATGCAAAAATTCTAGACAAATCACCATGCTTCACGATGGAAGTAGAATTTGTCGGACAAGTGAAAAGTTGCGTTGATAAAGTACACATCACATTCATCTCAGGTTCTCTGTCCATGGTTAAAAACATGTCAGCCATTCCAGGGTATATATCAACATACTGACAACTTATTATGAATTTGTATTGCAAATTCGTAATAAGCGACGTAGAATACATATCATGAAGTAAGGATCTAATTGATTTCCAAAATCTGATATCGAGGTAAATAAAATATTGGAATCTTGATCCAAGATGGCTCACGTCAGGCTGGTAATCTTCTTCTGTTAAATTATAATCGCATTCATTGCAAATATCATCTCTAAGTTCCCATTTAGAGGGAGTGAAGTCCCAATGCGAGGGTGGTGAGCTTGTCATCATACCCGGCTGATTCCTGTAGTAACTCTTAGCACTTGGAATTTTTGGTATCTTGAGAAATGGGTCTAAAGTACCTACTTTGTAGCTATACGAGGAGGATGATCCATCCAGATCACCGACATTTAAGAGCCCGTTATTCCATCTTCCGATAAATGCCTTACAGATCAAATTCTTAAAATCGAAATTAGATTTGAACATATCACTTTCAGTAAGTTCGTAAATCCACTTCAATATTTCATCGACCATATCCTCCCTAAAGATGTCTCTATGCAGCCTGATGCAGGTGGCGAGACCCGTTGAACTTAAGACCTTTTGCCTATCTTGTAGTAATTTAATGTCGGAAGAGCTAATAACTTTAGCTTTACCGTAATTTTGCACTTTTTCTGTTACCATTACTGCAAACTGTGGGACTTTCTTACTAGCATGGTAGATTCTCTGCACAGCGTCTCTGTAATGCCGTATCTGGTCGTTGTAGACCATTAAGTAATATTTATCTGAACTTCTATCGAGATTTCTGATGGTTTCATCGGAGTCTGGGTATCCATACTTGGTTGGATCTAAACAGGATTTATGGGTCGAAATCTCGATTCTATTGGGCTCCATCTCAAGGGGATTCTCGAAATGCAAGTCACACTGTGACATTACATCGATGACATAGTCCAACAAGATTTCTATGGTTTCTAAGAAAGACTTCTGGAGTTCAGCCGGAGTATCCTTCTTCTGCTGGGGTGTATCCTTATCCTGTGAAGCATACGGACAAACATATTCCTTGACCCAGGCCTCAGGGTCCCCACAATCACACACCCCACCATTCTCACGTAAGCAGATAGTGATGTGCACCTTGTGGCCCTCATGGTTCTCGGGAAGGTAGCAATTGGAGCAGAGAGCACAGGTGTCGTCAAACCCACAGGTGAGACATCGATATATGGGTTCACCTTTGCGGAAAATCCTGGCACAGGGCAGGTTTAAGTGGAAGGCGTGATGATTATGGACTTTCTTAGAGAGTGTGGCCTTGCAGTACTCGGTGAACAGCCAGTTAAAGTCTTCAATTTTTTGAATAGCATCTGAAAATGTGGACGATTCACTTTGGTCTTGGTCCTGGTTCTGCTGGGCAGCTTGCTGGAACGTTAACGGGAAAACCCAGTCAAGAAATTGACCTTGGCTGGATGCGGCCCAAAAGAGCGCCTTCCTTATGTCTCGCTTCAGTTCATTGGTGAACTTGAATTCGGAGTTTGCAGGGAGGTGTAAAAGATATCGCTTCAAAGAGTCCGAGTTAGACAACATGGCTACTCGGAGATGCTTAATGCTGTGAAAATAGGAAATAAACCGCTTACAAACTGGTATAAGCTGGTGCCTTGTTCAGATCATTGCCATAGTGTAGTCAGCGCCACTAAAAAAAAGTTAGCGAGAAGGAAAACATGAGGAGTGCATATAACGAATCTCCAGGAAACGGCGGGGGGCAAGCCAGAAGCTAGACAGATGGAGCAAAGGAGAGAGTGTAGCAAGGCGGGAGTTGCTGGACTGGGCTGAACTGGGCACCTTGGTTAGCACTAGGCTCCCTTTCACTCTTCAAGGTGATGCTGGCTTTATCTAGTGCCTTCTAGAAAGGGCTGCAATCTGTGGTGTGTACTGCATATACCACATCTCCAGCATGAAAAATTAACACTACGCAACGCTTCCACCGAAGAAGCACCACTAGCTCCTTCTACGTAGTGCCTTCTAGCTTTACATATTGCCCACCAATGAGCAAAGAAACTATATACTACGGTCCAAACGCCGACGAAAATAAGAAAAAACTAAGCAAAGTTCAGGATGTGACTTCATTGGCATTGGGAGTGGGAGCAGGCATCCTCGCTCCGGAGCCAGTGTATGGATTCTTGTTCTACGTAATAGGCTACACTGTCTCGAACATTGCCTTTTACATAACATGCTGCGAGGGGTTGCAAGGTCGAGCCGGGCAATTCTACAAGTCGCCTGTCAAGGAGATCTTTGTAGACAATTTGTTGCACAACATACCGGAGTACATTATGATGTGGTGTTTGGTGTATGCGCTAGTGAAGTGAGAGGTAACGAAAAAGGTATGACGAAAGAAAGGGGTCCGGGAACTATACAGAAGATAGAACAAATAGCGAGAAACCGCAGCGACCTGCTTGGAGTGCAGCGCGCACGTTGGTGTGAGATAGAGGTACCCCTCGATATCTCGTGCTGTTCTTAGTTTAGGTAATATACGTACATAGAGCTACGAATGTGTAGGAGCGCGGTTGTAGAAGTATAGCAGTGAAGGACCAACAGTGAAGAACCGGCAGTGAAGAACCACAGTGAAGAACCGGCAGTGAAGACCCAGCAGTGAAGAACCTCAGTGAAGAACCACAGTGAAGAACCGCGCAGTAGAGCGTGCAGTACCGAGTAGGTACCACAACAGTTAGAGCTGCTTAGGCACCTGGGCAATGAAATGGCGTTGCCCCAGCAGAGGAAAGCGTCTGGAAGGAGATACACGCTTCAGTTCCTTCATTTTCTGCGTTTCTTCAGCTTCCCATAATCCTCCCTGCTCTACCCCAAGCAGCCCTCCCTCACCATCCATTTGCAGCTGCTCTGCTCTCAGCGAAGCTGTCAGCGGTGCTCCCAGTACTAAGTGCCTCAACGTCTGCCGCTTCGCCCTCACGTACCGCCGCCCATGACTTGTGGCCCGCTTGTGTGCAGTACGTTTGGTCCACCCTTTTTTTCAGATTTGGAATTTCTTTTTTTAGATTGACCAAGATCAACGATAGGTAAGCTTCAAGAGACCAATATACTCAATTGAGTGGCAATATCTATACTGAAGAATACTAATTGAACGCTGCAATGGAAAAGATCGACCTTTCGCTGAATTCCAGGCAAATTCTGGAAGCTTATGACAAAGTTGTCAGAGGCGACACTTCCACCACGTATGTGGTGTACACGGTGGACAAGAACCTGCTGTTGACCGTAGATGAGACCGGAAACGGATCTTTGGACGAGTTTGTCGAGCACTTCACTGACGGACACATTCAATTCGGGTTGGCCAGAGTAACTGTACCGGGATCTGACGTCTCTAAGGTGCTCTTGTTGGGCTGGTGTCCGGATAACTCGCCTTTGAAGCTGAGGTTATCGTTTGCAACTAACTTTGCTGAAGTATCCAAGGTGTTGAGTGGATACCACATCCAGATCACTGCTAGAGACCAGGACGACTTGGATACTGAAGAGTTTCTCAAAAGAGTGGGTGCTGCTGCCGGTGCTAGATACTCCTTGAACACTGGATCAAATATCAAGTCGAACGATAGACCGGCACCCAAGACTGCGCCCAAGCCGTTCGTGACCAAGTCTGCTCCTACCCCAGCCAGTTCGTCGTCAGCGCCATCGTACGTTCCTAAGTCAACAGGAAAGCCAATTGCTCCTGTTGCCCCTAAGCCAGCTCTCCCAAAGCCAAAGGTGTTCGGAGCGCCAGCACCTACGTCCAAGTCTAACGATGACGATGACTGGGCAGGAGAAAAGGAAATTGAGGCCAGAGATTTCTCCCAGAAGCCCTTGGAAGACGTTCCTTCCTCCTACAAACCAACCAAGGTGAATATCGACGAGTTAAGAAAGCAGAAGTCGGACACCATTTCTTCACAGCCAAAGCCAAACAACTTGAACGCAAATGATTCCAAGGATGAAACTGATGTCAAGCCTTTGTCAGAAAGATTGAAGTCGTACGAGTCTTCGAGCCCATCCGATGGTAGATTGACTTCATTGCCTAAACCAAAGGTGAGTCACTCCGTTGCCTCTCGTTTCAGCCCAGCTTCAGAGTCTTCAGGCTCTGCTCCCTCTTTCGGATCGAAGCCAAACTTTGGAGCCCCTTCATACTCCAACAAGGATAAAGTTGTAGGAGGATTGTCTAAGAACTTTGGCTCAGAGGGTGGTAAGACCCCCGCTCAGCTCTGGGCAGAGAAGAGAGGTCAATACAAGTCTGTTGCTTCTGATTCCGAACCAGTTAAGTCTGGGGAATTGGAAGAAAAGTTCTCTAAGGCTTCCATTCAACCTGAACCAGAAGCTGAAGAAGAAGAGCCAGAGCCAGAGCCAGAGCCAGAGGAAAAAGAGGAAGAACGTGAAGTTACCCCATCACTTCCTGTGCGTAGCTTGCCTCCTCCACCTGCTCCGGTCGCTGTTTCAGAGCCTGAGCCTGAAGAAGAAGAGCCAGAAGCTGAAGCTGAAGAAGAACCTGCAGCTGCTCCATCTCTTCCAGGGCGTAGCTTGCCACCACCACCTGCCCCTGCTGCTGTTTCGGAACCTGCAGCTGAATCTAAATCTTCTAAACCATCTGCTATTGCTGAGTATGACTACGAAAAGGAAGAAGACGATGAATTGGAATTCAAGGAAGGAGATTTAATTGTGGAAATCGACTTTATAGACGATGATTGGTGTTCTGGTAAGCACTCTGTCTCTGGATTAGTTGGTTTGTTCCCAGCCACATACGTTGTTTTGAAGGAAGGCTCCGACTCCAAGCCAATATTTAGCAATGCTGCTACCTCTGCTCCTGCTGCTGCAGAACCTGAACCTGAGGCTGCTGCTGAACCAGCTGTCGCCGAAAAGAAAGTCACAGCTGTTGCTGATTACGACTACGAAAGAGATGAAGACAATGAAATTTCCTTCAAGGAGGGTGATTTGATCATTGACATCGAATTCTTCGATGACGACTGGTGGCTGGGAACCCACGAAAAGACTGGTGAAAAGGGTGTCTTCCCAGCCAACCACGTAAAATTGAACGAATAAAATGGAGCAATAAGAACAAGATACTATTACTACTAGCAGACGATCAATAACTAAAAATGAAAATGAAAATGAAAAGCCAAAGGTTTCCAAAAAAGTATTAGAAAATTTGTAAAGATAAGTGCCTAAAATGATATATGATTTATAAATATAGTGTAGCTCTAAGATGGTGGCTATTCTCTCAAGTATCTCTTGACAGGCTCACCCCAGGAAGGTCTCTTCTTGTAGAAGGCCAAGTCCTCTGGCAAGCCGTCTATTCCTTGAATCAACTCTTCTGCCAAACCCTCCTTTTTGACTTTGGGCAATGGCGTAAGGTATGTTCTGACTGTCATCATAACTGCTCTCAGCTTGGGCAAACGAGTAAATATCTGCCTCTCTACCCTAAGGAAAGTTTCGTTTTCGAAGTCTATATCCTCGTACTTCATTTCTACGAGCTTGTCCCCCACGTACCCATGGTTGTTTGTCAAGGCAAACTTTTCCTTGTGCATCTGGACCGACCAGTTGAATCTCACAGACAAGTCTGTTGGCTCAAGCTTGTTGAAGAACTTTGCCATGGAGAACTTCAAACGAGACTCGTACTTGGGAACTGGCTTGTGGATGAAAGAGATCGGCTGGTTGTGGCCCTCGGAGGGATCAAAGCCAGCGGGGAACCCCGTGATCGAAGCTCTGAGTTTGTACTCTTCTTCGTGGTCGGTTGGGTCATCCTTCATAAGGAGAATAAAGTCTTCTTCGATGTTAGCAGCTAAGCATAGGATGAGATCCTCTTCCTTGCTGGTGGTTGGGCTGAGAAGGTACTCGTTGGTGATAGTGTTAAGCACAGTGCCCTTTTCTTCGTCTAGCGTGAAGTACTGAGGGTATCTCTGACAGAGGAAAGTGACAACCTTGTCGTAGAACTCCACTACGGCTCCGCGGGTCTCTATGTTATCGTGAACATAGGTTGTGTTCTTGGGGTACGAGGTGGTGGCTTCCTTTCTGAATTCGATGTTCTTTAAGTAGGTGTTTTCAAGCAAAAGCCAGTCCTCTGGGGTCTCAGTCATGTCCTTGGTGCCCATGGCTACACGGTGGTTCCTCTTCCCATCGAAAGGGCGGTACGGTCTTGGCTCAGTCTCTTCCCATTTGAAGTCCGAGTCTACAGGTGGAACACCAGGCGATGCGATCGCCTTAGATCTTTGGCTTTGCTTTCTTTTAAACTTCCAAAGTTGGATCGCAACAAGCACGAAAATCAAGAAGTACTTAGTCACTGCCTCAGAAGCCATCCTTGCCGTGTCTATAAGTCTATCGAAGAAGAAACCAAGCGGTACAAGGAGAAAGAAACACACCGAATTCAGCTGAACATGGTGAAAGTTGCAAAACTGATAACGGAGCGGAATCAACTCCCAGATTAGGATCTGGTCACGTGCGCGGGGCCGGAAGTCAGCAGCCGTCAAATAGGAGAGGTGCGGTTGCAAATGCTTAGGGAGCCAGTCGGTGGTGCATAGAGATGAATGGCACCACTTGGGTGATAAGGCAGAGTACAATGGGTGTGTTTGGGGGTAAGTTTATATTTACTACGTATGCTTATGTCAGTCATTACTCATATGCTTTGTTACTATTTTCTGGTTTATACTTTGTTTCTTTCTTTTGTTTTCGTTCCCTCTTGTATACACCTCTTCCTAAGCTTAGTCTGACCCTGGAAAGCTCCTTAACATGCACCAACAAGATGTGCATCGTCTATATAGAAGTTTCTATTGTCGCATAAGACTCTAGCATATACTTTGTTTCTACTTCCTTTCTTTCTTTCTATCTTTCTTTCTTTTTTTCTTTCTTCCCAATATGCTAGTATATACCGCTTCCCAACTTTAGTTCTAAGCCAGGAAAGCTCCTTAGCAAACATCTCGTGGGTTGGTCTTTCCCCCCAACGAGATGGGTATCGTCTATATATAAACTTCTATTGTCACATAATACCCCCGCCTTGCTGAGTACCAGGCTGGCCATTGTAGCTATATCGCAAAAGTCTATAGTTGGACCCATCTCCACTATGCTCAGGTCAAAATAAAATCTCATATCCTTGAAATGACTCGTAGTCACAAAATGATTCGCATTCACTATGTGATTTTTTTTAGTCATCAGATTCGTCGCATAGGCAAGAGGGAACTCTCTTACAGGGTCCTGTGAAAGTTCAATCAAGCTGGAAATAGTGCTTTCAATGAAGTCCAATCCGTGGAAAAACATGAAGAGAACTGGATCCGTACAGTAGGAATTGTTTGTATAAGATAATAGCCCTTTAACACTGCTAACGAACACCACCTCAGTGTTTTCATTTCGAATTGGGCTCCAATCGCCGGTCAATTGAAGCCTCCACGAAGCTTCAGCTTTAGAAGTGTTGGTCACGATGATCACTTTTTTCATATCTTCTTAAATGTATTATAGGTTAAAAGATGGCTAAAAAGTACAGTAAATAGAAAAGAAGTATTCCTATGTTTAAAAACTTTTAAATTGCTTGAGTGAAAAAATAACTAAAAATTGCAACCATTCTTCAGTTTAAATACGAAGGGCTGTTACTCCGCAAATCGGCTACTCCACAACTGCTTTGCTTTTTTGCATCCCTTCTCCTCCATGCCAATGTTGTGTTCACTTAGCGTCGTATTGCCCTACGCTTTAAAAACCTCCACTAGGTATTGTAAGGTCATTGCATTCTATTGTCGCTTACAGTTTCACTTAGCTCGCGCTTTTGGCTAATTGCCTTGGTTCTCCTCATAAAAATTCCCACGCTTTTTAAATTTCCGCGGCGAATCCGTATAGGGAAGGTTAGAGAGTTCAAATTACCCCATATTCTCACTGCTAGCACTATGGCTGCACGGACACTGACAGCCATGTCAATACGAGTTACAATTTATTTTAGTAGTGCCAGAATGTCACTAAAACCTGTAAAAACAGGATGCCTAATGCTATAACTCCCTTGTATATTGTTTGAATTAATTACTAACCTCTGATATTCTATATTTACTCGTCCTGATCGTTGTTACCAGATGAAGAAGCCCCTTCGGGGAAACCAGGTTCAGGAGATGGACCGTCATTTGACGACGAGCCAACTTCCGGTTCGCTCGCATCATCATTGGCATTCGCATCATCTTCCTGTTGCTCTGTAGATTCCATTGGAAATTCCTCAGGGAAATCCTCCGGAAATCCCTCAGGTACATCTTCAAGCTCATCTTCACCCTCATACGACGGAGGCCTCACTGGAGCAACTAAGCTGTTTAAAGTGATCCTTTCATCGTTGGAATTAACCTCACTATAAGCATTATAACTGAATTTATCATGGTCAAATTCTTTATTCCTCCTAAGGTCATCGTCATCTCCATCATTGTTCTCCCCGTTCCCATGGATATCCCAGAAATCCGGTGGGAAGTCATTCTCTCTATCCGTCAAGTCATTATTGTCATCATCTATTTCACTTCTTTCCAATAGTATATCAGTGTTAAACTTATTGTAGATTGGAGGTGCAGGTCCAGTGCCCTCTAATGGCGCAAACCCCCATTTCTTCACGTTACCCTCTATAAATACAAACCCCATTTGCCCCAAATTCACGTGTACGGAGCATAAGTTATTGGCACCAATGATAGGGAAGATTTGTCCTCCGTTAGGGATCTTGAAGTTCTTGATGTGACCGCCAATCTTCAGCTCGCTGATCTTCTTACCATTTCTGGTGAAGAAAATGGTTCCCAGTCTAGTTCTGAGTCCAATACCGATCACATCTCCTTGAACAATCTTGGGGAAAGGGTTATCGAAAGGGAATTTAAAAGGCTGGTTGAATCTTCGATACCCGTCAGAATCATAGCTCACCAGCTGCACATGTCTTCCGGGGAGCCTGAACCACGGGTAAGGCTTGCACCCTAACCCTATGGAAATCTTCGTGTTATCAGCATTTGGTAGCGAGTAGATCTTGCTCTCAAAGTAGTAGACATCGTTCTTGTTGGGGATGGGCAAGTTGGTCTGACTGGAGCACTCAAAGTTCTTGAAGAAATTCAACTCATACTTGTTCAATATAAGTAGATCGTTGTTGGTAAGCATGGGGTCCTTCACAAACTCCCAAGCTCTGACCCCTTTCTCCTGGATAAGCAAGTTTTGCGATAACGTCAACTCGCCATTGACTGAGGGGTTATCCTGTAAGTATTCCTTGGACTGGAAGTAGAGCTCCTGTTCTTCGGAGTTTAGTTCCAAGTACGCCTGGTTCTCCTCTTCTCTCATGAGCTCGTCCTCCGATAATCGTATTCTCCTCTTGATAACGTAGTAGGCTAGCAAGATGAGGAGCAAGAGCGAGGAGAGCGATATCAAGCAAGTCAAAAGAACAAAAGCAACGTTGGACACCTGCTGTTTATATTCATCACTCGGTTGGTGTATGACACCGTCACCATCCTCGCCCGAATACGGCGGAATACTGTCAAGAATACCTGGCGGTATGTTGACAGCTGCCACCTTGGCGGCAAATAGATAAAGGGCAAGCATGAAAAAATCTCAATGATAAAAATCCGACTAGTGCTAAGGCTATACCAGCTGTCTTCACGTTGGTGGATGTACTGGTCTCGTTTTCTCACTTACAGTGTCAGTACGAGCAAACTATCTTCAGTGCTATCGGTCTATGCGCTTGTCAAAGTATCCAAGATGAATGCTACTGCTAAAGAACTGCCTGATGATTATCAATTAAGATCTCGCGCTATCTAAGTGACCCTCTTTTGTGGTATGGGGGGTGTGAGAGGTCACGTGCCACAGGAGAGGGGGCAACAGTTTCTCTTTTAGTTTAGTAAGGTAAGGTGAGAGAGGCGAGGGTACGGAGTGGCAGCAAGGTTTGGCGTGGGCAAGAGGCAGGGGTATAGAGAGTCAGCAGATGACCTGCTGAGGTAGTCGGCGTGGGAGGGATGGACGAGCCCTCCTGGTTCCTCTGCTAATTTAGTATACCAAGGTAAGCGGTCACGTGCCGCTTTGCTCGAGGGTACTGAGAGACAGCTAGGTCTGGCGTGGGTAAGAGGCATGGTACAATAGGCTACGAGAGGATATAGGCAGCTATAAGGGAGGAAGAGGAACCAGTCTCTATATACCTCTGACTGTATGTGCTATCTTTCTTCTCATTCCTCTGCACGGTTGCTGCTGAGATTTTCTTTCTTTTTTTTTCAGGCTCTCTTCTCCCCCATCAATAAGCGCACTTCCCAGCTGTACAGCAACGGGGGGGGCGCACTAAGTGTGCTATCTACGAGGTCTTCCATGCCTGACGCACGGTTTATTGAAGCCGGGCCAAGCGCGCACGCAGAAGAGACAAGCCTACAAGAACGTACGTCGACTATTCGACAAAGTGTCGTAAAAGAGGTCAGAGGTAGTCCCACAATACGCACAGTTGATTAGCTTACATACACAGATCAAGCAATTGTACTTTTCGTTTCATGGTGTGGAAACATCTGGATGATCTGTGAGCATTACCGATCTAGTGTATCTGAAAATTGTTTGAAAATTTCTGGTAGTAGCCCTCGGTATATGGTCAAAGATGCTAGTGACAGAGCAATTTATCTCGTCTCTAGCCCAGCTTTGTCCTTCTTTTCTTGGGTATTCGTTACATAGAGCAACAGCAAGCCAGCAATGGCAAGAGAACGAGCGTTAACATGCTTTACAGAAGTCGTATCCACTCTGAGAATGTAGCTTCAAATCATTGCTCGGATGCTCTGATCCAAGCTGGTTGTGTAAGTTTTGGGAAGTAGGGAATTTCGCATACTTATAAAGTCTTAAAAATAAACTTTGCTGGCTGTGGTAGTAAGGTGATTTGCTTCTGCGGCGCGCTTTGCCGAATCTTTTCACGCTAAAATCATCTGTGATTTAGAGTTCCTGATGGGAAAATAATTTTTGTCCTCGCCAGAAATTGTCAGATTTGCTTGCGAAACAATGTGAAGCTGCATCAGAGAATAATGTGTGTTTTATCCTTAGGTTGCGTTATTGCCTTAGGGTGCCATTTGCCTAGTTTGCATGAGGTTGTGAATTGAAACAGTATGTATTTTAAATAATATTGCGTGCTAACTCAGAGCTTTACAAAAGTCTTCGGAGCTCTTTGGCGCGTTGTACTGGAAAATGTATGCTTGAGCATTCGCTTGTATTGGCCTAAATCTAGCTCTCCGTTTCTTCTAACAAATCTTTAAAGTACCACCTCTATCAAGAATCCATTTATTATCAATCGTGACTTACGTGCTACCCTGACTCGGCTAATTTGATAAGCTTCTAAACGAAATTTTCTACTCTGCTAATTACATGAAACAATACGGAGAATTTTTTTTTTGTCAATGCCAGGTACGCTTATCGTGAGCCAGCCATGTCATATTGATGCAAGTTTTCGCGTACTGATCCAGGAACTATGTGCGAAAATACGATTATATGCGTGAAATGGTCGCAAATATTGTGGTCACTGCGTAAGCCGCACAGCGACATGCATCTATTTTTAAACAGGTAACTAGGTACAATCACACCTTTAACCAAAAAAATAGACTAGTTGGTGCTCTTCTTTGGTGATGAGATCGAGAATGTTAACAAGCTGTCTCGGGATGCACATTCTGCCCAGATTTGGCTTCACTGGCGTTGTCAAGTGCTTTTCATTCCTTCGAGGTATGACTTACTGCGATGCGCTGCTTAAATTTATATCTAATATTAGCAAGAGCTGGAGTATATATATTGCTCTGTATTTCCAGATTATCGAGCCCTGTTAGACTACCATTCTTGCCATAGAACAAAGAGCTATTACTTTACAATAAAATTATACATAGTATATACATATTAGAATTTGCAATCTACTTCACTTCAATTCATTTGATTATTTTCAACTCATTTCATTTTACATATATTTCTTGAACCAATTAATACATATTAATTGTCACAAGAGTTACCAGATCATTCGTTATAAGACAATCAAGTTACTAGGGTAGTTCGAACTGAAGCAAAAACTATACAAACAAATGTTGCATAAATTATTATTGGCTTTGACTGCAAGTATCACTTGCGTTACTGCTTGTAACCCATTAACAGAATCTGGATGTCCCGCTGACCCTGCCCTTGCAGGATCATTCAAAGAAGACTTTACTTCTGAATCCAAGTACTTCCTGGTGGTCAACTCCAAAGGTGTATCATATACCGATGATGGCCTTGCATTAACTATTGCAGAACGTTTTGATAATCCTTCACTTAAATCGAACTTTTACATCATGTTCGGTAAAGTTGAGGTTGTCCTTCAAGCTGCTCAAGGACAGGGTATCATCTCGTCATTCTACTTACAAAGTGACGATTTGGACGAAGTTGATATAGAATTGTTTGGTACCGACACCACTCAATTCCAGTCAAATTTCTTCGCCAAGGGATACACAGGTAACTACGATCGTGGTCAGTATATAACTACTTCTTCCGATCCTACACAAAATTTTCACACTTATACTCTTGAGTGGACAAAGGACTCATTAATTTGGTCATTGGACGGCCTGGTTGTTAGAACTTTGCTTTCTACTGATCCAAAGGGGTTCCCTCAATCTCCAATGTACATTATGATGGGAGATTGGGCAGGTGGTGATTCAACTAACGCTCCAGGTACTATCGAGTGGGCAGGTGGTGCCACTGACTATTCGCAGGCTCCATTCACGATGTACATTAAGAGTGTCATTGTTGCTGATTATTCTACTGGAAGCGAATACTCCTACGGAGATACTTCTGGTTCTTGGGAATCAATTGTTGCAAAAGGTGGTTCAGTCAATGGAAGGCAATCACAAGCTGATTCTGATTTTGCTTCTTTGCAAGGTGGTGAGTCTGTTTCAGAAGCTACAGTTAATTCAGTCAGCGCTTCAGAATCATCAACCGCTGCTGCTACAGCTTCCAGTTCTGTCTCAGCTTCTTCTTCAGCTTCTGGCTCTGGTACTGTCTCTGCAACTAGCACCTTTATTAGCTCAGCTGCTAGCTCTCTTGGTGGATCGTCTTTGGTGATTGCATCAGGTTCTTCAAATTCCGTTTTAACTGGAAATGCTGCTTCAACAATTGCTTCCGTATCAAAAGCATCAGCATCGACTATTTTAGTATCTGCTTCTGCCACTCAAGTTTCAACCATTGCCACTGGTTCTCCAATTACTACTGTTGTTTCTGGCTCTGTTGTTACTTCAACTCCAGTTACTGTTCAGACCGTAGCTACTGAAGTAGCAGTTTCCGCTACAGCTGGTGAAGAATCTGCCACTATTACAGCCACAGCATTTGGCGGAAATGGTGGTATTCAACCGAGTACACTTGCCACTGTTGTTACAGGCAAGTCTACCGAATCTGCTGCTAGTGGTACTACCACTGGCTTATCTGCATCTGCTACAGGTCTCATTGCATCCGTCACATCGGCCAACCTGGGTGCATCTAATGGGGTTTCGACTTCATTAGCAATAGTATTCGCTGTTTGCGGATACTTCTTCCTTTAGACTAAAATTAAAAGTACGAACTAAAACAACTACAAAAAAACTTGCATTTTAACTTCCGATTTATATATAACGTTAATAATAATTCAATTCTTCAATAAGTGAGCCCACTGTAGCATCTTTGGATGAATTTAGAAGAGACAAAGAGCAGCGTATTAAAATAATAGGAAGTGTTGGGTGCAAAAAAAACGACCTCGGTGAGGGTCGAACTCACGATCTTGAGATTAACAGTCTCACGCCTTAGCCAACTTGGCCACGAAGTCATTTCTGATTTTCGGAAATGAAATGTGGCTCTAAAAGCTAAAGACACCATTTTATGCCATATGAGCTTAACTTCGGACCAAGTTACAGTCTAGTTGTTAATGTTGTAGTTGAATATTAATACTAGATCTTGGTCTGAATGAATCTTTGAACCAGATTTGCAAATAAGAACAAGCGACTGCAACAATTGCCATCGTATCATGCTCGCAAATAGCTTTTGCCGTGGGAAGGTACCCTAAAAGCGTTCAAGGTTCAAGGTAAGTAGAGATGACCCAACAAAACAATAGGCATTCACAATGGAGCATTTGGATACTAAGAGATATACTGCATTTAATTAGCTCATACTATCTCATACCGTGTACTTTCTTGCGCCAAATAGGTAAAAGAAATCAGCTTTCTCCCCCCTCCCCCCGCTTCGATCTAATCAAGGCACTATCTTGAGGGGAGAAATAAGCTTCCATGCATGGAGAAAGAGAGAGTCAACGGTACTCAAGTAGTCTTTAGACACAGTTGATCAAATAGCAATCCTCGGCATCGTTGAATCGGCCTCAGATATCACTAGTCGGTTAAATGTCAGAGATTTAGGTTGGTAAGCAAAAATGAAAGATTTCCCAGCCATCCACAACACTAGTGTGGGGTAACTATACCAAGAAGTACACATTTTGATAGTATCATATGAAAGCTTCTGATATTAGATGCAAATAGAGATCAGAGAATTGAGCTTCTTTGTCTTAACATCAAGGGGAAGAATTATTTAAAGAGGACTGGATACATTTGAAATTTACAAAAGTTATATCTAACTATCAATCAAAAAGGTGCAAATTAGCATACCAAAAAAGTATTGAAAAAACTCTGCAACATTTCTGCTGGGAGTTAGTTATCTTTTGCATTTGAATCCATTGCTCCCTTAGGACATGCCTGGTAAAGCTAATGGTACAGTAGGTAGTACTGTAAACGGTAAAGTGGAAGAAAACACAGAAAATACACCAAGAAAGTTAACTCAAGACGACTTTCCGGATGCTAAGTACGGAAGAAACAGAATCCAAACTCTCGAGCCTGAATATGAGGTTCTTCTCAAGCAGTTTTGGACCCATTATTTGAAATATTTGGGATACGATGTTGACATTCCAGATAAGGACGTTGTTGACAAGAAGTCGTATGTGGTGTCAGCTTCTGTGCAGCGGAAGTTTCCCAATGAAAAGGTGACTGAAGCTACCAAATCTAGCTCTTTCTGGGGAGGTCATTCTACAGCAACTCCAATCGATGATAATATCTCGAAGTTGACAGAGAGAGCTGGTAAGCTCAAGCTTTCTACAAATTATGTAAATGTGACTTACCCTGAGACTTACTTCTTCAATTATTTGGTAAATTATGACAGTGTGTCTGACTTGAGTGCTTCTTATAAGGACGAGGGTGATGAGGTTGATCGTGTCAATGTTATTATAAAAGAGCTCAAATCTTTGGCTGGATTGGAGAAACATCCTTCTTTGGTCATTGAGCCTAACTTGAAGCTGCACCATAGCTTCGGCATCTGTGATCCAAAAGTTACACACAATACCTTCTTGGTCTCAGCAAGAAACGATCCTATTGATAACTATTTTTTAAAGCTTCTAAGGGCAAGAAAGGGTAACATCGACAAGACCTTAGATCTCTTTGCTGGAGATGTCAATTGGAGAAGTGAGATTAAACTAACAGACTTGGTACTTGGAGGAGATGCGCAGTATTATCTTACTGGTACTGGCGATGGGATAATAAGGAACTTGAATTGCGAGAAGTGTTGGATAAAGGGGACAGACAAAGAGGGTAATCTATTGTTTCTATTCAAGGCGAACCGTCACTTAACCAACGAGGCTCCCCAAGATGAAATGAGGAGGTGGACTCTATTGAAAATAGAATGGACTAGGTTGATTCTAAGAGAGACCCTGACAGGGAAAGATACTGTGACTATTTTATTTGACTTATCTGGTTTTGGATTGAAGAATGCCGACTATTCTACAATGAAGTTCATCGCTGAGTTCTTTGAGGCTCACCAGCCTGAGTGTTTAGCTCACGTCTTGATTTATAAAGCTCCCTGGATCTTCCTGGCCTTCTGGAATATCGTTAAGGGCTGGTTGGACCCTGATGTTGCCGCAAAGATTAGCTTTGTCAAGAACGAGCAAGAGTTGTTAAAGTTTGTTGATAAGAAAGATGTTCCAAGCTGCATGGGAGGAGATAACTCTTACAATGGTGAATATATCTACCCTGACAGGAACATCGACGCTGCTCCACCGTTGAAGAAGGATGAACGGTACTTCGACTTGGTCAAGGAAAGACACCTCTTACAGTTAAGGCTCTTTGAGAGAACGAAGAGGTGGATCGAAGCCGCTGACCCTGAAGTCAGCTCGTTGTATTGGCAAGACAAGGTGGACACCAACATCCAATTGGCACAGAACTACATTATGCTTGACCCGTACATTCGGAGAAGAGGAATGTATGACAGGAATGGATTCTTAAAGTTGCAACTTTAGCGACTACGCATGGAATGAACTGAACTTATATATGTATTAGAAAATCAACTATTACTATTTTTATTATTATTTCCTTGTATTTAACTGGTTTGCTCTCTAAAAGGGTTTGACAACTTATTTGAAGATTGTACTCATAAAACTCATCTTCTTTTTTCATTTTTCTTGTCATTAATTGGGTATATATTGATTCATTTAGAACAGACAGTCAATAGAGTACTTTAAGTTGTTGTCGCTGTCCCAAACACCCCAATGCTTTTCAACATCAGAGGTACCTGAAGTGTCTGGCTTCCAGGCTTCGTCAAAGGCTTCGAAAACGGCAACGTTAACACCCCATCCTCTCATGGCACAAATGGCTTGTTGCCAGTAGGTCTTGGCATTGGATACAGATGGAGTGGAGTCTTCGTAGGCGGTACCTTCGGATGGCCATCCGGTTTCACCAACGTAGAAATCAATATCGGTTGATCCCTTGGCGGTTTGGATGGTTTGTAATGCTTGCATAATGTCATCAAAGAAGGAGTATGATGAGTTAGCTTGGGTTTGTCCTTGCCAGTAGGAGAAGGCGTTGGCGTAAATGAAGTCTGCAGCTTGAATGGCTGGGTCGGAAGCACCATCGACTAAGACGTTCCAGGAATCAACGAAGCCAACTGGAACAGAGGAGTATGAGTCACCGTTAGAATCCTTAATGTCAGCCAATAATTCCTTGACTTCGCTGATAGCAGATGCCAATTGAGTAGCAGTCAAGTCTTCTCTGTACAAAGCTTCAGATCCAACAGAGATAACCTTAATGGTAGACTTGGAGATCTTTGGCAAGTAGTCTTGTAAAGCTTGCTTTTCAGCAGCAAAGTGGGCATCATCAGTTGGCCAGACACCAAGTATGAGGGTGAAACCAGCTTCTTCAGCGGCAGGTCCCAAGTTTTGTAATGTGTTACAGTCAGAGACGGCGTAAGTCTTGACGGTAGTACCGTATGGCTTCAAGTAACTGAAGTCAGAAGCGTAGTCAGATCCGGTCTTACAGACAGCATCGTTAGTTTCGACACCGAGGTTGAAGGCAAGCTGTGGTACTGTTAGTAAAAGGGAAAGGGAAAGTAGGAAGAAGAGAAAAGTGAAGAGAAGATGATAAAGATGATAAAGATGATAAAGATGATGCGATGAGGACGATGAAGGAAAGAAAGTTGTCGAATCAACAAATCCATATCAAACCTCCAACATCAAAATCAAAATCAAAATCAAAATCAAACCTCCAACATCCAAGGGTTGTAATGTTTACATACATCACCAGCGGCAAGGGCTGAGGTAATAGATGCGGCAATGAGCGCTAAGGTCTTTAATTGCATGATAAGTATCTAACGAGTGTAATCTAGATCGAAATGTTTACCTGTTAATACTAAATTAAACCAAACGATGAAGGAATCAAGAAGAAGAAGGAGTGCAAAATTTAAAACTGGCCGGCTATGGTTTTTTTTGTATGTGTATGAAAATTTCTCGATTTTTTTTTTTTTTTTGCTTTGTTTTTTCTGTTTGTGGGTGGGTGTACGCACAAAGTGGAAGGGGAAATGGTTAAAAAAAGAAATGTTTGGTGCATCCTGCACATCAGCAGTGTGCAACCCTGGAAAAAGTCAACAAATTGCTATTTTTAGTCGCACTTATCCTAATCAGGAAGGAGAGAAGTCTACGGATGTGTGGGTGTGTGGATGTTTTGTATGCCAGAGGGTATGCAGCTTAAAAATCTAGAATTGTGTGTGGGAGATCGAGATCGGCTGCACGAGGTGGAGTGACTGAGCTGGTGCTGATGGGTGGAGGGAGGCATAGCGAAGAACCCAAGGCAGGTAAGGAGTGAGAAGCTGTAAGGTGGGTATCGTGTGCTGGGTACCAGGCGTTAGAGGTACCAGTTGCGTTGATTGCTTGTTTCTTTCTTTCTATGTTTTTTTCCTTCTTTCTCTGATGAGCCCACTCCGCCACTGCGCTCCCCATTTTCTCGTATTGTTTCAGCGTCCTCCACTGGCCTGCTGATAATACAGAATGCGCATCTCCATGTGTACGCATGCACTTCATGTTCTACACAGTTGAATACATGAGTGCTTGAATATGGATAAGTTGGGGTTGGACAAGCTGGTAGGATGGATGGTGGTGATGGTAATAGTAGACAGTTGAGGTAGCTGCTGGGCCGTGTGCTGCTCTCTAGGCATGCTTCCTACAGGCAGGTAACACATGTTGACTTTGAAACTTGTAAAAGTCGGAAGTATTATGCAATAAAGGTGTCACCCTTTGTTTAATGTGGTACTATTTCGCAGCCATTACCTTAAGTCTATGTACATGTCTTTGTATACATTTCTCCTTTCCCTACTCAGCTACTATCCTCTGCTGCACTCCCATTATACTACACCCTGATGTTCTTCTAATACATTCCATCACCTCTTCATTTACAAATATCCTGCTTCTATTCTCCTTTATTACCCTATATATCAATTTTTATAGTACTAGCTAACTTTTCAATGCAGTTCATCAACCTCATCTCATACACCTCAGCATAACGCTTACTCTATTTCCTCTCACATTCCTCTACCAAAACTCTATTTACTGTCGTACACCTTGGTCAAACTTATCAATGCAGCATCCTCTATCTTAACTCCATCAGGCACCTTTAACTCGCCATCAAACATTTGATCTGCGCTCTCTACACCTTCCAAGTTACCCTTTTCTCGCGAGAAACTGTACTCGATGTCGAGCCAGTTTCCTAATATAAGTAACACATTTCCCCCCTTGACATGAATATTTCCTCTGTCAAATTCTGCTAACTCAGTGCCAGTTTCCTTGCCAAAATAGTTGTCACAGTTCACATAAATAGAACTGGAATATCCGTCTGGTACTGTACTTTCGGTGAAAATCGAGGTGAAACTTTTACTAACTCTTACATGGTACCCGAATGATGACTTATTCCCAATGACACCGTATGCTTCCGCTGGTGAAACAATGGTTTTGTTTTTCAAGTCAACAGTGACTCTTACGTTGACAGGCACTTCTCCTGTGGAGATTTCCAATGGTTGAGCCAAACCAACGTTGACGTATTTGGTAGTGCTCAACTTGTTCTTTGGCGATATTTTCTTCTTACTCTTGGTAACTACTTTAGGGGTGTGCTTGGGGATGGTTAATCCCTCTCTATAGTTCTTCCATACATCGTTGTTACTCATGAATGGGAGTGTGCTTATCTTGGGCAAGTTCTTTGCATATTTCAACTTGTTCTTGAATTCAGATGAGGCAAACAAGCTGTTCGCAAGGTAAGGTGGAGTGATGAAATACTGCAAGAGAGTCGCAACCAACATGGCACTGTTTTCGTTGGGAATGTCTTTGGTTATGCTGCTGCCTGCAGGCATGTCTTGTTCTGGCTCTATGTCTTCAATGTCTTCTTCCTTGGGAGTAGGCTTACCGACGACATCTGCCATGTCATCGTTGAACTTAATTTTCTTTCCACCCTTGTCGGTACTTCCAAGCACCACAACCTTGGATTCCTTTTCCAAAATTGCCTCTCTTTGGGCCAAGCTAGGCACATCTAACACTACAATTTCTCCTACATTATATATGGTCGCAGTTCTCGCAATTTGGTAGGCAATGGAAGTTATCTGCTCCAAGTTCTTCGCATTGGACAGCGAAATAACCGTCGACGGAACACACAAAGTGTACAGAACTTCGGGCTGCGTCTTGGTGGGTTTCTTAACCGATTTGGACTCGGTTTCAGCTTTTCTTTTGGCCATGGTAGTGCTTTCAATGAGGACTAAACTGGGTGAACAGGGCCACTTTTTTTTTTGAAAAATTAAATTTCCATATCTCATCTCATGTCCTGCATACAATCGAGACCGATCTGTGCAGCCCTGCTTCAGAGAGGAAGAGATACGGAGAAGAACCAGAGCTGTATGGACGTTGGTTCTGATGTAGCATGGCAGTTTTGGGTGGGAAATATGCTGCTCAAGAGGACAGGTTTGATGTAGGCCAAAAAAAACCGGCAAAAACGGCGAAAGTTGCATAGAAATGTGGTGTGCTTCAGAAGGGCCTTGATCGTATCGCATGGCAGATCTAATAGAGATGTATTCAACTACTCCCAGCAAACTCCTATTGGGTCTTCGCTTACAGATACACCGAAGCCGTGACCAGGCTATTCTCATATTAAAACTTGTATTATTAAATATTGTATGTAGATTCGAAAACTTCCTTGTTCTTCTCTTGCACTTCCAAGAGTCCAGAAAGGAAAGCGTTTAGCTATTCACAAATACTTTTTAGTGCCAATGGATACGGTATCATATCTACTCTTCGTCAACAGACTTTTGTTCACCTTCTACTGCTGGTGCTGATGCTGGTGCTTCTTCTTCCTTTTCTTCAGCTGGTTCTTCCTTTGCTTCTTCCGCTTCCTTGTCGGCTGCGTCTTCTTCAGCTTCAAGCTTGGCGATCTTGGCCTTTGCTCTTTCAATGTTCAACTTGGTTTGCTCTTCTTGCTTACCTTCCAATGCAGTTAAAGTTTCCTTCAAGGTCTCTATGGTGGATGGGACGTCATCTTGCTTGGTTGGTAATGGGATCGATAATTCACCAAGAGCAACAATAACGTCGGATTCAACAGTGAAGTTCTTTGGCTTTTGAGCCTTCTTGGCCTTGGCAGCCTTCTTACCCTTAGATCCAGTGTGGAAGATTTCTTCTTCTTTCTTCAATACAACCAAGTCGTCTGGCATTTCAATGACTCTACCGGCAGCTCTTGGCTTAGAGTCAGCCTGGAAGGCAGTGGATGAGGTGGACTTTTGGATAGCTTCAAACGTCTTTGATGGTGGCTTGACGTAAGAAGGATCAAAGTAGGCAAGTAACACCTGTAAGGAATCGATTTCTCTAGAGAATGCAGGGATGGAGGCTGCGGATAATTCCTTTTCGGCAACTTCCTTTCTCTTGGCAGTCTTTTCTTCCAATTGTCTGGCCTTGTATTCCTCGTCTCTCTTCTTCTTTTCAGAAGCCATGGCGGCCTTGAACTTGGTGAACTCTGCGTCCAAGTCCGATCTCAACTTCTTGATTTCAGAGTACTTTTCGTCCTTGGTCTTTCTTAACTTGTTTCTTTGGTCAAAGAGCGACTGTCTCTTTTCAGAGATGGACTTGTTGTCAGCGTTCAATTGGTCCAATTCCTTTTGAATGGCTTCAAATCTGGCTTGGATTTCCTTGTTGCCAATGGCGTTCAATTTCTTCTTCAAGTCAGCAATCTTTTCCTTATCAGCTTCAATGAGTTCTTGGATCTTGTCAATGGAACCAAAGTCCTTCTTCAACTTTCTCAATTGGGACATTTCCTTGACGTATCTTCTTTCGTCAGCCAATTTGAGAGACCCTTCGTCAATGATCAGGTCCAAGTGGTTAATTCTGGAGTCAATTTCGGCAACGGACTTGAAGTTACTCTTGGAAGTCTGGGCCTGGATCTCGTTGATCTTTCTCTTCAACTGTTGGTCAACAAGTTTGATTTGATCCATGATGGTGGTTCTTTCAACCTTGATACTACCTTGCTTGGTGATCAATTCTTTCAATTCCTTTTGCAATTCAGTTCTCTTGGCGATCACCTTAGGGTCCGAAACAACCTTTTCAATCTGAGCGTTGAGTTCATCGTTGGTCAAGTTCAACTTTTTGATTTCATCGTGAAGGGCAGCGATCTTGGCCTTGTGGACTTTATCGTCAGGACCTTTGATGAAACGCTTTTGCGGGCGGTCCTTGCTGTAAGCAGGCTTTTCGTCGGAGAATGTAGTATCAGTAGACATCTTAGAGGGCAGGAGTAGAGTGTAGCAGAGTATAAACAGAAGGAATCAGGGCGGTTATTGGCGGGTACGTATGTGCTGAAAAAAAAAAAGAAGAAGATTGTCGAGGTTTTTTTTGTCACTTTCGACCAAAATCTTTTGGTCGATTTCATTGACTGGAATCAACCAATTTTTCTCGCCAATTTTTCACTCATACAGACAACTGTCAAGTTCGACGCCAAAAAATATAAAAATGAACCATACAATTTTACTAGGCAAAAATGGGAAAGGTCGTGCAGCCACCATCCTGTTTGGTGGTCAAAAGTGCCGGACCCACAGCGGACACGTCAACAGGCCAGAGGCTCTGGCACATCCACGGACCAAGTACCCTTAGCTAGAACTGAGTGAGCTGGACTGGCTACAGGTGTTCATGCTGCACAGATGATAAGAGCCCAGCCAACCACTCCAGCACCTGTCTCTTTTGTTTATTCATCTCAGGTTCCTCGCTTACGTAAACAATCTGGCACCCTGTGACAATTTCTTTTTTTTTTCTGCTACCCGTGTTTTTGTCCCAACCACTCGAGACCTTGTCGTACCCGTTGTCTTTGTGTAACATATCCAGACATTTTTTTTCTGTATACGAAGACATCAAAGCCCAGCCAGATCCAAAACACCCTGAACCCACCGTGGATATTCATTCATTAAGACCAATAAACGGCCCCTTTCTACCTATTCAAGTATGTCAGCCTATGCCCAATTAGTAGCCAGCCTTTCTGCGTCCGATATTCTCGCCAAATGGCCCGACGTCACCCCATTAAACAAGATCTCCGGAGTGCCAACATCGGCCGGATCGTCATCAGCTACACAGTCATCTTCCAACGACCTCTTTAACGGACATGACGAGGAGCAAATCAAGCTTATGGAAGAGTTATGTATAGTCTTGGACAACGACGACAAGCCAGTAGGTGCCGGTACCAAGAAATTGTGTCATATCATGGAAAACATCGATAAAGGTTTATTGCATCGTGCCTTCTCTGTGTTCCTTTTCAACGAAGACGGGAAGTTATTGTTACAGCAAAGAGCTGACGAGAAGATCACGTTCCCTTCAATGTGGACCAATACCTGCTGCTCACACCCATTGTGTGTGCCCTCTGAATTAGGAATAACCAAAGACGGAGAAGGAGATCACAACGACTTGTCCAACGCCGTAGCTGGAGCCAAGAACGCTGCCCAAAGGAAGTTGGAGCACGAGTTAGGGATTCCATACTCGGATTCTCCTTTGAAGGACTTCCAGTTCTTGACCAGAATCCACTACAAGTCCGCCAGCGGAGAATCCAAGTGGGGAGAGCACGAAATCGACTACATTTTGATATTGAGGGCCAGAAACGACATCACCATTGACGCTAACTACAACGAGGTCAAGGACTTTAAGTATGTCAGCAAAGATGAGTTGAAGGAGATGTTTGAGGATCCAGAGTTGGTGTTCACGCCGTGGTTCAAGTTGATCTGTGAGAGTTTGCTCTTTGAGTGGTGGGGGAACTTGGACAACTTAGAGCCGTTTGAGGACGATAAGGTGCACAGATTGTTATAGGGGAGGAGGAGCTTTCAGCGGATTGATAATGGACAGAGAGAGAGAGAGAGAGAGAGAGAGAGAGAGAGAGAGAGATCTGCCAAGAAAGCGAGTAGATGCAAGAAGAGTAAGCAAGAGAGTAGAAGCAAAAGAAAGCAGGACGTCTGGGAACGAGCTCAGAGCAGCGAGGCGGAACAAACACACTAGAACATGAACTTCCACCACCCCATATGCATCTACACCACCTAGCAAGCTACATAGAAGAGGAACACTAGAATACTGCAACCGGAATCACTCCATCTTCAGTTGCTAATTGTATATATACGTACCCACTTAATACAGAACATCCCATCACTTGGCAGGCCTGTTACCTTAGCCTGCTACCTCTCGCTCCTCACCTCTCACTCATCACCTCTCACTCCTTACCTCACTCCTTACCTCACTCCTTACCTCACTCCTTACCTCACTCCTTACCTCACTCCTTACCTCACTCATCACCTCACTCCTTACCTCACTCATCACCTCTCGCTCGTAGCCTTGTGGTGGTGGTTCCTTAGGTGCACTGACTCCGACCACTGCACTCCGACAGACTCCGGGACCTTCGACTCTGGTCCGTCACGTGACTCTCTCTGCTTACAATTTTTTTTCTTCTCTGATTTTTTTTTGGGCCCGTTTAACCAAACCCTGCCACAACGAACCTGAACTGGGACCACTAGACACTCACGATCTTCCATTAATTCGCTGGAAGTCGCTTGTTTCGTTCCCTTTTATCGTACCGAAATGCTTTCCAGCTTCAAAAACTTGCCACCGGCTTTCAAAACTGCGTTATCCAGAACCCATGTGCAAAGCGCAGGTGTTACACAGATCCCCAAGAAGCGTAGATCATCCACCATCTTCACAGACAAGCTCAACAAGGGCCCCTCCTTCGACGATTTCATAAACGGAAAGGCTGCAGACATGATGGCGGTTGATCCCTTGGAAGCAGCTAGACAAGACCCGGACCTGAGACTCCCGAAGTGGCTCAAGGTGCCCATTCCAAAGGGGAAGTCGTTTCATAATGTCAAGAAAGATGTAAGAGAATTGAAGCTAGCCACCGTTTGCGAGGAAGCAAAGTGCCCAAACATCGGAGAATGCTGGGGTGGGAAGAAGTCCGAGGCTACGGCTACAATTATGTTGCTAGGTGACACATGTACCAGAGGGTGCAGATTCTGTTCGGTGAAGACCAACAGAAACCCGGCCAAACCAGACCCAATGGAACCCGAGAACACAGCTGAGGCTATCTCCAGATGGGGGCTCGGTTATGTGGTCTTGACTACCGTGGATAGAGACGATTTGATCGACGGAGGCGCCAACCACCTATCTGAGACAGTCAGGAAGATAAAGCAAAAGGCTCCACAAATTCTCGTAGAGGTGTTGGGAGGAGACTTCAGAGGTGACTTAGACATGGCCGCGATCTTGGCACTGTCCGGGTTAGATGTTTATGCACACAATATTGAAACTGTTGAGGCATTGACACCACACGTGAGAGACAGAAGAGCAACTTATAGACAGTCGCTTTCCATTTTGGAGAGAGCCAAGCAAACCAAGCCCTCATTAATAACGAAGACTTCCATGATGCTTGGATTCGGAGAAACTGACGAACAGGTGATGCAAACATTGAAAGATTTAAGAGAAATCGGATGCGATGTGGTGACTTTTGGCCAGTACATGAGACCCACCAAGAGACACATGAAGGTTGTAGAGTACGTTACGCCCGAGAAGTTTGATTACTGGAGAGACCAGGCTTTAAGCATGGGGTTCCTCTATGTGGCCAGTGGACCGCTTGTACGTTCTTCGTACAAGGCTGGTGAAGCCTTTATTGAGAATGTCATCAAGAAGAGAAGACACAATGTCGGTGCTGTTCCGCGGTTAGAACAGGAAATAAAGCCAAGGTTGATGGCATCGGCGCAGCAGTAGGGAACACTCTAGGGAAAGGAAATACGAAATCAGAGAAAACGGAGAAAAACTTGCAGCTGAGCACAAGGGCTTTAGAAGAGCTCAAGTGAACCAAGAGAAAACAACCGAAGCGGTGCTGCAGCGGTAGCAACAAAAGTACAACACAATAGATAACCCAACATTCAGAACAAATGGCATATATAGATATAGAATGGATAATGTGTATGGTTGAACATTGGTATGTAGCCTCCAACGTCTCTAGACCAGTAGCGCAGGAGCCCCCCTCCAGTAGAGATAGTCTTCTTGGAACCTAAAAACACCCGCACACCCACACACTGCGTTTCGCAGCCTAGAATAGCAACTCAGTTTCTTACCTGGCACAGCAAGCCCAGTACCATACTCTATTAATACAGGCCCATTTCACAAAGAAAGACGCTATGTATCACCCGTTTCACTTTTCCCCTTCTTGCAGCTACTCAGCTTCCTTTCCATTGTTTCCACCCAAGCAGCTCTGGTTTCAGAATATAAAGCTGAAACCAACCTCATGTACGTACTGCACAATGTCCAATAGAATTGGAATGTTTGATGAGCTCGGGGTACTGCATACAACGCGGATCACAACCATAAATCACAGAAGCGTGCCTATGTTTTCTTCGTACGTTCAGAAGCAACTGTAACCTACTCGAAACAACGCTGCAGAACCGTCTTCGTAGCTAAACGCATTGGATCTTTTGTGCACTGTACAGTAGGTGACGCTCAACACACACTCGCACGCGCACCACTGCTGTCATAACCTTTGATCCATTGATCTCACTCTGGTACACCATCGCTCTTAGATCAGCCCCACACTAACGAAATCGGTAGGCTGCAAAAAAAATTTTTAAGTGCTAACGAAGTACCATGTCAAACGACGACGACTATGAAGAATCATTGATCTCACAGTTTGAAACGACGCTCTCTATTCGTCCCTCCAACAATGACGAGGATGAAGACTTATCCATAGACCACACGGTGTACTCAACCTATACAGGTGTAGACCAGTCTGTGGTCAACATTCAGGAATTGGAAGATGAAGAAGTCCTACTGGAGCAAATTCCCAAATTTAAAACCAAATCGAACCGAAGGTTGTCCTTATTACCAAAGGAAGCCACGAAAAAATCGACGCTACCTTCTTCTGCATCTGACTCCAGTAGGAGTGGAAGTAGGAAATCTTCTCCGGCTCCCTCTGCTTCACCGTTTGACGATATCCTTGCTCCGTCGCCCCTAATCGACTACTCATTGTCTAGATATAACAAAAACTTCCAGTTATTTTTGTCTACAAATCCACACATCTCGAAGGAATCTCCCAAATTTACTAAAGAGCTGGACAAGACCTTAATTCTACTCTCGCCATACTCAGCAGAACATGCATTTGGCAGGAAGTGGGTTACCAAGTCGTACCTATCCACCATATTTGAAAGGCCACAGAGATTGCTCGCATCCTGTATTGGGGTAGCACTGGCAATCACGATGTTTCCTTTTTTCTATAGATTGGAAAACTCCACTAAAAGAGGCTCCATTTTATCCTCGCATGTCCGGAAAGTTCATGGCAAGAATTGGCCCAAAAAGTTGTACGAACTCTGCTTGGAAAGCCATGAAAAATTGGAAGCTGACAAGTTGGAAGTTCCTGAAGATTGGAACACGGGAGATATTTATTTGAATCCCAGAACAATTAACGCCATCGAAGGTGTTATTGGCACTTTAGAAAGTGCCGTAGACGCATTGTACGGGCACCCTGAAAAGGAATTCAAAGAGCCTAAAAAATTACCCAAGAGCCCATCAAGTAATAGCAGCTCAGGCTCATCAACATCTTCATCGTCAACATCTCGGTCTGGCTCCAGATCAAGATCATCAAGCTCAGGATCTGATTCAACTTCAGGATCCAACTTAGCATTTGTCGTAATTAGACCTCCAGGGCATCACTCTCATGCTTGTCTTCCCTCTGGGTTCTGTCTTTTGAACAATGTTCAAATTGCAGCTGAGTACTCGTTTGAAAAGTACGCTGTCACACACGTTGCCATCCTTGATATAGACCTACACCATGGTGATGGCTCACAAGATATTTGTTGGGAAAGAGCAGGATTCACTGGAGACTATGGGAAAGAAGATGACGATGAATTTGATGAGGAAATGCTTAAAAATAACCCGAGAAATGACTATGGGAAAAGATTCGCTACGTACCCGAAGGTTGGCTATTTTTCCCTTCATGATATTAAGTCATATCCAACTGAGTTGGGTTTCGCAACTAAAGACAATATCAAGAATGCATCTACTTGTATTATGGATCACGATTTAAATATCTGGAACGTACATTTGCAAGAGTGGCTGACGGAAGACGAGTTTTATAAGCATTATCAGACTAAATACGTTGCCATTTTGAATAGAGCGAACCAGTTCCTTAATCAATCCAAAAAGCAGTATGAACAAGACTTTCAGGCATATTTAAATCAATTGGGTAACTATAACAAGTATCTACAAAAACCACATTTATTTGGTGCACCAGTTACTAAACCAGTTGTGCCTCCGCCTTTCAAGCCTTTGATTATGATTTCCGCGGGATTTGACGCACTGGAGTATGAAAACCCTCAAATGCAAAGACATGGAATTAATGTTCCAACTTCGTTTTACTCCAGGTTTACCAAAGATGTCGTGAAATTGGCCAAAATACATACCAATGGAAAGGTGATCTCTGTATTAGAGGGAGGATACTCAGATGGAGCATTGACTACCGGGGTTTTCTCGCATCTCATTGGATTAACTAATGACGAAGAAAGCGATAATTTGTGGAACGAAACTTGGGGTACTGAACAAGTGATGAAAGAGTTGACGAAGGGCTGCAAAAAGAACTGGACACCTTATAAAAAGCCTCAAAGCGATGTTACCATATGGGCGAATGAGGTTATTAAGTTGGGTAGATCGATGATGCCTAATTGTATATTGCCAGCCAACTACGTGTACAAGTTCGTCGATCCAGTTCAAGAAAAGGAGAACGTGGGAGTCAGTAGTATGGTCAAGGAATTACAAAAGGACAATCAGAGGTATGAGACCATTGGGGGAGGAGTGAATTATTCAGAGGATGATAGAAGAAGAGTAACCAGATCACATTATAGAAAGAAGGAGGTCTAAAGGAAGTGAAGAAGGGAGAATTATGATGAAGAAGTTTAATGAAGGAAGTATCATCTTACAGCATATAATGGAGAGAGTATCATGATAGAGTAGTAAACAACCAGTGTCATGAAGCAGTGTAAAGGGAGTATCACGATATCTCATAAGCAACCAGTAGCATGGAGAAGTTTAATAAAGAGAGTATCACGATAGTAATAAACGTCGCGCATCGCGGACCAGTAGTAAGCGTACCATGAGAGAAGTACGGAGACATGTAAAAAAGAAGTGAGAAGTAAGGAATATATAAATACTTCAATCTTGTATGTACAGCACAGTACTTCATACTTGTATCACTCTTCTTGTATGTACAGCACAGTACTTCATACTTGTATCACTCTTCTTGTATGTACAGCACTGTACTTCATTTCTTGTATTGCAACACATCGTAATTCATTTAATTGCATGCACAATGAAGTTACACTTCCCATCCAGTGTACACATCACCACGTCCCACATATCGCGTACTTTATTTTACTCGTATTTTCACCTGAACTTTATCGTATCGTATTTTCTAGCCACCTTGGCTATTGTTGATTATTTTCTATTATATTCGCTTCTCTCTCATTCCCTTGCCCCCTTTTCCCTTTCTCTTGACCATGACCCTTCACCCTAACTCCTAGAAAGCGCTACCTAACTAATCCCATCAAAACCCGATCCCTGACCCCCTCTGTTATCTCATGTAGAGCCGTTCTTCAGCCTTAGCCATTTCCTTAAATAGGCGATTTATGCCGTGCTAACACCCACACACCCACACTTTAATCCCCTCTGATGACGTTCCAATTAGGAAATAAACTAACATTTTTTGATTTACTCCACCAAAATCCAATTTGAAGAAAAACGTTAGCACCCATGTGCAGGACCACTTGCCCTTTTGGTGGGAGGAAAAATGTTTTCACAGGAAGTACGCTAGTTTAATTTTAATCACCACGCATGCTGAGCAACATCAGCATTGAAATAGTGTCTAGAGATACATAAGATTGTAGTGACACATCACATTTCGGCTAACCGTTGCGCTGGAGTGAAGAAGAAACAGCCTCTTCGCAATCAATTGCCCCCCGTTTTATATTTGTAGCATTTTGTCTTGTTTGTGTATTGCCAGACTGGAAGCCCCCATAGTCAAGTTTATTTTTCAGAAGTGTAGCGAGTTAGTTCCAGAAACATTGGTCTAACAAAAATGAGCAATTCGAAGCCCAGGATAGCTAGTGTGGGACGAGAGAGCCCCCAGCTGTCACAGGGCCTGATCCCAAATGATCTATACGATTCCAGCGATCTGCACCTGGACGAGTATGGCCCATCCCACCCCAAGTTCGATAGGAGCAAGCTTACAGATGAGCAGTTTATCGAGCAGCTCCTATTCGAAAACCGCGAGTTCCAGGCTGTCGTCAAGAAGCAGGACACGTGGATAGATGCATTGACGAGCCAGCTAAAGGCCCATGAGATCATTCCTGCCGTTCAAAGGACGCTGAAGACTGGCACTTCCTTCATGCCCAGACGCCGACCCTCCAAAGTGGAGTCGAAGCCTCTCTCATCCAAACCAAAACCAAAGGCTTTAGATTTGTCTAATTCGCCATCCCAGCTGCCCATTTCAGCATCGCTGATTGCGTTGGCTCTGCCAATCGCCACACAAACTCCTTCAGTTGCTACTCCCACAGACAAATTCAAGCGCAATCCCAGCAATAGTGTTCTAGACCCAAAGGGTGGAGTCCATTTATCCCCCAGGCTAGCTTCAGCGGCTGCAGCTGCAGCTGCCATAGCTGACTCTACTGGAACAGGTACTGGCTCAGACCTGGATATCACATCATCTTACCTCAATAATAGCGGTACATCTGAGACACCTTCATTAGCAGAAGACGACATACCTGAAAGATCTTCCAGACGAAGAAGAGAGTCGGTTAGAATCGACCACCCAACTACCAGATTCCAAGAAAAGGAAGAACGCGAAAGACTCGAAAAGGAGGAGTTAGAGCGAGAAAGACTAGCTAAGGAAGAGGAGGAACGGATCGAAAGGGAAGCTCTTGAAAAAGAAGCATTATTAACTGCAGAAAAGGAAAGAAAAGAGAAGGAAGAAGCTCAGAGATTGGAGAAGATACGTATTGAGAAAATCAGAGTGGAAAACGAGCGCGTGCAGCAAGAACGTATTCAAAAGGAGAAAGAAGAACAGGAGAGATTAGAGAAAGAGCGTATCGAACAAGAAAAGCTCGAACAGCAGCGCTTAGAACAGGAGCGCATTGAAAAACTTGAAAGAGAAAAGGTGGAAAAGGAACGTTTGGAAAAGGAACGTATCGAGAGGGACTTGCAAGAAAAGAGAAATCAAGAAGCACTCGAGAAGCTAAGAATTGAAAATGAACGAGTTGAAGCGGAACGCCTTGAACGTGAAAAATTTGAGAGAGAACAATTTGAACAAGAGGAGCTCGCTAGAGAAGCAAGAGAACTCCAAGAAAAACTTGAGCAAAATGTATACCCATCAGATGGCTATTCGAACAAGGCATCATTGGAAGATATTGGTACAGCTTCTAATAATATCAACAATAAACCAACTCAAAAATCTCTGGAGGAAGCAATCAGAAGATCTTCCATATACTCAGAGGAAGAGTTAGAAACTATGATTAGCAATACTTCAGATAATAGCGATGCCAAAGTTAATGTGAACCGCAATAATTCAATTCTAAGCCAAGAAAAGAATCACAGCAATAGTAGCTTCAACAGTTATAAATCGAGACTTAGATTACCTGCGACTTTAAATCAACAATCTCAACCTGCTCCACCTCAGCAGCAGCCACCCCAATTACAAAGGCAAGTTTCACAGGGAAAAGCGCAAACTCCAGTGGTCCTGAGGCAAGTATCACAATCAAAACCTCAATCGACTTCTTTCCTGCAGCAGCTTCAACAACAAATACAGCATAGTCAACAACAACAACAACAACAACAACAACAACAACAACAACAACAACAACAACAACAACAACAACAACAACAACAACAACTGCACCAACAGCAACAACAGCACCAACAGCAACAACAGCAGCAACAGCAGCACCAGCAGCACCAACAGCAGCACCAGCAGCCGCAACTGTACCAACAACAACACCAACAGCTGCAGCAACAGCAGCAACAACTGTACCAACAACAACACCAACAGCAGCAGCAACAGTACCAGCAGCAACAACAGCAACAGCATCTTCAACAGCATCAAATACACCAGATTCAGGTACCTAATTTACAACCTCTTTTACACAGCCAGGATTCTCAAGTGTCTCTCCCACAATATCAGGATCTGCCAATTCTCCCCCCACTGTACCAACTGCAAACATCTCTACACTCACCACAATCATATCAAGAAAGGAACTATGATGCGTTGAAACCAGCCCCAGTATTGAGAACTGATCAATTACCTTCTCCTTCGATTCATGATCATAACCAAGGTCATAGGGTAACAACGCCAACTACTCAGTTTGGTGGATTTGACCCCTCTAAGAAGATCCCTTATACTCCAGAAGGAATGCAGAGCTTTGGTATTAAAGTTAACGACATGAACGTATCTCAGGATGATATTGATGCTAAGAGTTACATCTCCTCTCCCCAACAAAGCGCATATCCCCAATCTAACCTCTCGCCAAGTAAATCTGAATTTGGAGGAAGTACCAACGATACAATTTTAAAGACTCCATCGAACCAACAGTTTTATGCCCTTGATTCTTTATCAGCTCAATCTCAGAGTTATCAACAAAATAGTGCCTCTGCTAAGCAACAAAGACGTATCAGCGATAATGGGGAAAGCTCTTCTATGTCATCGTTCCAAGTTTTGAAGACCCCTAAACAAGAAGATTCAAATCTATTCATCAGACCAGAAGAGTTTCAAACAATCAGCATTTATGTGTTGAGTACAATATACCTCAACCCCAATAGGAAGTCAGAGGATCCATTAGTAACACTTTCTGTCTCAGATAAAGATACTGGTAAAGAAATGTGGAGGATTAGAAAATCGTATTCTCAATTGGTGGCATTTGATAACGAAATTAGGCCAATAATAGAGTACTTTGGCTTACCATTGGTTCCAGATAAAGGTTTATTCTTCTCAACCTCACCTGTTAAGATTGATGGCCGTAGAAATCAACTTCAAAACTATTTCAACACATTATTTTTGATGCCCCATATTCCACAAAGTGTGCTCTATAGAATATGCCGTTACTTGTCATTAGATTTTGTTAGTCCATTAGATGACTTCAAGAGTGGAGCTAAGAAAGAAGGATATTTAATCAGGCGATACAAGGGGTTAGGTACTTCATGGAAAGTTAGATGGTGTCAAGTTGATGGTCCTACTCTAGAAATCTATGAGGCGCCTGGAGGAACATTACTCGAACAGATTAGATTGAGAGGCTCACAGATTGGTAGACAATCAGCAGATTCTGTAGCCGAAGAAAAGGGATATCGTCATGCATTCCTATTAATGGAAGGACAAAAGTCATCCAAATTGTCAAATTCTTTGCCCAAGCATTTCTTTTGTGCAGAAAGTGATGAAGAAAGAGATGAATGGATAGATTGTTTGGTTGAATACAACGGTAGTGCCAATGACCTGTTCGTATCCAGGAATTCTTCTGAAATCGACGTGGATACAACTGTCGTTATATCTCCACAAAAATTAAACAACCACCTTCAACAGCTGTTTCATCAACAGAATCAGCTTAATGTTCCTGGAGGATATGGTAATGGTGGGTATATTGAAAAGCAATCTGTTGCATCAAGGCATCCTCCGCATTCTACCAGTTCTCTAAGCTCACCAGTAAGCATGTACCATAATGGGGGAGCTAATGGTAGTTCATCTAATATATTGGATCAAGATCCAAATAAAAGTTTGACGACAGAAGATACAACTGTTTCAAGCAAGGATTTCAAAGAAAATGCTGCTGTTGCTGCTTCGGCTGCTGCTGCTGCGGCGGCGGCTAAGAAGTTGAAGAAGAGGAGCATATTCCCCTTTAGATCCAAGAATGCATCACATGAGAACCATCAGGTTAGTAGTGAAGTTGAGAGCAGCAATTCCTTGCCACAGTACGCCCAGCCTTACACCAATGGTGGTCCAGTTGGGGGCAGTGAACCTTCTATGCAACATTATCTTGACCAAATGAACTTAGATGTGGATGTTTCTAAGTCTATTTTCGGAAGAGACGTAGTGGAAGCGTTCAAGTTGTCGAACCAGAACTTTTTTGGTAGGCAAGTGCCCAGTGTTTGCTACAGATGCCTAGACTACCTTTCAAGGACCGGCGCAGTGTTTGAAGAAGGTATATTCCGTCTCAGTGGTTCAGCTTCATCAATAAGACAACTAAGAGATTTGTTTAACACCAAATTTGATGTTGACCTCTTCGACTGTGCCATCCAGCCTGATATTCACACCGTTGCAGGACTTTTCAAGACTTATCTCAGAGAATTGCCTGCGCCAATCTTGGGTGTAGGACCTTTCAATGATTTGAAGGCAATTGTTAATAACAAGGATAAGCATACAAACCCAGCAATGTTAGCGTTACAATTTAGGGACTATATATCAGACTCAAACAAGTTGGACCCAGTCCACTTTGACGTCTGCTTCGCAATTTTTAAATTCTTAACGCAAATCATAGCTAACAGCTCGTCTAATCGAATGAATTTGAGAAACGTTTGCATTGTCTTCGTGCCCACATTGAACATATCTTTAGAGGTATTGAGTATAATCTTAATTGATTTTGATTGCATTTTCGAAGGAGGTCAACCAGTACCTGATGACAAAAGAGAGGTATTAGATCTCTACATTCCAAACTTTTAGAAGAAACTGATAAATCATATGTTGAGCAAGTTGAGCTTGACTCTCTCAGGCTATTGATTAGCCTTAATCTAGTATTACGAAATAATAAATGATTTAATGTGTATATTTTACTATAACTACTGATTTTTCTTTCCTTTTATATCTTTTATATATATTTTTATTTTCACTTACTTTCATTTATCTTTGTTGGACTACCAATGTAGTACAATCCTCTACCATTCACTTTCACCATTAGCTTTCTGGAAAACATAATCCCTACCGTTAATATTAGCAACACCTTCCTTCAAGGTGGACTTCCACTTGTTTTTCACTCTTTGCACTTTGTCGTACAAGCAAAGCATAATCTGCCCATCGTCTTGGCCATCTTCATCGTCTTCCTTATCACTTTCAACATCATCGTCCAAGTCAGAGTTAATGTCATCAGAGTCATTATATATATCGTCATCATCAAAGTCGTCGGCACCGTCTGCCTGAGCCAATTTCTTTAAATTGTTTTGGTTCTTTCTCTTTATCTTCTCCATCAACCTGGCAGCTTCGCTGGAATACATAGTAAATTCAATAGTTCCGTCAGCTTGCCCAATTGTAGGGATCATCAAGCCATTATCATCTCCAACATCATCTTCAGACTTTATTCCTGGTAGTTGTAATCCGCTGTTATTGGACGCTACGGATGTCGTGGTGTTATAAGATAAAGCCGAGTTTGGTAATTCAAGACCACTCGAATGCAAATCTCCATCTGGGGCAGGCACCGGTACCTCGTGGTGAAGCTGCTGTTGTTGGTGAAGCTCATCTTGATGAATCTGTTCTTCCTGCTGTTGTTCCTGTTGTTGTTGTCTAAGTGCTTCTTCCTCTTCTCGGCTGGCTTCTTCATCCCACGAGAACTTAGCAATTGAGGACTGGCTCAACTTCTGGCACCATATCTTTCTCAATTCCTGTAAAGTAGATTCATCTATCCCACTATCTTCAAAATCTTGTCTCGAATCAGTGATAACTTCTTCAATAACTTGCTCATAAAGCCTGGTAGCTTCGAAGTTAGACATACTACGTAGTTTGATATGTGCCTAAAATTTATTCAGCTTTCTCAATAATTTTTCACCTGAGATGTATTGGTCTTTTCGATTCTTTTTTCGATTTTTTTGGTTTCGCCTTTTGTTCTACGTTTCTACAGTACCTAATGGTATGATCTATAAACTATTCTCTACGATATATAGCTTCAATTAGATGAAGCTGGACAAGTAGAGGGGCAACTTCAATGGATTTGTCATAAACGGTTGAATTTTTCGCTCAATTTATAGTCCAGCCAAGTCAGGTGATCGTAATATGCAGGCCCATTGTATAAAAAGAGTATAAAGGTGGATCGGTGCCAGGCTTCCTGGCGTGTTTGCTACAGGGGGTCAAGTAAATTTTGGATATTACACTCTCTATATAGTCGTACATGTATGCATGATCTGGTTCAACTTCCTTGATTATTATTTCTACCTTCTTGCTCTTCTTGGCGATGACCTTTTCCTAGTATCTTGCTCAGCAACAGCCTTGTACTCTTCGATCAAATATAATAATTGATTCTTTTCAGTATTAACAATATCTAATTTCTTTTCCAAGCTCTCAATGTCTCTACGTTGAGCCTTGTTTTCGATATGAAAATGATCAATCAGGTTTTTGAATTTCTTTTCCACTGATTTTCTTACTTCTATAACTTTTGCGTCGTGCTTCTTCGAGTATTCATGGTACAATTGATCTGAGACATCCTTAATTCTCTTTTGAAGGTAGTCATCGCCTTGGGCTAATTCTTCCTTCAATTTAGATACTTGGGCTCTTAAGTCTTGCAATTCTTGAACGCTTTCTTCCTTTTTGTCATTGACCTCGTTGGAAACAGCAGCCTTCTGCTTTAGTTCGTTGACTTTTTCAACTAATTCACTCATCTTCTTAGTGTCACCACTAATTATGTTATCCTTTTCCTTGTTAGTTGCCTTCAAAACTTCTACTTGATCCATGGAATTTGTCAATTCAACTTGAAGGTGGTCCCTGTCTTGCTCTATTTCCTTTATTTTAGTGTTGAGCTTTGTGACTCTGGACTCAGAATCTTCTAGCTTACTACTCAAGTGATCTCTCTCTAATTCATTGCTCTTCAATTTCTCTTGAATTAGTTCAAGATCTTTCTGAAGCGTCCTTTCTATCGATAAAGACTTTTCAAATAATTCATTCTTTTCAACTCTAACTCTTTCGATCTCTTGTTTGCCCTCTGCGACTTTTCCTTGTAAATCATTAATCTTATCCTTAGCTAATGTCTCAAGTTTATCCAATTCTTCAACCAAGTTCGTCTGCTTGTGGTTTATCTCTTGCAATTCTGAATTTTCTTGCTTGAGATTTCCTGTTTCAATCAAAAGTTCTTCCTTTTCCTTTAATAGTTGATCAATCTTATAGTTATTTTCAAGGTTACTATCCGTCAACTTTGAAATCTCTCTTTCATTGCTGTTTAAGATATTTTGACTTTCGGTTAATTGACTTTGTAAGTGTAACTTCTCATTTATCTCAGATTTGAGCTCTTTACTTTTACCTTCCAAGTCTGCTTTCAACTTATCGTTGTCTTGACTTAAAGTTTCAAATTCCTCCAGTTGCAGCCTCAATTGAGATTTTAGCTTGTTCAACTTTCCGTCCAACTGTGTGGCTAAAGTTGATTTGAGTTTGAAATTCTTGGTGGCCTTCGCTAATTCTCTCTCCGTATGCTTTAATTGAACTCTGAGTAACTCTTCGTTGGCGATCAACTTCTTTTTGGCCAGTTTTAATTCCTTAATCTCTTGATCAAGAATTAAAAATTTTCCATTCGTAGAGGATAACTCTTCGGAAAACTTCAATATTTCTTGATTCTTGTGGTATATAACATTTTCTAAGCTATCAATTTCCTTCGAATTTTCATTCTGTATTTTTTTAATGTGATCTATGGAGAATACGGGCTTTGAGTTTGGTGACATCAAAAAGTTTATGGTGGGCTCATCGACCAATCCTGTGAACCCGAGCGTCGAATCATCATTTATACCTCCTTCGCCATCGGCAACCGCTGGAACAGTATTGCCATTTTCGTCAACAGCATCATCGTCGTCATCGTCGTCGATAATATTGATCTCTTCTCCTGGATATGGCTCATCATTCATTTCTCTTTCAGTAGCAGCATCATCTTCATCATCCTGAATTTGCTTGAGCTTCAACGGGCTTGTGTTCTCAATCTCCACTTCACCGCCCAACATTCTATTTTGCTGGCTGGTTGTCGGGCTCTTTGCAATCGGTTCAGTGAGTCTCTGAGGTGTAACATATTCCTTGTCAAGGTTAAGCATAATTCTACCACTTTGCGTTATATCCTTTTTAGGAGCAATGGTGATATTGTCAGATCTAAGATTGGTACTGCTATGGTTGTGTGCCGTAAAGTCACTGTCGCTATCATTATCAATGATAACATTCTTGATACTGTCGCTATTTCCACTATTATGACTACCACTCTTCTTGGCGCTGCTTGGAACGGATCCTGTTCTAGACAACTGTCCTACCAAATCTTCTTTGTTAAAGACGTCATCAACTCTAACCAGGGAGTTACGGCGCACAGTGATATCCTCATCATCTTCATCCTCAACTGCTATGCCTTCCATTTCTTTGAATGAACTTTCCAAGTCATTGGCATTGGTAACAACTTTAGCAATCTTGTGCGGTACTTCGCTACCCGCTGACTGTACTCGCTTTTTGTTTAAGGGAGAGTCAATGACCTTTTCAGGAGACGATTCAAAGGGACTTCCGCTTCTTCTCTGGGGTTTGCCTAGCTTATATATATTTTCCTTGTTGTTGGATGGACTGCTGTCCCTGCTTGATCTCAATTTCTTCAACTTGGCATCGATGTTCACCTTAGATCTACGGAGCGATTCGATGGTGGAATCAGAGGCTTCAGGGGCAACAACAGTGGAGGTATTTGCAGATCTGGATCCAGTAGCTCCACCAGCAGCACCGACAGCGCCCCCACCCACGGCTCTGGGCAAGGTTAACGGAGCCACCAACGGTTTCAAGGCCGAAGAGTACAACAGACCAAGAGCTTTTTTGCTTTTCGGAGTAGTGGTGCCCTGGTGGAACGTATTCCTTCTTGCCTCATGTTTTGCAGTTAATCCATGGGGATGATTTTGGTTCATTTTGTGCAAGTTAATAGGGGACAATTTTTCTCCTTCAATTATGGAGTAATCGGGTTGAAATCTGATAGGCGAAGACATCTTAACTAAATAAACAAATACCGCTACTTATTTACTAATATATGCTACGCTTCTTACCCTTTATCGCTTCCTTCTTTTCCTTTTCTACCTTCTTCTTTTGAGGTTGCCAAAAAAAAAAAAGATTCAAAATTTTTGTTTGTTTTGATCCCAAGAACTGCACGCGTCAAAGATATATGCAGGACCAAATAAGGTTCCTGGCTGCAAAAAAAAAACTATAGAGTTCAAAATATATTGTGAAATTTTAGCTACACCTTTTGGAGCCCTGAAGGATGAACGTAAATTGTTGTCGTCGGGAAATATAAAAAGAAAAGTGTATATAAAATAATTATATAGTAATAAAAAAAACAGATCCAATGCAAGATCAATACAAAACATTTTATAGTGGAAGATAAACCAATATCCCTAAAAATAAAACAATATGGAACATGTAAATCAGTGGCTCCCACTATAAATTTTTTGTTCATGTTATGCTTTGTATATTCTCTCTTTTCGATTGGAGGTGCTCATCATAATTTCAAAATAATAAAGAAAAATAACTCAAAAGGTATAGACAAAGAAAAAAAAGAAGCATTTTTTTTTTTTGTTCCTGGTCCCTCTTGTTGTTATAAGTTTTACCTTATTTTACTTTTCCTCATTTAAAAAAGATTAAATAAACTTCTTCTTTCGGCAGCTGGGGCATAAGTTGAAGCACTTGGGGCGGCAGATGAGTAGAATGTACCATTTCCGCTGGCAGTGTAACTTGGAGTCGAGGTGACTGAAGCTGATGAGGAAAGAGAAGAGGCAGCAGATGTAGTTGCAACTGCAGCTGCGGCATCTGCTTCAGTGGTTGTAGCTGGAGCTACAGCAGATGCTGAAGAACTACTAGAAGTCAAGGTGATTTCAGTGGTAGTAGTGGAGTAAAGAGTTGAAGTGACTTCAACGTAACTAGTAATAGTTGTAGTCTGGTTAGCACCGTAAGTGAATTCGGCAGTAACTGGATAAGTAGCAGTAGCAGTGGTGGTCTCGACAATCGTAGAAGTAGTGATGTCTTGATCAGCGCTGGTTGAGGATGCTTGACAGTTGTTTTCAGTAACGGTAACAGTAACAGTAGCTGGGAAGGTGGAAGTACCAGTTGAGGTGACATCTTCAGTGATAGTTGAAGATGCGAGGGTAACGGTGGTCTTCTTGGTAATGGTCAGGGTAGAGGTGATTGAGTCGTCGTCAGAAGTTGAGGCAGCACCAGTGATGGTTGAGGTCAAGGTGTTGGTTGGAACAGCAGTGGTGACTGAACCAGAGGTGACAGTCTTGTACTGGATGATAGTAGAAGTGATGGTTTCATCTTCTGCTGAAGCTTCAGCTTCCGCTGCGGCAACTGAGCTGGAGGCGGTTGCTGGAATGGTAAGAGTGGTGGACTGTAAAGTGACAGTTACCCACTCGTCAATAGTAATGGTGGTGGTACCTTCGGCAGAAGTTGCTGACGAGACTGGGGCGTTGGACGAGGAAGTCAAAGATTCGGTGGTGTTGTCATAACGCTTGAATGGGACAGCAGATGCTGAAGATGCCAATAAAAGGGCACCGAGGGTATAAATCAATTGCATTGCTTAAAGTTTAAAAATGAAAGGTGTTTTATTGGTTTATTCTTAGGCTTTAGAAAGATAGACGTTGAAACTGGTCAGTAAATATCACTAAAGTCGTTTTGGAATAAAGGAATGGACGCGTTTAGAGTACGCAAACGATGTTAATGAAAGTTATCTAACTACAAGTTAATGTTAACTAAGATGAAAAGAAAGGAAAAGAAGAAGAAAAGAGAAAGGAGAAAAGGCCATTATAAAGCTTAAAAACTGAATCAGCACCAAATTCTATATATATAACTTCACTCGATGAATCTCAAGGCTTAAGGAAAATTTTTCTAGTGCCTTGGTATGTGCATAATTCGTGTTTCAAACTTTGGCACCAAATCTAAGGGGTCCCAAAATATTTTGCTGCTTTGTTGGTAAACTTTAAGCAATTTGCTAACAAAGAGCCACAAAAAACGCGAATTAGGCAAGCAAAATCGCGAATTTTTTGTTTGAAAAGCTGCAAATTCTACTAAAACTCCCTATGTCGCACCTGTCTAAGCCCGGAATGCTCAAAACCCATTCAGTAGGGTATACAGTCCAAAGGACAACGTTTTAGTATAGAAAATAAATAATGGAACGATCCATGATGGACTATTATTTTCGAATGAGAATTTAAAACATAGGACTTACCCCGTCTAAAGAGAATGCAATTGAACCAAAACGGTGAATCTAAAGGCTAAACTTTGATCCAAAGGGATGATGTGCCAGACCGTTGGGAATTCAAAAAGGTGCATTCTCTTCACGGAGTAAGAGATGCCCCTTCTTCGTTCAAGCATTTTTCTAGTGTTGTTGTTATCGCTCCCTGCTTAAGGTACTCTGCCTTGCTAACGCTGTTTTAAAAATAAATGCGCTAGCTCTCTAATTTTCGGTATTTTTCTTTTATCGTTGCTCCGCTTCCCGTTTATTTTTCGTTTATTATTATTATTTCCTCGAGTTTATTCTCGTTTAGCCTGCATGAGAATGCTTTGTCCTGTGCAAGGTAGAGCAGCATTGGCCCTGGAAGACGGAGAATTACAAAGAGACATGAAATGTGGTGCATATAACCAATGTGGAATGACGTAGACATTGGGGGATTTCGATGTCATCTGAAAACCCTAGAGCTTAAATCTGTTTTACAAACATGCTCTTGTGACTTGCCTTCTAGAACGCAAACGTTGTATCAGGTCTCAATCGCAATAGAGGGGAAAGTTGCAGGGGATAGTAAACATAGCATAGTAATGCAGTTTCTAAGACATACTAGGACATACGTGCAATCTAGGCACATTTTCTCTCGTTGACGAAGAAACGCAGTGACCAAAACAATATCAGAGGCTTTTATGAGGTTGGCGCCAACCACATGTCTAAGAGCTAAAAAAAATTTTACTTGAAGGTAGACGGCGGCTCGATTCTGGTGCTAAAAATTTAAAGTTGAGCTAAACAAAAAAAAAAAATGCATCGTCTTAGAAAACCAAGGAAATGTAATATCGATCTTGTACCATTTACTCAAGCCTCGATCGCAAGGTTACATTTTGCGATCCACACTCAGCATTATACAATTGTGCGATAATACAATGGGAAATCACCTTCTTATAGGCCATTCCTGGGAGATAAGGTGGAATCCCATGCCTAAACTGGCCAGGGCCGTCCCAGTATGGTGAAAGAACCGAGCCGAGTCACAATCCGGCACAGAGTACCTGATAAGTCGGAATCTTCTCAGTAAATTCCGCTCACATGAACCTCATATAGTGCTCTAGTTCCGTCCTAGGTTTTCACTTCTTATCCTCTTGTCCCTCTTTACTCGTTTATTCTACACCGCGGTTTGCTAATCGATACCTAAATATGAGAGGCTTGGAAATACACTCTTCTCCAGACAAGAAGAAATACGTTATCGGGGGTGCAATCGCCTTCGTGATTCTTGTTATTGCTGCCCCCTTTCTTTCTTCAACTTATTCTTACTTGAAGATCGCCACGAGCAGTATTGACGAAAGTATTTGTCCTGTTTATGACTTCAAACGTCCTGCATCCTTCTTAATTGATAACTCTACTGCTGTTGAAATTATAAATGATGAAAAGTTTAGATTGAAGTCTGTCCAAAAGGTTTCAGGTGCCGTCCGGATTGACACTACTGTTTTCGATAACCAACCAGATGTCGATGATGATCCAAAGCTTTGGGCCAACTTTGCCAAATTCCATAAATACTTGGAATTGACCTTCCCTACCGTATATGCCTTGTTAGAGGTTAACTACGTGAACACTTACGGTATTGTTTTCCACTGGAAAGGTTCGGATAAGCACTTAAAGCCCTTGATGCTTGCCGCTCATCAGGATGTAGTTCCTGTGCAGAAGGACACCTTAGATGCTTGGACCTACCCACCTTTTGAAGGTCACTACGATGGTGAGTATCTCTATGGTAGAGGTTCTTCTGACTGTAAGAACGTGTTGATCGCTATTTTAGAGAGTTTTGAGTTATTGATCTCCAAGGGTTATGAACCAAAAAGAAGTATCGTGGCAGCCTTTGGGTTCGATGAAGAGGCTTCTGGGATCGTTGGGGCTCAAAATATTGCCAAGTACTTAGAAAAGACCTTTGGCAAAGAGTCAATGTATGCCATTATTGATGAAGGTCAAGGTTTGACCACAGACGCCAACACCAACCAGGTCATTGCCATCCCAGGTACTGGTGAAAAGGGGTATGTGGACATTCTTGTTGAATTAACTACACCAGGTGGACATTCATCTGTTCCCCCAGACCACACTCTGATTGGTATCGTTTCTGAATTGGCTTACTTGATAGAAAAAGATCCATATAACTCCATCTTGACTGAAAAGAACCCATACTTGAACTACTTACAGTGTGGTGCTGTTCACCAGGGCAAGAAGGGAGGACTCTCTTCATTCATGAAGAAGGCTATTTTGAGAGCTGGTTTTGATAAATATGCCAACTCCAAAGTTTTAGAGTTACTTAGAGCTAATTTACTCACCAAGTACCTTGTCACAACTTCACAAGCTATTGACATCGTTAAGGGTGGAGAAAAAGTCAATGCCTTGCCAGAGTACACCAAGATGGTGGTGAACCATAGAGTTGCCATTGAGACAACTTTAGATGAAGTTAGAAGCAATTTCATTGAGAGAGCAAAGATTTTGGCTAACAAGTATGGATTAGATTTAGAAGGTTTTGGTGAAGCCATTATCGATAACAAATCATCAAAGGGAAAATTCGTTATTCTGAATTTCAGCAGCCCATTGAAGTCTGCTCCAGTGACTCCAGTAGACGATAAAGTTTGGGAATACCTTGCTGGAACTACCAGACACGTTTTCGAAGACTTGGTTTTCACCAAGGGTAACAAATTGGACTACCCCATTGTCACCGCTCCAAGTATCATGACCGGCAACACTGATACCAGATACTACTGGAACTTGACCAAGAATATTTTCAGATATTCCCCCATGTATCTTGATGATTTTGTTAAGGGAACTAACATCCACAGTGTAGATGAGAAATTAAAGTTCGACAATCACTTGCAATTGTTGACATTTTTCTATGAATTCATTCAAAATGTGGACACTGCCGAGGCTAATAACAAATAGGGATCATATGATACCAAAAGATAGTTTAAAAAATCCATCTTGTGTGACTTGAATAAACATCATTAGATAAACCCTATTCTTAGTTTATGTTGCACCCACTGTGTGCTACCGGAGATAAGACCAGTCGCGCCAAATTTCCTAAAAAAAATAAATTACGCATGGAAGCGCTAACTTTAGAAAAACTGAGCCCGAGGTAGAAGTCGGGCGAAAGTTCGTTCCCCACGAATCTCTCATCTCTTCATCTCTTCACCTCTTGGTAGTATATAGAGGACGTGTTTTTCATTGTTGTATTCTCTTTCAGTTCTCTTTTCAGTAGCTCTCTGCCCTTCACGATGACTGACAAAATTATTTTACATCACCTTCTGCATTCAAGATCGGAAAGAATCGTCTGGTTGTTAGAAGAACTTGGAATTCCATTTGAAATTAAAGTTTATAAAAGGAAGAACGGCCGTGCTCCATTCGATTGTAAGGAAGTTCACCCATTAGGTAGATTTCCAATCGTTGAAATTTATAAAGATGGTGACACTAGTAAACCTTCAAGAAAGTTGACTGAAACTGGTTACATCAGTAGTTACTTGGTCGAGCACTACGACACGGAGAAGAAATTGATTCCTGACAATGAGGAAGACAGAGAACTAGCAAAGTTTTATAGTTACTATAGTGAAGGCTCAGTGCAATACCTCTTACTTGCTCTCATGATAAACGGCTTGGTTGTTGCTGGTATGCCATACGGACTCAGTTACCTTGCTGGAAAAGTCACTGGATTGATCAACAGTGTCTACTACTTAGGTGAAGTTAAGAACCACTTCAAATACTTAGATGAGCAATTGAAAGCCAAGGGTACTGATTTTTTTGCGGGTGACAAGTTGAGTTACGCGGATATTATTTTGAGTTTCCCACTTTATGACAACACTTTCTCTAACCCTGATAAGGTCAAGACATTAATTGGTGTCGATGTAGAAACTCAGTATCCATATCTTTACAAGTGGTCAAAGAGAATTGAAGCCAACACCACCAGACAATCTGTTGCTGATAAAGTCAAGAATAAGCTTTAGTAGGATGTTATTCCAAAAATCATACTAGTTATATGACGTAGTCCCATTACTTCACCTGGCCCTTATATGTATGTATGTATTTGTCTAATGTATGGTGTACTAAATTTATCATCATTGCTTTACTGCATAAAGAGTTATTTTCCATATTGTCATTTTAAGCTTTTCGGTATAGAAAATCGCCACATAACTAAACTAATTCCTTACTTACTCCATCCATAACAGTACTATATTCTTTCCTTACTGTAGGTACACACATTCTCTAAAGCATTTACGTTATGAAGTACTATTCTGCAATTGACCGTTTCTTCAACAAATTCCGCAAGAAGGGGTTTCTTTTGTACGCGACTCTCGTGATTGCAGCAACAGCGTACTCGTTCTACTCCATATCCAACTTACCAGACGTGAAAGAATTAGAGCAACTTAAAGAACAGAAGAGGAAAAAGGAGCAATTGAAAAAGCTGGAGACAGATAAGAAGAAAGAAGTAAAAGCAGAAGAAGAAGAAGAAGAACAAAAAGATGCAGAAACTAAGAAGCTAAAGGAACTGGAAAGTCCAAGCAAGAAGCTGAGTAGTTTATTTGTAGATGAAGAATTGCTGAAAGATCACAGCAAGATCGACAATTGGTCCAGAAGGGAACTACACTCCTACCTCTCCAGGCATAAAATATACCCAGACCTTGACACTTCATTGGAAGACTTGATTGAACAAGTGAAAGTCATATACTACGAAAACAAGGTTGCTCATTTTATATAGCCAGTGTATAATTTTACCAGTCTGTTTGTCGTGTGGTTTACTTTAGGAGTTATTGTGGAGTAATAGTGGTTATCGGTTATGAGTGAAGAAAAAAAGTGTATCTAGATCCAGCCTTGCCACATTTACACAGTCTGACAACCATTGAGGTGGCTGTTTTGCGAAGGACTATATAAGAATAGGAAGAAGCGCTAAGAATCGCTCAGAAGTGCTGAAAATCAGTTAGTTGGGGTAAGTCTTACATGGACCCTTCACCAAGCTTTACATAAGAAAATGATGACCTGAGAGAATTGGCTAGATAGTCGGATAGAAGCCTAACTAAAACATCTTCAACTACACAGCTACATCACTTCTATGTTGCATATACTTTCACAGCAATTGCCTTCCCCTATTGTCCTGTCTATAGCAGTCAGTACTACAGGCACGGATTAGAATATGCTTGCTCCTGTCTATAACCTGCTAATTTTGCTTTCCGACATAGGGGGTAGTCACTAGTCTCATTCTCATCCAATAAGCACAGTGCATTCACTCGTGCTCCCAATTCCCGAGTGGAGAGCTGTATACAGGTAAATTGCTAAAATAATGATATTTTAGTCAGCAACACTATCCAGTAAGCGAGTGAGTGTGAATTGTGCGACGGTGAGGGTGACAGAGAGTGAGCAATAGAGAGAGGGGGTGGCCTAGAATTTTCTTTTTTCAATATATATATTTCCAAATTTCAACTACTGGAAATTCTCTCCCTTCTCTCCTTTTTCTTCAACTAAAATAAAACATATTATTTTTCAATTCAGACTCAATTGAATCGGAATTTAGTGTATACTTATAGTAATTGAACTCATATAACGTCAAAATGGTCAAAGCTGGTAAGTAGGGGCATAAAAAAAAAAGAAATGGAATATTTGCTCATATGAGCACTTTTTTAGTGTAGTGAAAAGATATAACCATGGATCTTTTGTAGTTGGCAATGCCGACTGGTGGGAAAATTAAAAATTAAATTGCTCGTAAATAAATATACTAACTCAATTGCAGTCGCTGTCTTAAGAGGAGATGCCAAGGTTGGTGGAACTGTCACCTTCGAACAAAAATCCGAATCTGATCCAACTTTTATCTCTTGGGAAATTTCTGGAAATACCCCAAATGCTTTAAGAGGATTCCACGTCCATCAATTCGGTGATAACACCAATGGTTGTACTTCTGCTGGTCCTCATTTCAACCCATTCCAAACTAACCACGGTGCTCCAGAGGATGAAGAAAGACATGTTGGTGATTTAGGTAACATTACCACTGACTCTGATGGTGTTGCCAAGGGTACTAAGCAAGATTTATTGGTCAAGTTGATCGGTGAAAACTCAATTATTGGTAGAACCGTTGTTGTTCACGATGGTACCGATGACTTGGGTAAGGGTGGCCACGCTGACTCCCTCAAGACTGGTAACGCCGGTGGTAGACCAGCTTGTGGTGTCATTGGTTTCACCAGCTAATCGTTTTTGCAAATTTGAAAGTGTATATTTGGATATATTTTGAAAATGTATGGCTCCAAGAATAAGAATATGTCAGTAGTGATGTAGGGCTCTCTACAAAGTCGAGCTTAAATGTATACAATATTGTATTTACTAGTTCTTTGGGAGATATCTTACTGTGTCTGGACAATTCGAGTCCGTTAAAGTATCAATTGACTTGTACTTACCTGTCAAGACATTACCTTCGATATTGTAGTAATAATAAATCTGATTAACTGCATCGGAATCTGAGCATCCCACGTAAACTTGAGCTCCGTGCTTTTGGGATAATGCATCCTGAATATCTGATAACGAATAAGTGTCATCACTAGAAGGAGTGATTCCAGCACTAGAGAGCCAATCGTAAGTTGGCCTTGATTCCCAAACTTCAACCACCTTTCTGTAGAAGTCATAAGCTGTTTCGTAGTTTTGGTAGTTGCTTGCATAGCACAGTGGCTGCAAAGTGCTAAAACACGTACCATGTTTATTGTACTCATGTTCCCACAATGATTCCAGGGTACCACCATTATTCAACCAATAAGTTTTCATAGTGTTCAATAAGTCCTGATCATCAAAGGTATTGCCGATAAGATTGTCTAAGTTAGCTGCCTTCACTTCCAAGTCATCGTTGCAGTACTGTTCGTAAGATCCGTCACATTTGTCATTCCACAAGCCATGGATCGTAAACTTGGTGGACGCATCAGAATTTTCATTCGTATCGTAATCCCAAAACTGAGTGTGTAATACTACACCGTTCTTGGCTTCATAGCAACAGCTGTACTTAGATGGGACAGTACCACTTGCATGACACGAAAAGGCTGCATACTGGCTATCATAGAATGCCAGACAACTCTTCACATTGTACAGCTCACTTCTCTTCGAAGTGTCAACTGGAAAAGCAGTGATTGTAGTTAAAAAGGTAAAGAAAGTAAAAGTAGAGAATTGCATATCGATATTTTCTTAATGAAATAGAACCAGAGACATGACGACTAGTGTGATTTTTCCATGCGTTTATATACTTCGAAATGAACTAGTACCATTAGCTGCCGTGTAGTATTGGGGCAAACGTGTGAAATCAGGGATGCTAATGTAGTTTCCAGTTGACATTTCGATAGGCTACCGTACCTTCTTTTTTCCATCATAAGCTTCGTACCTTCCGCTGTTTCATCTTGGGTAATAAACGTTTAAATCATTAAGCTGCAAATAGGAACAATTGTTGCTGCAGGTGGGCATTACTTTTGATTACATGCGTCGAGCCGCACGCTTTAAGCAGTTAGATTATTGATTTGCAATTTCATGTACCGTATTGGAACCGGTGCCTTTGTATGGTACGGACCATTCGATGGTGGAATGGATTCGGGTGTTCGAGAAAGGTGCCTAACTAGATTGTTATTTCTTTTTATTTCAAGATAATTGGAGACGATCTTTGTGATGAAGTTTAAATGAACAAAAAAATGCCGAAGGGGTACTATATTCCCAGTTTTCTTTCTAATTATTTATTCAACATATTCTGTTTGTTCTACGTACGATTTACACATGCTTCGTTAAGTAGTTTTACCTTACCTTATCCTAATTACCTTAGGCGCTCATTGTTCAGATGTGCCTTTTTCTTTTTTCGAACAACTTCACTTGCTTTTTATTAGGAGCTTTTTACGGTTCTGATACTAGCGTCTACGAGAAGTTCTTCCACGCTATTAATTATCCATATAGAATACTTTTCATCTTTGATGTCTTCAAAGCAAATCAACTGTATATCTTCATCCAGGTAGATAGGTTGTGTGTTCTTATAGACTATTGAACTTACATGCAAGTTGGGGTAAAATTTTCTGGAAAACCAGGTTAATATCACCGTTATTGAAAGTGGGCCCGAAATCAAAACCTTGGGGAATCCTTCTACTACTTTACAGTAGTCAATGTCATAATGTATCTTATGGGCATTGTAGGTTAGCGAGCTATACCTAAAATTTTCAGTTTGAGAAAGCCTGACTTTCTCTGTAAATTGAGTTTCTCTGGCATCTAGAGCTTTGTTTAGAGAAATCCCTTTCTCATACATGGAATTACTATATGCTAATGTCCTTTCCTCTATCACCAAAGGCACAGTTTGGTTTTTTTGAACAAATTTACGTTCAATATTGACAAAGCAGACTGTGTTAAAATGCCTTACACTTTTGATTTGCTCTAAACATTCGACATTAGTATCAAATAGTATTGGATTTAGAAATTCAATTTTACCTCTAACCCACATTCTACGCCTAAATAGTTCATCCTTCGTACGTGTATCAACTGGTGCTTGGTAATTATCATATCCATCTACACCCAATTGATTCAGATTTGGATTATGATACACTAAATGGTATCCAGCTGGCAAAGAGGAACTACTATTGCTATCTATAGTTTCGTCAAATACAGAACTCAAAAGTGTATCTAGCCTACTCGCTGGTAATCTATCAATAATCTGAGTCGATTTCCAGTACTGTTTTAGTATGTACAGGGTCCAGTCTCGGATGCAATTCCGTACTGACATGTTTATATATGTCAGCAGGAAATTGATAGGATCGGATTGGATTAGAGATCGTATTCGTATTGGACCAAAGATCACTACTTGCAAAGACTCAATTACAACTTCTATAACTCCGCAAAGTAGAAACAAGAAAAAAAAATTGGCCAAAAAACAATGAATATGTAAATGAAACAAAAAGAGGCATGTGCCTGTAATACTTAAAATAGCGATGGAAATAATGAAAACCACAAATTCTTCGCCTAGATTACTTCAATTTTCATTATTTTCAGTACTCAAGTATCAAATAATCAGTTTCCAGGAGCCAGGTATTGCAAAAGAAAGCTATACAAACTATCCACCTTCATTTCCTTGACCCCACGTTATTCTTATCATCAAAATATTTAAACTGGTCACGTGAGCTCATCGCTACATCCCAAAAAAATAAAACAAAAATTTAGAAGAGAAGGAAGAAATTGAAGAACTGGTTAAGTGTCTTTTACTTTGCTCTTCTATATTCTATATTCTGCCAGAAACCTCTTCCGCAATGAGTAGCAATAGTGAAGCGTTGAAGAACATTAAGAATAAGCAGAGAAGGCAGAAGCTTTTTGCCAGTCTTAAACATGAAAAAAACAAAGACCGTCATACCAAGAGAGCTGAGAGAGCCAAAGAAGAGAGAGCAAATCCGGAATTGAAAGAAGAGAGATTGGCTACTAACGTGCCAGAGACTATTGAATCGAAAAGAGTTTTCGATGAAACTATACAAGATGAAGTTGAAGGAGAAGATGGATTTGAATCATATTTCTCTGCAGATACAGCAAAGGAACCAAAGATATTGTTAACTACGAATGCAAACGCTCGTAAGCAAGCGTATGAGTTTGCAGATTTATTAATGGAAATTTTTCCTAATGTTACCTTTGTCAAACGTAAAAGAGAGTTCTCAATGAAAGACATGTCCAAATTTTGCATAAATAGAGATTACACCGATTTGATTGTAATTAATGAAGATAAAAAGAATGTTAACGGTATTACCTTTATACATTTACCTGAAGGGCCAACGTTCTACTTTTCCATTTCGTCGTTAGTTGATGCGAAAAGGATAGCAGGTCATGGTAGGGCATCAGATCACATTCCTGAGTTGGTTTTAAATAATTTCAATACCAGATTGGGTAAAACCGTTGGTAGGTTGTTCCAATCGCTATTCCCACACAGACCTGAATTCCAAGGTAGACAGGTAGTTACCTTGCATAATCAGAGAGATTACATATTTTTCAGAAGACATAGATATATCTTCAGAAACGAAGAAAGGGTTGGTTTACAAGAATTAGGGCCGCAATTCACCTTGAAGTTAAGAAGAGTTCAAAAGGGGATTAAGGACGAGATCGAATGGGAACACAGACCAGATATGGAAAGAGACAAGAGAAAGTTTTACCTTTAGTTTGATAGTATATAGAATGGCATTATTTAAATCACGACATCAGCACAACCTGTAAGCAAAAAGCAAGAGATAAGCGAGGCAAACAACTAGTGAAACACAACCAGTAGGGAAGTAACGGAGAAACAATCACGCAGCCGATACAACTAGTGAAGCATAGCCTATAGGCAAACAACAAGCAAAGCAAAACCTTAGGCAAAACAGCTAGTGAGACGAATACATAGTGTAAAGGCTAATGAAAATGAGAAAAAAAAAAAAGCATTAAAATGATAAAAAAAAAAAAAGGGTCTATTAACCAACTGTATGCACTTCATTATACCCCAAAACATCACCAGGTAAACTGTTCCCAACAACTCTCGTATCTTTTATCCAAGCACAGCACCAATCCAGGGTAACTGATTAAGAGTTGGATGTAGCGACTCGGCTCCGTTTCCCATTTAAGGCTGAATTTCATACTACAACGCTTCCTATCGCTTTTCTATCTTCAAATTTTTTCCCGTTTATTTCAGCCCTACTCCTTCGTTTTCTCTAAACCGATTTCACCGATTTTTTCGTCTTGTGCTGTTTTACGTGTATTTTTTTCCCTTGATCGTTTAATTTAAATTTCTAATGATTTCAATTTGTGAGTGACTGAAAATATCAACACAACATCACAACACTCTGAGATTGGAAAATACCACTCAACTAGTTCATTAAATAAAAGCTAAAGTAGGAACAAATCAGGTATTCTGCTGAGATAGTTTCCATCCCATTCGTACAAGTGATTAACATACGGAATAATATTGGCTCCGCCATATTCAATTGCCGAAATTACCATTCATCACTAATTAGATCATCACCGTTTGACCACTAATTAGCTCCACTCTAGTGTCTAATCCGCCCCCTTTCTGGCACTGAAAAATAAACAAATTCAGTTGAGCTCAGGAAAAAAAAAAATAGGAAAAAAAAAATAAGAAAAACTAAAAGCGAAACAGACAAAACAGAACGAGAAAAGAATCTTTAGTAATCAGCAAGCATCCCAGTGACTAGCTGATTCCAAATTATATTCACAACTCACAATTCCATATGGATAGTAGGGGAGTAAGCCAGATAGTATCAGCTCTCGAAGTTGTGTACGAGCCAACCACTTCGAATGATCAGAGACGAGAAGCTCAAGGTTTCCTTGAGACAATTAAGTCAAATGACGAGTCTCCTTATTGGGGGTATCAACTAGCATTGCCAGAGAATAATGGAACGAATTACATTGTACGCCATTACGGATTATCTTTACTACAGGATGCTATATATAAGAAGTTTCATACATTTAATCAAGAAAAGACCTTGGCCATCAAGAGCTGGATAGTTGAGTTGACTAGTAAAATAGCAGAGTCAGACCCGCACTACTTGAAGGAGAAGTTGGCGTTCCTTTGGGTAGCCATAGCGAAGAAAATATGGGGGAATTATTTAAGTAAGAGCATAGAAGAACAACAAGAGCAACAGCAGCAACAGCAGCAACAGCTGGACGTGAATGAGAAACCCAGAGAGGTCGCTGACAGTAGTAAGAAGACCGCCTCTGCATCAGATCAAAATGAAGGCTGGGCTTCGATGGATTCGGATTTGTGGAATTTATGGAATTCCAATCTTACTTGTAGAGAATTATCCTTAATAATCATTAGAACCTTGTTCGAAGACATCTACCTACTTGATGATCCAATTGCATCTAAACGAACCGCACTTTTGAACCAGTTGCTGGTATCCATTGTAACGCCAGATTCTGTGCTAAATCAAATTTACGAACCAAACGCAAACTTAGCATTGTGCAAAGCATCTGCAGATGGGTGGTTTGTATCGTGGAGTCAGTACTTGGTAAGTGTTTTGCTGGATAATCAGACATCATCGCCTGTAGTGCAAAACTTTGTACCTAAATTGCTTTCCACATTTAAAACTTGTTTACATTGGATCCATCCCTCCGTTCTAAGGCAGGAAAATATAATGCAGACTCTCATAAACATATTAGCTTTACCCGATGTGAAATTGAAAACCTTGGCAGTCGACTGTCTTCACATTTTATTCACTAGAAGCTACTCAAACGACGAGGATTTCCAATTTTTCATAGGTCTGATATACACTTCGGAGGGTTTGTCTAAACTTTCTATGTTTTACGAATCTTTGGAAATTGACCCGGATGACATTGATGAACAAGTGTATTCTTTATTAAAGAAGACTGTAGAAATGATTGTATCTTTAAGTGAGCATTTGAATATAACCAACAATACTGGCACAGGAAGTGCACCATATAGAAACAAAATCAGTTGGGAAAATAGCGAGGTAAATATTGACATGTATTTAAAGTTGGTTTTAACTACCACTAACCATCCATCACTTATAATATCAGGGTTATCGTTGCAGATGTGGGTGACGATTTTGAGGTTTGATGAATTGTCTTCCAAACAACCCATAGTGAAAATCTTACTCGACTTATTGGAGATTGCCGCTAATAGAACTATATCGTATACCTTGGTTGATGATGAACATATATCTAAAAAATTCCTTGATGTTGACTTCGATTCTTCACCAGATGCAAATTCGTTCCTTTCCAACTACAAAAAATTTAATGAAGATATTGTGAGGATTGCAATTTGTAAGCAGCCAGAAGAAGGTTTAGCCTGGCTCGAGAATAGATTGCAAACTTTCTTTTCAAGTGATTTAGGATCTAAGTGCATAACGTCAAGAAATTTGGAAGAAAAATCTGATCCCTATAACTACGGAAACTCTCAATTTAATATAATCGAAAATTGTATAAGAGGGGTTTCAAGATGGAGAATTTGGTATACAGGTGATGATTTCAATGCGATCAACGACAGATTGAATAAGCAGGTTGAAAGCTTGGGAGAAAGGTTATTGGCAATGAATTTAGCTTGCCCTCTTTTGATAAGAAAACAAGTGCAAACGTTAGTGCAGTTTGCTCCCCTTTTAAAGGATGTTAGTCCGCTTATGTTTCAAGTCCTTGAGAAAATCTTGAGCACTGCAACTTTTGAATACCCAGCGAACATTTCTGATGACGAAAAGGAGCTAATCAGAGATTTAAGAACTCTGTGTGGTACTGAGTTAAACAGATTGGCATACATTATGCCTGAATCGTTAAAAAAGATTTTCAACGAATTGGAAAGCGTTGTTGCTAATATTTTGTCATCAAAGAAAGTAACGGAGCACGAAAATGTTGCATTTAAGTCGTTTCTACTTGTCATTGCATCAAGATCTTCTATTGAGAGCAAAAGTGAGCTATTTGCCAAGATTGTGGATCCTGAGTTACAAGCATGGTCTGCTCCTGAAACAGAAAAGGGGCTTATGGACTTGCATTGGTTTATGGAAAGAATGGGGATTGTGGAGATTGCATCATATTTCAATAGTAGAGGTATTACAGCCACTACCAACTTATTGCAAGCAAATATGGACGAGGAAGGTAAATTATTGAAGAATAAGTTAAAAGACCACTGGTCGTCTATTTTCCCTATTCGAGCAACGAGAATTTTCATTCAATACAGTATTGAGAAGCTTCCACACGATTCACCTGAATTTTTGAATTTACTAAAAATGTGGAAACCTAGAGTGCAACCTATTATTCCTCATATTTTACAATTGCTAACTCAGATCCAGGCGTATCATGATCCTGAGAATTGGAAGGATTTACCTGACGCAGTACAATCTTTTGTGAGATATAGTTGCATGGAAAGATTTTGGCAACAAGGTGTCTCTATTCAAAGTAAGGAAACCTTTATAGAAGAGAATGTTAAGGCCGCATTAACTTTGAGAGACTTTGCGGATTCAGTTGGTCATCTTATTAGATATACCAGAGAATACGCATTTTTGACAATCGGCTCACTATCACAATTGGAAGACACCTTATATGAGATCCCCAACATTGCTACCATGATTTGGAAAGCAGTGGCTGGTGATACTGTAGGTATTACATTACATAGTTGGAAACACATGATTAACAGTTGTTTGAGAAGTGTGGTTAGAAACTGTCCAGTCAAATTTGTGAATGTATTCATGGCAGAATTGTTACCTAAGGCATTTTATGACATTGATCAACTATTGGTGAAGAGATGGGAAAAGGTCTATATGAATGGATTGCAATTGCAAGGAAATGAAGATGATGAGACTTTGCTGGAGGAAATGATGGAAGAGCATATGTTAAGACAGTTAACGGCAACTGTTGTAAGATTTTTAATGGACGTTGTTAGCCAGTATAACTCTAAGCAACCAACTGATACTCAATTTGCTTGTAAGAGGTTAATAATCAGCAACAAAGAATGCATGGCTCCATTCCTACAAATTTGTTGCCATATAATTCAATTTAAGGATACTAAATGTTCGTTTAATACAATTCTAGTGATAAGAAACGTTTTGACGGATATCATATTGAAAGATGATGAAGTTGACAAATACTTGTGCGACAACCTCGTCAAGGCTCTAGTGAATGTTTTATTAGATGACTACTTTATAGAAACTCATTCTGAAGCTGCAGTTGCATTGACTACATTATACTGTGCTTTAAGGTCTAAAAATGACTACCCCGCAAGAGTTTTAATTCAACTTCTACCAAATATCACTACTCATCATATAAGTAACTTTGAGACTTTGCTAGTGAGCTCAAAATCATTAAAGCATCAAAGATCAGCATTAATGGAGCTTGTTGGCATATCTAAAGAAAATGGAAGCGACGAATACAATTTAAAAGAGAGAAAGAAACAACTAGAAGCAGGTGTGAGAAAAAAGAAAGCCCAGGAAAGAGATGTATTAAATGACCCATTTACTGAAAATGGAGCTTTGAATAACTTGTTTGGTGATGAATGAAGAGAACAATAACGCATCTTAGTAACTAGGTATAGGAGGACTAACCTTACTTACGGATATTTATGAACTTGACGTTTCTAATTGCTCCACTAGTAACTTTTCACATATCTGATGTTTTAGGAATCTTCCATTCTATAATTAACATAGAAATATGGAATCTAAAGACTAATATGACTATTCATTATTCATTTAGAAGTAAATATTTAAATATACGCAGGTTCCTAATATATCTTCAAAACTTCGTATTTAATCTGCTTTCTGAGGCTCGGCCATTACTCAACATTGAACAGAACAGGACGCATTATCAGTTTCTGGTACTCTGATGTATAATTTGCTAGGGAAGCATTCGCCATTGTATTCATTAGTGTTTTAACTTATATCCCTTAATCACATATGAGTCTCTTTACCGTTATGAATGATATAGCCAGAACATGGACTAAAAACCAAAGTTAGGGGTTGCAAAGAAGTCCAAATTGCCCTATCTGAGAGTGCTCTGGTAGTGAATTCAAAGTATTACATTTCACTATTTCATGAATATATTTTAAAATCAACTCGAGTAAAATAAAACTCGGCTAATTCTTGGCAGTGGTAAAGAGTATATATATCCGTTAAAACGATATATTTACTGTAAGAGCTGTTATTTTATAAGAGATTGTAATGAATCATTTAAGAATTGCAACACATTGTAGATAGAGAACTTTTATGTACTCGATTGTTACCATACTTAAGACTTCGAATGGACTAGAGTAAGAACATATTGATTTAAGTAGAAAGTAATAGTGGTTCCGTGTTACTACAGTTACAATTACAACATCACAAGGTGGTGAAAGTGGAAGTTTGAAAGTGGAAGTTTGAAACTGTAAAGTGCATGGAAGGAACTAGGGGTATACATGTTCTCGTAAAATTTATTCCATTCTCAGGTACTATCTCAGATGGCTTAAGAGCTATAAACGGCTCCCAAGACGGATTCAAATCGTAAATACTTGGATTCTGTGTAGTTTTGCTGGGCATTGGTCAAAGTCTCATGCAACATGTCTTTAATAGGTAGCTTTTTTGTTTAAAGTTTAAATATTCTTCGATACTGAACTTAAAGTTAATTACTTCATCAGGTATGTTCTCATAGCTTGACCATACTTACTCATAAACAGTCTAAAGGATTGAAGGGTATAAAAGATGTCACTAGCCTTCCATTATGTAAACGTGCATTTGATATCTTTAACTCCATGTCATGAGATTTATACCACTCTTCTTGCTTTTGGCCCTTTTCACCACTGTTTTTGCAGCTCCAGCAGCAGACCCTTCCCCAGTATTAAAGCCTTCAGAGGATCCCTTTTACGTTCCTCCTGATGGGTTTGAGTCAGAAGAAGTAGGTACCGTCCTAAGATTAAGAAAATCTCCACACCCATTGAGAAGTGTATACTTTGAATTGAATGTGAAAGATTCATGGCAAGTATTGGTCAGATCGTCAACTGCAGAGGGAAATGCAACGGCAGTAGTTACAACTTTGATTGAACCGTATAATGCTAACTCCTCTCGATTAGTCTCTTATCAAATTGCACAAGATAGTGCCAAAGCGGATTGTGCTGCTTCATACGCTTTCCAGTATGGAGCCGATGTTGGAGTCAATCTTGTAGCCGAAGCAGAAATGTTCCTTATTCAAATTGCTCTTATTCAAGGGTTCTGGGTTAGTGCTCCTGATTATGAAGGACCCCAAGCGAGCTTTACAGCTGGAAGGATGTCTGGAAAGGCTGTCTTGGACACTATCAAGGGTGTTATCAGCTCTGCTAATGAAACGGGATTAGCAGCAGAGCCTGATGTAATCCTTTGGGGGTATTCTGGTGGAAGTCTTGCTAGTGGTTGGGCTGCCGCAATGCAACCATGGTATGCCCCCGATTTGGCCCCTAGGTTGAAAGGAGCTGCTTTAGGTGGATTTGTTACAAATATCACGGAAACTGTAGTTGCAGTTGATGGTTCTCTTTACGCAGGTATGATTACAGCGGGTTTTACTGGGTTATCCAATGAATATCCATCTTTGAAGAAATATATTACGGAATATATCCCCGAAGATAGGCTTAGTCAGTTTAATTTAGCTGGAGATCAATGCTTACTTCTCGCTTGTGGATATTACATGTACACACAAATATTTAGAGGAGAAGATAAATACACGGGTGGGTACGATATACTTCATGAACCTGAAGTATGGGATACATTAATGAACACAACATTGGGGGTTGGAAAAGATGATTTACCCCAAATACCGATTTTCATCTATCATGGAGAAAAGGATGGCATTGTACCTTTCGTAAATACAGAGAGAATATATGATGTCTGGTGTGAGTGGGGTATCGGCTCTTTGGAAGTTTCATCTTCTCAGACCACAAAGCATGTAACTGAAGCAATTTTTGGGCTGACAGCTGCTGCAGCTTGGATTGATAAAATGTTTAATGGTGGTGCTGCAGTACAAGGTTGCAAAAGCACTTCAAGATATAACAACTTATTGTACCCAGGGGTCTTACCAGAAGTAGTTGACTTGGTAGAATCTGCAGTGAAATCCATATTTGGCTTTGAAATTGGACCAACATCACCAATACAGAGAAGAGAAACAATCGATCTTGATGCTATAGTGGAAAGAAAGTTAGAAGAAAGGTTTTCAAATAAAAGACTGATCAGATGGTGAGATACGAAGTACATAGAACTAAGATATAGAATATAGTAACAACTCAAAAATATAGCAAAGACCCCAAGAATGATTCCCTTCTAGGAACCTGATGCAAGTTCTCTAGTATTGTATTATCAATGTAGCATATATGTATATACAATAAATTTCTAATGTAAATAGGAAAGCACTTTTCCACTAGTGATTATTTTGCAGCCATAGTTTCTCGAGGTTCACTATGATGCATGAGAAAAGAAGAGCACAACGAAGGATAAGAAACTAAGTGAAATGTATCCAAGTTGTACTGAGCCCGAATCCAACAACAATATCACTATCACGCAGGACACATCTGGCTTCACAATATATATCACCACGTTTACCTGCTCTGTTCTGCTCTGTTCTGTTCTGCCAACCAGCGTATAATGCAGCACTTATGCACACCGGCAACTCCATGCACAAATTTCCACAAACGGCGCTGTTCCCACTACTTGCACGCACAGAAGCCCGAGCCAAAACGCACGCAGCGTTTCGCGGAGGATGAGAATTTTCAAAATCTTAAAGGAAAAACGTATTTGGCTAGGAGTGTGACAGGCTTACCGGACCAAAAGACACAGCTAACATAACAATAAAAGGTTGAAAACGATACTTTTATTCCATAGATCGACCGAACTTCTATCTACAAGAATTTATATATAATAAAAATAACAAGAAGTCGTTTGTGCAGCACCCTAAAAAGCTGAACTCATAAGACCAAAAAAAAAAACACAGAAGCAAAATCTACCTTATAGACTAAGAATGCCAATTAAATCCCTAGAATCATATCTCTTTGAGCGTCGACTCGTCAGCGCGTCTTCAATTGAGCTTTTGCAGAATGCAACAATTGGTATCGATGTAGAGCACTACCTCAGTAGAATCTATACCTTTAAAAAGGAACAGTACCTAGCTGGCGTGGGAGGAACGCCAGCGTCGCTCAAGGACTACGTGCGACTGGACTTGCAAGTCTTCCAAGAATTCAATATTAAACCGATTTTCGTGATTCCTGGGTTAGCAATTGAGTCCCAGCATGAAGACTATCCCACTAACGAATTGTCCCCTCAAGAACAACATCGCTTAACCACTTGGAACAAATTGCAATCGAGACTGGCCAACCCATATCTTTACAACAACCTGAACACTGACTCATTCAGACTATTCACTGACCCCTTGCCATTGAGACCTATGATCAATGATTTGATTTTGTATTTCATTGCCAATGGTATAGATTACTTAATCGCTCCGTACGACGCGTCCTTCCAGTTGTCCTACTTATATAATATCGGACTTGTCGACTCTATCTACGGTTCTACAGACATTTTACTCTGTCAAGTTGATAAATTCATCTTGGGAATGGAATTTTTAACAAAGGACTTTAGATTTATCGAAAGACTGAAGGTATTATATGAATTAGGCTTGCTGGAGAAACAGTTTGTTGACTTAAGTGTAATGGTCGGGTGTAATTTACAGCCAGTCACCTTCCCAAACTTCCCACCTTTACCCAAGCCTAACCATATCCAGCCCTACCCTCAATTGAACTATTTTAAGTTGGGATTGGAAATCATCTTCCAATTGAATGGATACAATCCAAACTCACCTGCTGATTTGTACGCCTATATAATAAGTCTTAACGATCCAAAGTTGTTGGAATTATATTACAAGGGGCACTCTTCAATGAAATACTTGCCAATATTGAACAAGGATGGATATGTTGAATTGTATCTGGTTGAAATGGAAAAGTTGAGAAAGCAAAAGGAGGAAGGAACAAAGAGCAGCAAGAAGTTGAATGGATCCAAGGTAGATAGTAAGAATCAAAAAGATAGTGGTGATCAAAATGGAGATTCAGCATCTGACTCCACCACCTCTATTAACATTCCTAATGATGTGCATGAAATTATCTCTCAGAAATTGCCCCCTGAACTTTACTTTTACCAATCCTTGGGTTTACTTCCTTTGCAACTACTTGAGGCTATTACGCAAGGAAAGTTAAACATCAGACCTTCTCCTGATGGTGGATTACCAGATAGTTACAAGAAGTTGATAACTTCTAGTTTCTATGGCGACAGCTTGGACTATCAATTCAATCTTATAACTCAACTATTAGCTAGGTACTACCAGGTGAAGAAGATACAAATCAGTTATTGGTTCAGGGAAGGAACTATTGAATTAAACAATAGAATGACTCCGAATGTTCACCAGAGGGTGTCTAATTTGTGGATCAAGGACGAAAAGACAGATGAAAAGTTCAGCTTCTTTGACTTGATAACTAACTTGGGCGATAAACTCAAGATTTCTGGTGAAAGGGAGAGAAATTTCCAAATATCGACTAACTCTGAAATAATTTCCACGGCCCTCACTAGAACATTTTATTTATTTGGAATTCTTGATAACAAGACCAATGAATTAAGTTCAATTGGAAATTCCATCAAGAAATTGCTAGTGGAGGAAGAAATCACCAGTGATGAAGAAATTCAAGAGCTTTTACTTTTGCTTCTCTTTATCAAGGCAAACGTATTCAAGCTCAATGAACCAATCAAGGATTACTACAGTATACCTAAGTCATTCAAAGACCCTACCAATTCTAATGAAGAAATCTCTTCAGTGGAAGGGAAACATATAACCTTGATTCTGAGAATTTTTGCCATGCACAAATTAAATATTTCAGCAATTAACTATCAGGGTCCAATTTCCAGATCATTGCAGAGTTTCAGATGTCACATTAAGTTCATCTTAAGTAATGTCAGCAACATGTTGCAGTGCTGTCTTTTAGACTTAAACGCTAGGAACCACACTCCAATCAGATTGAATTATGAATCTAGAGAGGAATGGTATGAATTGGTTGATGAATTACCATTTTATAAAGACTGCAACAACACTCTATTGGGTGTAGTAGCAGAAATCTATTTCGAGTATTCATTGAGACAAAAATTAAGCTACAAGGAGAGAAGTAAAGAAGAGATTATTTCAAATACAAACGACCACTTGTTGAACTCAATTTTCCAAGTCAACAATCCATCTTTTAACATCAACGTCAAGGGAGCCAACAGTATCGTTGGAGATCAATTGTTTGAGGACTTCAAGGGAGGCTTCAACTTTTGGAAGAAATTTGTAAAGTTGGCTGAGATTGTTAACGGCGTTGATGATAAATTGATCAACAATGAGTACCTTGAGGGTATTAAGGATACTAACAAGTGGATGGAACAATTCATTTAAGGATGCCTAGAGTAAAAGTAAACTAAAAATCAAAAAAAAATAAAATAAAAGAGAAAGAGAAAACCATAAAACAGTAAAAGCATAAAAAAATAATATAAACCTACAAAAACATACTAAACAAAGGATTGGCAATATGAATGAATGAAGCAAGCTGCTTCATTATCAAGTAATATAGATATCTTTTATTCTAATATACATCATCCTCCACATCATCTTCTATCTTTTTAGCCAATTTGTAAGAAGTTGGCTCTAACTCATCTTCCACTTCTTTCTTGATTTTTCATTGACATGTTTTTCAGAAGTGAAAAAAATTTAAAAATGCCTATCTATACATAGACCCCCAAGGTGTTGGAGAGATAGATGGACCCCAACCCAATGGATAAGGAAGCCCCGAGGGCATAGAAAGTGTAGCTAAAAGCAGATTGGGTTCTCTTGTCACCCAAGAATGCTAAAGATAACGAAGCAAATGCTAAAATTGTTAGTATATGATAGGTGTACCCAGGCGTACATTGGTCGAGCAAAGGAAAAGAGAAACACATACTAAGTAAAAGGAAGAACACAGCAACGAGTGGGTTTGCACGGGCATCACGGTTCACGTCACTCGAGCCATAATAAAACACACGAGAATATTCTTCATATGGTTCTCCTAAAGCCATTGTATATTGTAATTCACTAGGATTAGGATTGTAGTAATTGTAGGTGGAAAGAAGAGGTGTGCTTAGACTGTGTCACCTTTATCATTTGCGTGTCATGTTAAATTTCAAAATTAATTTTCCAAAAAAAAAAAGTTCACGAGATTTTGGAACACACCGAAAAAAAAAAAAAGGAAGTTTGGAAAATAAATGGCTGCAATTTATCATCGAAAGAAGTCTAATGTTTACAGGGAGGGCCAGTTAAAGTGGAACATGGAGTTATTTTTGATTTCATTCGTCGTGGAATTACTGTGCTGTTTACAGGGAGAGAAGTTCAGTCGGAACATGGACTTATTTTTGATTATGTACGTCATATTATTACTGTTTACAGATTGTGGTTCAGCTGGAGTAAGCAGTTGCATTCATTCGTATTAATCACACCTAAATCACTTGCCGTATTCCAGTAATAATTAAGCTAACAAAATTTTCTAAATTATGAATAAAAGCTGAAGAACTGGACCTGGTCTTGAATGGTTTTTGCTTGGACATAGCTGTGCTTCTTGTTGTTTGGGTCACCTCTAACAGCAAACCCATGGTCTACACCATGGAAGATAGTCAATTCATACTCGACATCGTTTTTAGTCAAGATGTCGATCGCCTTTTGTCTCGCCTCATTTGGGAATGCTACGTCCTTTGAAGCTGCAGAAATGAGCAATGGTTTAGTGACAGCCTCAAATTCTTCAACAGAGCAATTGGAAGGATGCGCAATAGCACCTATGTCCAAAAAACCAGTTGGGGTTAATTGCTGCACTACGTACTTTGCACCAAAGCAATGGCCAATGCCCGCTACAAATTCAGGCTTGTATTCCTCTCTCAATTTGGTTAAGAATCCTTCTACAATTCTCTGGTTCTTTTCAGGTGAATGGTTTTCACGCCAGGTTTGTCCTCTGGCCTGAAACTCTTCAAATGAAGCAATTGGATCATTATCTAAAATATCTGGAAGTAAAACTTGTGTTTTAGAAACCTTAGAAAGCAGGTCTGCAACCAAATGGTTGTTTTTATACTTGTGGCCGAAAATATCTGACACAATGACTATAACTTTCTCGTTCCCGAATTCTGCACCGGTTTGGTAAGTATCTAAACCACCAATGGTTTTGAAGGATCCAGTAACTTGACCTTCATGGTCGATTGTCTTGACACAGCATGGGGAGATTTTAAGAGACATGTTTTTTTTTTTTTATTATTTCTACTTAATTTTTATTCTAGTTCGAATTTGACTGAGAATGGAACGGTATATTTTAGAAATTGAGCGTCTCCGTTCTTCTACTTATAATCCATTCTTCCATGTGCAGAAGAGCACTTAGTTGTGTTATCTCACGTCAATCTTTGGAATCATGTCAGTTAATCCCGAGCTAATTCCATAAAAACCGAATTTTTTCAGCTATATAAAGGAAATAAGACCGAGAAATAGTTTTGGTAGATTAAGAGACGGAGAACACACCCATAGAAATACGGACATAGCAAAACGCTGCTACGGGAACGCGGCCTTAAATGTGTTGAGAACGTGCGTAAGCATGCACGGAGATGAACTAGGAGCTTCTGCCGTGTACTCTATGGGAATAAGTTGCAACTCTCCATTCATCGCCGTTTGGCATTATCGTGTCACGTGACTGAGTACACACCACAATTTTGGAGCACAGGGACCAGCCAAAGTGACGATCACCAAGCTGAAGTAGTCCACATTTCTTTCTTTAGTTAGGGTAAAAATGTCTGATTCTGGTTGGAATACGATCCACTCTGATGCAGGTGTGTTTACTGAACTCGTGGAAAAGTTAGACATCTCAGATATCCAGTTCGATGACTTATACTCCATAGATAAGGAATCACTTCTAGAGTCGTCGCCCATCTATGGAGTAGTATTCTTATTCAAATATAGTAAAATCGATAGAGAATATTCTGGCAATGGCAATAGGCCGTTGACTGGTGAGTATGACGTGGACTACCAGGAGCATGGGATCTTTTTCGCTAACCAAACGATCCAGAACGCATGTGCTACACAAGCGGTTTTGAATGTACTTTTAAACAAATCAGATCAGGTTGATTTAGGCGAGGAGCTCGGGAACTTTAAAAGCTTTGTCACTGGGTTTGATAGTGAACTTTGTGGAGAAACCATTTCCAATAGTGATTTGATTCGTAAAGTGCATAATTCTTTCTCTGCACCACTGTCAATCATAGATGAAGATAAGCAAAAACCTCCCCGTGGCTACGACGATAAAAACGACGGGTTGTTCCATTTCATCGGATACTTACAAACTAACGGGTTCATCTACGAGTTGGATGGCTTGAAGCGGTATCCTATCAAGCATGTACCCTGTAGCTCAGATCAAGAATTTTGTGAAAAGTTACCGGGGGTGATTAGAGAGAGAATTGCCAAGTACGGTGAAGAGGAGCTTAGATTTTCCCTTTTATCTATAACAAATAACAAATTGAAACAGTATGAGGAGTCTGGTGAATATGACAGGTTCAACAGCGAACTTATGAAGAGAGAAACTTGGAAAAGGGAAAATGAGTTAAGAAAGTTTGATTACACAACCTTAATGATTCAGTTGTTGAAGAACGTGGGGAAGGAGCTCAATGACGAAGAATGGGCCAAGCTCATTGAAAATGGGAAGAAAACGGGACAAGAAAAGCTATTAGCATCGTACTTCAAGAAAAAGCAATAAAGGACTTTGAGCAGTACATTACTATAATGGTAATTAGATATCTGTGTATATAAATATATGTATTTTGGCGAAAGAGATTTGATTTATCACTCGTAGCCTCCACCTCCGAAGGAGAAGAGACCTCCACCCCCTCTACTATGCCTTGAGAAGTAATCAAAGTCAATACTAATGGCTGTACCTAACAATATTGCCCTCTGATCTAAAGTCAAGGGACCAGCAACAGATGGGTATAAGTCTCCCAACCCTTCAAAACTGGCTGGATCCATTCTCACAATATAGACACCAGTGTCGGTGAACATTTCTCTACCGAGTCCGACCCAGTTCCTGTCAACAGATCCAATTACGTCCCCATTTCCATTCCTAACTGGGAAATCAAATGACAAGAATGGTGCATCTATTTCTCCGTACTGGTTGTATTCATTGCTCTCGTCATCATCCAACTTGAACAAGTTGTATCTACGTCTCCACAAATGCCAACTCTGCACTGACTCTCCTATAATCTCGTGGATGAGCAGTCCTTGAGAATCGTACCCTGGTAAATACGCCTTGATGTGAGAGTTAATGAACGAAAATGGTCTCTTGATGGTCAATATTTTCTCTCCAAAGTTATTAAAGACGTCTATGTCGAAGGGTCTGTGCAATCTGAAAAATTGTCTACCAAGTATCTTGAAGATCCCCATGTCTGTTTCCTCCATGTACCCGATTTGCTCACCCGTCGAATTCATAATGGTGTACCTGTTGGCTTGTTCAAAGCCCAAGAACAAGTTCATAAACTCAACCTTACGCTCAATGACAATAGTTGGCTCTGATAGCAAGTCATAGATCGGATCCTCCAGGGTAATAAGCCCGTTCTCATTCGGTGGAACTTCGAACACAGCTCTGTGAGATGCCGGATCATCTTGAAACCTTTTCGCATCGGTAGAAGGCTCCTCTTGGTAGTAGAACTGTTTCTGATCTTGCTGCTGCTGCTGCTGCCTAAGTTTGCTTTCTTGAAATCTCTTTACCTCATCTTCTGAGATTTCTTTGGTTATCCTGGTCTTGTTTCCACGGAGCCAGTTCAAGCTTGAAAGAGAGAAATTCCTTTGGGATTGAGGACCCAGGATTCTTCTAGTCACCGAATTTTTCACACGAATACTTCTACCTACATATTGTAGACTCCTTTGAGCCCGAATCATGTTGAATAATGGGACTTACTACAGAAGTATCTGGGTTGTGTGGCAATCTATCAATTTACATTACTTTTCATGTCGTGTTGTATGCAGGAATCTGTAATCAAAAATTATATCGGTGTCCATGGAAGCTTCCATACATTACATACATGCACCTACCCTAAAAGCATTGCTTAAGCAGATTATAAGTATCCTGGTGAAAACATTCTGTCACGGGTATAATTTGATTGGAGTGAACTCTTGAAAGTCATTCACTCGTTTCCAGCTTTGCTATTTTCATATTATGTGTCTTTTGCTTTTTAACTGCCATTTTCTATGAGAATTGCTGCAATTTCTACTGCAGCATATGCTTGTTAAGAAGTATGTAGATTTAATATTTCGTTTACAATTATATAGGATTCACCACGTTTAAAGCTTTGCTTTCTTATATCATAGATTTTATTTCTCGTTTAGCTCATTCAACTTTCTACTCGGTATTGATCATCTATAGTAGAGACTTCATCAGTTGACAAGACATCTCTCTCTACTGAGTATAGTCACTGTCAACGCAAGTGGTGTGTAGCGAGATAGTGCTCATTTCACTTTTCGAAAGGAGGCTCCTACTTATCTTTTCATTTCCGACTAATCACGTACCTCTTCCTAGCAGCCTGCTGTACTCGCTTGCCTTTTTTCCTTCAACCTTGTGTACTCTTCTACTCTTATCACTAAGGTTCACTGTGAAAGGTTACAATACAATTCCGGGTGTAGGGGTTTGATCAAAAAAAAATATCAGAATCCGATATAGTGTAATGGCTATCACCCGGCACTCTCCATGCTGTAATCCGGGTTCGATTCCCGGTGTCGGAGATTTTATTTTTTTTTGCTCTCTTAGAAATGATCTAATGATCTATATACCCTAATAAGGTAGCTTCTAGGGTAGCCTACTCTCTACTTCAATTGATCTCTAATCGATTCTGCTGCTTTTCTGGTCTTGCAAGTATTTTTAGTGGCTTTTAGTGATTGTATTTTTTTTCCATTATACCAAAGTTTAGAATGACATTGCTTATCATGGTTTGCTCACCGAAATTTATAATTTAACCTATTAATTAATCCAAAAAAACTCCAAATACAACCATCAAGCACAATATGTCAGTGTCTGATCCCTTCAAGTTTCACCCCTTACACACTAACCCTTTGGTCTTCACTGGCACCCAGATCTTGTTCCCGAAAGAGCTGTTCATAAATTTTTCAATTACAAAACCCAGACACCCATACCTTCGGGTAAACGGAAATGGTGAAAATCTGGGGTAGATTTTTCGAAATCTTTTCATTTCCTCCTTGGTGAATCACCGGAATCGGAGAGTCACAAGCCATCAGATCTTATCATAGGTGTGAAAGCAGCTTCTGGGTTGATTTTCTATTTCTACAAAATCTCTACGTTCTCTTTAACATATTTTATTTATAACTATAAATACAGGTTTTACTTTTACCTTTTTTTTGGTGGGGGTATTCCTAAAAACAGAATGCTAATAATAAATAGGTAGGTGGATGGATGAATAGTTGAGTGAAGAAAGAATGCGTCTTATTCTTTTATGTTGCTTAGTTTGCAATTCATTGCTGTTCCTCTTTGAATTTTATTTAATCAAATTTCTTGCTGTTTGACAAACCTGGAATATGAGTTTCTCCGTTTAAAACCTTCTTCATATATTCGTAGACAGTGAAAGTAACAGCTTGTCCTGGAGCAACTCTCATAATTCTTGGGGTGATACCCTTATATAAAGCAGCCATACCTTCTTCCTTCACCAATTGGTTACCAATCTTGACAATACGCACTAAACCGGATTCATTGGATGCATAGGTGGTCTTTTGTAATCTGGTTTTGATGGTATCTAATGGAGCGTTCGACAATGGACCCAAGGCACCGGAAATGAGACCAATGCACGAAGTTTCCCAGGATGGTAAATCTTTGGTTCCGTGGTATTCTTGCAATCTTTCTCTAATTTTGGAGTAGACGGTGAAATTCACACCCTGGTTGGTGGCTTGTCTGGCAGCGGTTAATGAGACACCACGGTACAATGTCTTGAAACCTTCTTCCTTAATAATGGTGTAGGCAGCATGAGGAGCGTTTCTGTACTTTGGAACGTCCAATGGGTCAGCCATGGAGTGATGTTGAGCCTGTAAACGAATCTTGACCACTTCCATAGGGTTGACGACCAAGACAGCTTCAGTGATACCAGCACCTACACCAGCAATGAAAGTACCACCAGTGGTAATAGACCCATCTGGGGCGTACAAAAGGGAACGGTAGAACTCGTACGAAGAGAATCTAATCCCCATCTTTGGCACAATACCAATAACAACAGCACCAAGCCCCTTATAAAGCGACAAAAACGTTTCCTTTTGAACGATATTAATACCGGTTCTTAAGAATCCGGGAGGCTTCTGACCAGATTTACGATACAATTGCATTCTGACTTTAACTGTATCTAAAGGATGACAACATAATGCTTCAAACAAACCAGCTACACCACCTGCAATCAAGTCGGTAACACCCTTACCAGCGGTTTGTTTCTTTTGCTCTTTAGAGGCCATTTTGCTAAATAAATATATGTGTGCGTGTGTGTGTGTGTCCTGTAATGTAAGTAATTCTTATTTCAAATAGGAAATTTGCAGATTTTCTCTTCACCAAATTAATCCAAAATCAATGTAATAGATGAAATCAACTCGAAACTCTTCAATATTCACTAGAATTAGGCTGGAATAAAAGAATAACCCAACCTAACTTTCGACAACTGGATTTTCACCAGTTTATATATTTTTTCTTGTGGGGTATCCTTTCTGCCGAGTTCCGCGGCTCCGGGGTACATGAAAGGAAGAAAAAAAAAAAAACAGTCAATGAGGTGCGACTCTGATTCATCTTCTTCCCTGTGAGAGGGCGAGTGACGGTGGATGTGTGGACATTTCGTGGGTGGAATTATGGTTTGATGATTCAGATTAAAGGGAAGAAATAAAAGAGTAGAAAAAAAAAAATAAAGTAAGGCTGGAAAAGTTGGAAAAGGAGGAAAAGTTGGATTCTATTTAAATTGGTAAGTTTTGTATATGTATGTACCTAGCCCTCTCTATATATTGCAATTAGCTACTCCATGCCTGTCCCTAAATTGATGTCTTTCAATTAAAACAGTTTCATTCGTCCCGCTCTGCACGGTCACCTTGAAATTTTCTGGGGTTCACATCTACGAAATACGATTTTCCGCCGGTCCCAAAATCCAGAAATTCCAACAAACCCACGGCTTTAAACGCAAGAGCTCTTGTGCTTGCACTATAATCCGAAAAATTTCAAAATTACTCCGGATGCTTAAGCTTAATTGGCCCAAAGTTTCACATTTTCGCTAAGGGTGGAATTTTTGATCCGTTTTTGATCTCCGAAATCCAACACGGCCTGGCTAAACCATGTTTTGCACCTCCCATACTTTCTCCATCTTCGTATTTCCATAGCTGACGAGCACTTTCTCTAACCCTATAATAATTGTGCGCATAGTGAAGAATATCTTCTGCACTTCTTTGGTCAAGTAGTTGTAGCAAATATGAAGATCTTCAGTGAGATCGAAACTCTCCATATATATTTGCATTGTTCTTAGTTTATCTATCAAAATTCGGAATTGTCTCTCGAGGTACAGTGGCATGGGTGACTCCACGTTATTCTTGAAAATGTACTTAACATAGTCATATATGTCTTCCAATCTGGGATTCTCATTAGTATTGGAAAGTATTCTAGAAAATATGACAAAAAATTGCCTGGTACTACTTACATGTAGGTAATTGATTTCTTTTCTGCCGGAACGGTATCTAAAAAGCTCCAAATTGTATGGATGTCAAGTAGCAAGTCTTGTAGTTCCAATCTTCGGTTTTTGAAAGTGTAGTCCCATTTTATCATCTCAAGATTGTTGTGGATAACACACTGTTTCAATTGTTCAGGAAGTTGTGAAGTGAGATGATATGTCCCTCCACCAGATGAAGGTCTATACATGGTCATTATAGCAATAGGGTTATCAATGAGTAGGCAGTCCAGCTACAGTTTTAAGTAGTAGGAATAGCTTTTCGCAGCCATTTGGAGTTACAAACCAGTAGTTACAAGTAGTGGTTGCTTGAGTAGAGTTGGCCACAAATAAATGAAACTTGGCTAGGGGAGTACAAGTATACAAAAGCAGAATACTACATGCCATGGCCAAATTCATTCAAACTCCAAACCTTACACGCTCATCCTTACACACCATCTCTCCACCGTTCAGATTTCAAAATTTGTTTATTGTACTATATAAAACATCCTGCATATACCTAAAAGGTTGCAATTACACTAGATAGCAGGCTTGTCAGTAGCAGCATAGAGTGTCGTGTTTTTCTCTGGTTCACCAGATACGGCAAGTGGTTCGGAAGTAGAAGTAGCAGCAGTTCCAGAAGTAGGAGTAGCAGCTTCCTTCTTTTTCTTCAATTCAGCCAACCTCCTTGCTTCTTCATGCACAGACTGCGCATCCTTAGCTAATGTCTTGTAAAAACTAGCCACCTTTTTACCATATGGATGGCTGGCTGCCAGTTCATAGTAGTGGTCTAAAGTATTCTTGTAACTAGACTTATTGAAAGCATTCGTCCAGCCAGAAAGTGTGTTTTGCGCAGATTCCACAGTCTTATTGGCAGTCGAATCTGGGACTTTGCTGTGAACAAACTTGTTGTCCAATTTGTCCAAAAATGACATAAATTTGGTAGAATACCCCTTTTGGGAGTCAGTTTGGATTGCTCTGTCGATTAACTGATCAGAAACAACGTATCCAGATGAAAGCAACTGAGCCATAATAGCATACTTAGGCTTTTCTTCTTGACTCACATCATCGTATTCTTCATCTCCAGTCAGAGTAACTTCAGATTGAATCTTGTTATCACTAGTTGCAGAACTGTACAGCGGTAAACCACCCTTGCTAGCAGCTTCCACCTTGATTGAAACACCTTCCAATTCAGCCTCATTGAGCAACAAGGCAGTTTGTAAAGCCTTCTCCGATTCAAAAATAACTTCAACAGATTGAAATTTTTCTTCCTTAGAGTCAATTGGGTTTATAGTCTGAATCTTGCCGCAAAAGGAGAAGAACTCCTTTAACTTAGCTAAAGGAACGGTCTTTGGTATGTGTGAAGCGATAATTGAAGACATGATTTATAAATTGGTGTTAGTAAGTTTCTTAATTGTAATACCAAGGAACTGTTTAATTTATTTGCAAAAAGAGTAATGATAAAAAAAGTGAAACTCAATTGAGAAGCGTGGCATTATATGTATTTGGAAAGTTGCTTGAAGAATGAGGCAATGGGGCAAAGCAACTTACTATAACGGAGCGTCACACAAAATTTAGTTGGGAATGAATAGGACATGCAGGATTATGTATGTCAAGCTGCATGTAATCAAAAAATTATATGCACGGAAGATGTTGCTGCGACTGCAAATTAGGTTGCATTTACATGTGAAGATGATCATCACTAATATCACTAACATCATATTAACCTAATATACACTGCTATATACGATTTTTCATTAATATTAATTTATCCATGAAATATCCCTTTCACAATTACCAAACCTAGCTGATTTTTATCTATCATATATTTACTTTTGAATATTTTTTTGCTCTTTATTGTTTTTTTTTTTTTTTTGATTAAAATCATTTTTCACTTTTACAATAAAGTTTGGCCCAAAGCGCACCTTCCAATGGCGCAAGCAGCACTGACAGTATCTAAGATGTGGGTGTCATTTTCAGCCAATAAAGGATTGGTCTCCACAATATCTAAGGAAGATAACAAACCAGTTTCAGCAACAGCTTCAGCGACATATAAACCTTCCCTCAAGGTTAAACCACCTTCCACTCTGGTTCCAGTAGCAGGAACGAAAGATGGGTCGATGGCATCAACATCATAAGACAAGTGAATTGGAAACTTTCTGTCTGGATTAATAGCATCTATGGCCATATCCACAACCTTACCGATACCGTATTTATCAACGTGGTGCATAGAGAATGCCTTAATGTTGTTGTCTCTCAAAATCTTCTTTTCACCAGCATCAACATCTCTCAACCCAATGTATGCAATTCTGTTTGGCTTCAATTTGTGAGGAATCCACTTTAATTCTTCAGGATAAGAATCCTTATCTAAGCCCATGACGAAGGAAACTGGGCAACCGTGTAAGTTACCAGAATCAGTAGTCTTTGGGGTATTGATATCTGCATGTGCATCAATCCAGAGAATACAGGTGTCTGGGTTGTGTTCCAACATACCACTCAAAGTACCTGAACCGATGGAATGGTCACCACCAATGGTTATTGGGAGTCTGTCGTTGTCAGCTGCGCCCTTGACCGCGTCATGGATCTTCTTACAACATTCACCTACAATTCTACCATTTTTGATACCAAATTCGTCCGCAGTCATTTGAGATTTTTCATTTTCGTAGTTGGTACCTTCCAAGGCGTGAACAAGATTGACATCCCAACCTAATTCTTCGATTTGCTTTTGGAACCCAGCCTTAAGAATATAATCTGGACCTAACTCAACACCTGATTTTGGTTGACCACCAGAAAATGGTGCAGTGATGATAGTAGCCTTCTTATTTGGGTGAAATTTGAATTCGACTAATTTGAAAGTTAGTAAATTTTATCCTAATTAAACTCAATTTTTGTTATTTTCTTCTAGCCTGCTAATTTTTCAAACGTGTTTGGTTATTGTTGTCTCATAATTTTTCAAAACAGAACATAATGAGGGTAAAAAGAGAGAACTCTTGGGCATCTCATCGCGAACTATGGGGTATACATACCGTCTGACATTATGCTATATTTCCAAATTTGATAGTTATAGTTATGTATTTGAATAATATTAAATAAAATTAATTACAAGGGATAAAACTTTTGATATTTGACGAATTTTAGTGACACGAAGGTTGTTTTATATGTAATTCCAGGCATTTTAGATTACCAATGAATTCATTGAATCGTTGGCAAATGAATGGGTTCTGCTCAGAGGTTCTTGTTCCTAAAGGAAGGAATGCGCGGAATTTTAGTATGACCCGGTGTCAACTTCCATTTTTAACATTCATGCCGTTCAGCAGCACCACCTCAAAGTAAGGAAAGATGCCCAGGTCGGAAGAACCAATCCGCCCATGCCATGGAGAGAACGGAATTGAAGAAAAGTTGACGTGAGCAAATAAGAAAACACTCGCACACAGTTTCTGTTAGGGACATGCTTGGAACATTCTTTCAACGGTGTCGTACTTTAATGCCGTCATGAAAACAAAAAAGGTGGAGATATATAGCAGTATTTCCGACTGTGGTTATCAGGCATAGAGTGAAAAGTTCCGGGGTGCTATACACAGGATTTTTCGTTCCTGACTTCAGTTAGAGATGTGGAAAGTTTACCTTTGGCTCTAGCAGGAAAGGGCCGGGGTAAACAGTAAATGCACCAGGCTCAGTGACCTTAGGTAGAGCTAACGATGAAAAAGACTTGGAAGAATGACATATTCAACAAAAGAGGAGAAGTCCCTTGATGTCGAAAGCAGAAATGTCGTAGGATGTGGGTGACAGATCTGAATTGAGTGTGATGTCGGATTGCAGCGTACTGTCGGACTGCAGCGTACTGTTGGATTGCGAGCGTTTTGCACCACGATGGGATCTATTTATAACACTCGTATTGAATTTTATAGGTAATATTAGCAGAGATCGACAAATACAGACAAGTGTCAGTGACCAAACTTTCTCTTCCCCTATGAGGTACTATTGGCAGAGATTTTCAATTACGTACAAGTCTCTGTAACATATCCCTCTCTTCCACTATACGACAACTGTCGGCAGAGATTGACTATTATATACAGGTCTAGGATGCCATGCTCTTCTATTATTGGCAGATCGTCGGCTACACGCATGTCTCTGTAGCTCCCTCTCTTCACTATATGACGTACTATCACATACAAGTCTCTGTAGCGCATCTCTCTCTTCCACTATGACGTACCACGAAGTGTGCTGCAGATATAGACAGTGCTTTGGCAAGCCCGTTGTATGCGGGCCACATGGCTATGCACGTGGTGTCATATGCACCACCAGTGCCAAAGATTGCAACCAAAAGACAGTCTTCCTCACTCGAAGCTTCCATCAAGGAACAGTAGGCGTAGAAAAATATACAGACATAAGGTTTTTACTTTTAAGACACCCTACTGTATCCACGTACTCACGGTGACGTCTCACTACTCAGATTGAATCCCTACCCCCCTCCCCTATTTAAAGAGCACAAAGAAATTTGTAATCTCCTTGTTTCATTACGAGCACTTCAAGGGCTTTTTTTTGCTGCGTACATACCGCGGTGGCTGAATGCACCAATTTAGGAATGTTCTCCCCTAGGATTCGATGAGAAGGGTAAAAAAAGAAAGAAGAAAAAATAAATTATGTGGAACACAACAGGACAGCCGATTAGCATCTGCAAAGTAGCAAACCCAAGTTTTTGCACTCGTTAACCGTCTTCAAAGTTGACAGAAGCTAAACCAGCTACTCTTGACTAAAGTTAAGATCTGCCACGAACAACTCCGGGGATTGTGACCTAGTTTGTTTATTTTCTAGCTCTTTTAGATCATACTTTTTTTCACCTTCTCCACTAAATTTTTGACACGGTCAGTGCATGCGTGCGTATGGAAACGTTTCGCATGCTAATAGGGCCTCATCTCGGAAAATATTGGGGGGGTTAAATGCCGACAGAGGAAAATACACAATACACCCCATCTTTGTATTAGCATCTTGTGTGTTCGAGGTTTACCCACATCTTTTTTTTTTGGCAGGTCTCGTCTTCGTATTTATTCGCTTCTCTTCTCATAGAATTTGCTGTGTTACACTTTCTTTATCTTTAAATTGCACCAGTCTAACCGAAGTCGAAGTGGTCTTCATATTTTCCGTTAGGAATTACAAAAAACAAATTACTCCATCGTCATACTCTCTGGTCCCAAGTACATGAACAACTAATATGAAGTTCGGTAAGACTTTTATCACCCACCAAATCCCGGAATGGTCTACCCATTACATGAACTACAAGCAGCTCAAGAAGCGCATCAAGACCATTGATCTTGTGGTCAACCAGGACGATTTGCAGCCATCCGAAATCCCCGAGCTTATTGGTTCTATCTTGGCCGAGTTCTTTTTCGAGTTGGATAGAGATATCGAAAAGGTCGACGAGTTCTACAACAAGCAGTACAAGGAGTACGAAAAGAGATTGAGCAAGATCTTGTTGGTGTTGGGGTGGTCTGACTCCAACAAGGAGATCAACCATCAAATCAAATCCTCCGATGAGTTGGATGAGATCGTTGCCATCCTTTTGGAGTTGAGAACCATATATAGAAACTTGAAGTGGTACGGTGAATTGAACCACAAGGGGTTTGTCAAGATTTTGAAGAAATTAGATAAAAAGTTGAACTGGGTTACTGATTTGTCAAATGAGCATGTCCAGGGTGTACTCGAAGAAGAGGAAGAAGAAAACGAACAAACCACCATTCTTAAACCTGAACTTAGAGAAATCATTAGAAAGATCAACTTACCCATGAATCACAAGGACGACTACTTGGCTACCAGAGTCAATGCCTTGCCCTTTGCAAATGGATTAGAGTTGCAAAATGGTTTGGTCACTATCGGGGAAGTGTTGAATCAGTTAGGAGCAAACACTGGAGCTACCGCTGGTGTCAATTCTAGCATTTCACCAGCCTTAATTCCACGTTCACTCTCAGTTTCTCCATCTGTCAACGGTGCTGGTGAATACCTTAAAATTGGTGATGCTAACTACTCCATTGACCATCAAACAATGGAAACTTACTATTCTTACATCGCTAAAGATGACAGCGCTAGATTAGTTTCCGAAATCGGAATCAAGGCGAATATCAAGTCGTTGATTGCACTTTTGAATAAGGCTACTTTATTGGCCTCCTTCAAGTGCATTGATGCCATATTTCAGATCTTGATTTCTAAAGCAGGTGATAACATCTCTGGAGCCTTGTTCGATTCGTACGATATTAGTGGCAGAAACTTCTTTCACCATCACATTATCACTTTGGGTAAAAAACAAAAGATCCAGGAAGCCAAAAAGTCCCAAAGCGATTTTGAAAAATTGAAGGAAGTACAAGAAAAGGAAATGCAAGTGCAGCAAGAGAGCGGTGATTATGGAATTCATGATAAAAGGGAACAAAAGGAAGTAAACAGTCGTAGCTCATCGCCAATTGAAACTACACCTGGTGAATCCGGGGATCTTAATAGACTTTACGGGAATGAAGGTGGTCCTGATGGAGTCAAATTAGACTCTGTTAAGACTGGTGGAATTAAATATCTTCTCAACGAAATCATTTACCCTAACGAAAACTTCAAGCTGATACTAGGACCTCTACTCAATGCCAAGGATAATTATCAGAGAACTCCTCTCCATTATTGTGCCCAATATGGTTTGAAGGATCTCAGTGGAGAAATTCTAGATTTCCTCAATATCAAGTTAAACTTACTAGCCAACTGCCAATCTATTGATGACTTGAAATTTTGGGGTGACCAAGAGAATTTGACACCTTTACATTTAGCAATTATTGGAAAGCATCCTAAGACCAGTGAAAAATTGATCAAACATAGTAACACTCCCAAGTTGAGTTGTCCTAATTTATTATTGCTTGCTGTGAGACTTGATGAGCCAGAAATTTTAGACATCATCATTCTCCAAGGTAAAATCGACATAGATTATACTGACATTGAACACAATATGGAAACCGCCTTGTACATTGCCTCAAGATTGAACCTTGTTGGTATTGTTAAACATTTAATTAAATTGGGAGCAAATATGGAATTAGGAGAATTGGTATTCGGGTGGACTCCAATCTTCATTTCAGCTCTGGAAGGCTATAAGGATGTGGTCAAAGTATTGTTAGAGAATAAGTGTCAATTTGATTACGTCGACGAATCAGGTTGGTTGCCAATGGAACATGCATGTCTTAGAGGTCACCTAGATGTTGCTGACATGTTGAAGCCAGATAATCCTAAATTATTGAACTACGATATAAATAATCCAAGTAATAATTTGGTTAGAAGGAAATTATCGGAAGCTCCTAGTAAAATTGTCAACAGAAATGCAATCTATAACAACAATAATGGAAGTTTTTCAACATCAAGTATTGATAAGTTACCTGAACCTAACAAGAATGTCGTCAATGAAGTTTACAAGCAATTGAAACAATTGGATATGAGTGAAGAACGTGGTATTGATAAGAAACTAGCAAGTGGCTCTAGTGGCAGCAATAGTTCAAGTGCAGCTAGCAGCGTCACGAACAGTAATACCCGATTAATATCAAGATCCAAATCTCCATTGAATAAAAGGAAAATTAAACCTGTGAAGTCTTTTGGTCATAAATATTTAAATCCTGATGAGACATTGATATTGATCACTTTGGGTACAACTGATTTGAGAGATGCTAGCGAACCAATTGAATTAAACAAAATCTCAATGGCCAAAACATTCTTCACCGAATTAGATACCGCGTTATCATTGGTCATAACTTGCAGAGATAAGTCTTCAGTCCACAACAACAAACCAATTGAACCTCCCATCATAATTGATTTACCATTGGAAGATCATCATGGAAGCGCATCAGATCCAATTTCGTTCAAGTTAACCAATGGATTGAAACCAGAAGACACTATCATTACTTTTGACGTGGTGCCAACTTACCAGTACACCAATCTTTCTAAGGATGCAGAGGAAGAGTTTTCTGTTAGCAGCAAGAAAAAGATCTTGGGGAGAGCTGTAGCAATGATGCAAAGTGCTTACACCAGAGTTGGGCCAAACTTGAGATCTTTAAATAACAACATTACCATTCCTATCATTGAATTTTCAACATTGGATGTCTTAGGTTCCATTAGGTTTGAATATATGTATGTCTCATCATTCAATCATCCTCAAATGCACATTGGAAGAACCGATACTTATTGGAAGCAATTGGTTTCCACGAGAGTTATTGGACATAGAGGATTAGGTAAAAATGTTAGTAATAGAAACTCGTTGCAATTGGGAGAAAACACAGTCGAATCTTTCATTGCTGCAGCTTCGTTGGGTGCTTCCTATGTTGAATTCGATGTCCAATTGACCAAGGATTTTGTCCCAGTCATTTACCACGATTTCACAGTGGCAGAGTCTGGGGTTGATATCCCAATGCATGCTTTGACAGCTGAACAATTTTTGGGATTGAGTGATGATTCAAGTGAACACTTGAAGAAATTGAAATGGAAAATTGACCAAGCCAATCATAACAACGCAGCCAATAAGGCAGTTTCTGCAGCTGATTCCAATGGATTTCCTGAAGACAAGAAAGATTTTGTATTCAAAAAGAACTATTCACTTGATGATGAGATGTTGAGTAAAATGCATAGACCAAGGTCCATGTCACAATATCCAGATTACACCAAAAAGAAGACCGGTAGCGTGTTCGATGAACTTGCAAAGGCTGTGAAAATTGGGAAAAATGCAGGGACCGCTCATGACGATGACGATGACGAAGATGATGGAGATCAAGATGAAGTTGATCGTGAGTTTAAAAGCCAGAACAACAATCGTATGAAGTTGACCAAGACCTGGAAAGATAAAGGATTCAAGGGGAATGCAAGAGGTTTATCGATTGCGTCCAATTTCGTCACTTTATCAGAATTATTCAAGAAATTACCGAAGAATGTGGGATTCAACATCGAATTAAAGTACCCAATGTTAGACGAAGCAGAACAGGAAAGTATGGGAGAAATTGCAATTGACATCAATTTCTACGTTGATACAATTTTAAAGGTCATTTATGATGAGAACAAAAACGGCAGAGATATCATTTTCTCATCGTTCCACCCAGACGTTTGTTTATTATTATCGTTAAAGCAGCCAACCATGCCTATTTTGTTCTTAACCGAAGCAGGAACTGCTTCTATGGCTGATATTAGAGCGTCTTCATTGCAAAATGCAATTAGATTTGCTAAGAAGTGGAACTTATTAGGAATCGTCAGTGCAGCTCAGGCAATTGTTAAGACACCAAGACTCGCTCAAGTTGTGAAAAGTTCTGGGTTAGTGTGCGTAACATATGGGGTTGAAAATAACTCCCCCGAGTTGGCTAAGATCCAGATGAAAGCAGGTGTTGATGCCGTTATTGCAGACAGTGTTTTAGCGGTAAGAGAGGGGTTAAGAAAGGCCCAGGAGAGCGAAGAGCAGGCGGTGAATGTTTGATCTGGGAGAAGAATGTGAGAAGAGAAAGAAGGGCAGCACTATCTCCAGCTCCACACACCTGCAAGATTGAAGTTTAGAGAATTTTTGTTATAGATTATTTTAATTACAAGAGAGTAATTGTTTTTTTTTTCTTTTCTTTCTTTTTCTTTCTTTTTTTTTTTTTTTTTTAATGGTCTGGCTGTCGATATTGGCCCTCTTGGATCCCACACTGGTCCATGACTACCAAGCACTGGTCTGTGACCACATATAGTGACAGTAACATATGGGCAATACTCGTACAGGCAAATAAAATAAATAAATTGCAACCAAATTTCCGGCATATAAGCTCGTAAACTCCTCGCCTTTCGATGTTCTCAGTTCGGATTTGGAGTACAGAGAACGTGATAAACCCGAGTCGGAGGGTACTCTTTCTTCCCAGGTATAAAGAGGAGAACAATACGGTTCAATATGTCAACTGAAGGAGACAAGAAGATAGAGAAACTGCCCAGAAAGGTACCAGGAGGAGGTCCCGTGGGTGTGGGCACCAGGAGACCGCCCATTGGTGCGAGTGGGCCAGGTATCAATGCGGTGCATGTCAATGCTGCCAGAGACATGGTCAAGATACACACCCAAGGAAGACAACCACCGGTGCAAGTGAAAGTCCCTCATAGTGTCCCGGTGTCGGTTCCACCATCGGGGTCAACAAGACCATCAGGGTCGACATCTTCGAGGTTTCAAGTGCCAGCGCCCAGAACTCCCCCAGTGGTTTCTGTCCCCGCAAAGGCAAACCACGACAATGATGAGTGTAGAAACCCCCAGTGTCCTCACTGTGGCCTGGTGATCATTCCCTCGCCCAAATCGTCATACCCAATTCAAGATAAACCCTCAATAACGGTCAATGACTGGAGTATCTTCGTGATAAAGAAACCGATATGCAACGCTGTGGAACTTGACAATTTGGCAGAGACCAAGTTCTCGTTCCCCTTGCCTGAAATGATCTTTGGCAACAATTCCATCAGGATAGCGAACGAAAAGGAGGGCACTTTAATTGAGTTTAACACAATTGACGCATTGGAGGGCCTACAAGAGGGCTGCGACTTTAAAGTCAGCTACCACAAGGAGTGGTTGAAATCAAGAAGAACCGAGACGGAGAAGGGAGCAGGCGGTTCCCACGAAGCTGCGGAAACAAGCAATACTACCAGTGGTTCTTCTGGCTCTTCTCCGTTGCCTTCTAACACCACGAAGGATCTCACGAGACTAACAGATTTAGAATCACTCAAGCCGTATGACTGGACGTACTCCACGAACTATAAAGGTTCCATCACCCACCCAGAGCCCGGGTACCTAAAAGCAACCGAAACCACCAAAATACCGATCCATAGACTCACCAGGCCAGATCCCATTCTCTTTTTCGACGAAATGGTGCTCTTTGAAGACGAATTGGGTGACAACGGAATATCCATGCTCACAGTAAAAATTAGAGTCATGCCCACATGCTTGCTTCTACTCAGCAGGTTCTTCCTCCGAATCGATAACGTTGCCTTTAGGGTAAGAGATACAAGAATATTCATTGACTTGGAAACGTCTCACATTGTGAGAGAATATAAGGAACAAGAGAGTACATACGAGAGTACATTGCAGAAGGTAACCGGAGGCTCATCCAAAACCTCCGACCCCAAGGGATTGCTCAGAGACACAAACTGGGTTTCTCAGAATATACCAGTGTTAAAAGTAGAAACTGAGACCAATAGAGAAATAGAGTAGTTGTACAGCAGGCAAAAAGTGTGTTGAACTATCATCGAAAGCCAAAAAATATTCAACTCTATTCACTTTGTTCATTTCACTTTTATTCATCTAATGCGACTACTATAAAACCAAGTAGTATGCAGAGAAATAGAGTTGTCGAATAAGAGTACAGCATGCAGAGTGTGCGGGCTACCATCTACGAAAACCAGACCTATTGAACACTATTCACTTTTATTCATCTACTACTGTTACGGAACCAAGTAATAAGGTCTACTACACCCCACTTACATACATGTATACATACTATGCATTGGTTTATAGGGTATCTATAAGCATTTATATTTTTCTGTGATTCATTGTAGAACTGAGAGCTTCACAACTAGAAGCCATTATAGTTTTGGTGGTACTTTTCCATATTGGCCCCATATTTTGTACAATTTCCAGTGTACCTTACCTTACCTCTTCATCATATCATCACTCACGTCTATCTACTGTCCTAATCAACAACTGCTTCCCATATCTTTACCCAGCAGCTATAGTCCCATTTTTCGTGTCCCCACCAAAAACTGAAATTTTTCAAATCACCAAAAATCGCTAGCCTTGAAAAAGTGAAGAGGACGAGAAGAAGTGCCAGAGGTAAGCAGGCTTTAGCAGACCAGGAAGATGTTCAGCACTGTCAGAACAGCGTTACCCAGAAGAGGGCTCAGAGCTCTTCATCAGGTGCCAAAACTTGCGCAAAACGAGCACTTTTCTGTCAACGGGATCCAAGGTTTGTACTCCAGCCAAGGTTACACCAAGTCATGGTTGGACTACCAGAAATACCTCACAATTAACCTTTCATTGCAGACAACAGGGACAGAAAACGAATTGAGAACCCCTTACCAGATCCTCCTCCACACAGCTAAGCAAACAACAGAGCAACACACATACCATTTCGCCCTGCAGGCCCACAATAACCATTTCTGTTTCCAGCAGTTAACTGACAAGTCTTTAGCTTCCAAGACAAGGCCCTCTAGATATCTCATGGAAAGATTAGCAGACCAGGACTTTGCCACATTAGAAGATTTCAGAGAAGAGTTCCTCTTGGCCGCAGACTCAATGTTAGGACAAGGGTGGGTGTTCCTCGTAGAAAGACCAGACAAGTCATTGAAGATTCTCAGATGTCACAACGATGGAACTCCATACTATTACGGAAAGAACCAAAGTCTTGATTTAAACGGTGCGGTAGACGAGGCCAGCTTCGAAGTGTTGAACGACTTGAAAGCCAAGGTCAAAGCTGGCGAAAAGGACTTCACTTTGCCAATCTTGGGGATAAACTGTTGGGAGTATGCATACGTCCATGACTATGGTGTAACTGGTAAGGCCGACTACTTGGCCAATTTCTGGGATTGCATCAACTGGGATGTTGTAAATAAGAGACTCTTCCAACTTTAGAAGGTGTTAGAAAGATATATGTACATAGCAAGCAAATAGAAGAGCGATAGCGTAATCCTTAATGTGTTGTAGTCTAATGAAGCGGGAGGGCGGGCTGCTTCCGCTTCATTTCGGTGCTTTCCATTCCTTTACATGATCCTGCTTGTAGTGAACCACTAGAGAGCATTTTGATTCCTTTGTATCTAAAATTACTCACTCACGGTCGAACAAATCGTACACGGTTGCCCTCTTCAAATCAATATGGATGGGGTGCTTTTTATCGGTCAACTCTTGCTCCAATTCTCCGCTTTCAAGCACTATTTCTGTAAACTTCTCAATTTCTGCCCAGTTAGAGTCCGTTGTGGTACTCAGGACGAGAATAGGAAGAAGTTCTACGTACACAGAGACTCTCCGCCAGATATCTTGAATGTCCTGGAACTGGGAGAATATTAGCTGGGTTTCAGAAACAGAAACCTGAGTCTTGTCTTGATTTTCAAGCTCAAGCTCAAGCTTCTTGAGCTGTTTGAACTTCCTTACATTTTCCAGGTTAATTTTCTGTAGTTGGGCCAACTTCGGCCGAACGACAGAACGAAGAAGGTTGTTTACCTTGTACTGCAGCGAGGAAAGTGACGAAGACAGTTCCTTTTCATTATTGTAGGACGCAATTAACTTGCTAGCCGAGTCCACCGAGTACAATTCTCGCAAATTAGAAGAGATTTGGGCCATTGTGGGGTCTTCTTCCTCACCACCATCTTTATCGCCTGTCACCGCGTGTATCGACTTAAGCACAGGGAGAATGATCTGTAGGTAATTCACCGTCAAGACATTCGTTTTGAGAATCGATGTCTGCAATTGAAGAAACAGAAGCACCTCCGCAACAGATTCTTGAGAATACGGGTCCGATAATGGTGGTATTGGTAGCTCGTTGCTGGTTACTATTTTATCATACTGCGCGTTGATCTCTTCTTCGGATTGCGAATTGAGACTATCCAACTTAGTAAGGTAAACCAAACGGTCTAGCTTCGAGTTTAGCGACGAAAAGAGTTCGTGGTAGTGAGACTCGGGCGATTCTACTGCTTCTGACATAATAAAACTATTCAATTGCAAGCACACACCTCTTCAGTACAGCACCTTTCCTTCCAGTTGCTCTTCATTTGTGTGCTGCATTTTTAGGCGTGCTTAATTTTTCGTGAGCGGTTTGGAAAATTTGGAACTTTTCAAAACTTTGACTTTTCTTTTTGAATGTCGAAGTGAAGGAGCTTTGTAGGTTGAATACGTGGAAAGAACTCTTCAGTTGTGATAATAATAACATCCACTTAGCCCTGTAATGACACTTCTTAAAACCAAACTTTTGAAAATCGCAAAGTCTGGTGTTTTCCAGGACTTCACTCCCCAGCAATTGAGTGAGACCAGAGAGGAAATCTTATCGCTCGGCACTGATGGTCTTACTACTGTCGAAGTGTACACTTTACTTGAGCTCCAATTTTATATTTCTCTTCTTACAAACCATGATGTGGAGGCCAAGGCATGTCTTGACCGTTTAGTAGACCAATTCGACACCGAGAAGTCTCAAAGAATAAAGCTATTACAGAGTTTATATTTAGAAGCGGTGGCAGGAGACGAGAAAAAGGCCACTGATATACTATGTAGAGACCCTGATGAAATGAACTTGTCAAGGCGTTTAACTTCCTTCAGCAGGAAGCGTGCCAATGGCAGCGAGCTGTTCATAAACAATTTGATCTTCTATTTGGACTTGAATCCCAGTGACTTGAAGTCATGGGGCGAATTAGGGTCTCAGTACTCAAAGGTAGGCAACTATGAAAAATCCGTATACTGTTACAAGGAAATCTTGTTACGAGAACCATTTGCATATAACATATTCTATTTGGTTGGATTGGAATACTACCATTGGTTCTTACAAGCAGACTTGAATAACAATAACAAAGATAAGAAGGACAAGGTGTTGGAAGCAGTAGAATTACTTAGTCAGGCTAGAAATCACTTCCTTAGATCCATTGAAATTAGCGAGAGCTACAAGAAGGGTTGGGAAGGTGTTTATGCAGTTAGCAATGTAAAAGAATTCAATGACAGAATTGGTGGAAAATGGGGACAAGTTAAAGAAGTCAAGAAGTTTTTGGCAGACGGTGACAAGTTAAGAGAGTTATCTAAATCAAAGATTGAGAGTATTTAGAGTATAGGAAGATATATGAGTGTTTGTATATTGTATTATTATGTAGCAGTTCTAGGAGCCCGGCCAGTAGGCCAGAAACTAGTGAGCCATTAGCCAGTAAGCTAGAAGCTAGTAAGCCAGAAGCAAGTAAAGAAGTACAGTTGGTGAGACAGAGAAATTGAGCTAGCTCTGCTAGTTCATTACGGCTAGATCAGCTAGATCATACTAATTCACTAATTCACTACCTAGCTCAGTTTCATCTCGGCTCACCTTGTTCGTCAGCTCACCTCTTATCTCTACCCGTCGCGCATTCCGCATCCTTAGCCTTGTTTCACTTTTATCTGATCTCCCCGGTTTTCAGTAATCTCCATCTCTTCCCCATTTCATTTGTTCTTTATTTGAATGAAGAAAAGCAAGTTGAACCCACCCGTCACTTGTTGGTCCCCACAACAAAAGAACCGTCTACAGATTTCTACAATATCATTATCTTCAATGCAATTGTGTATTGCCACTATTTACTAAATTTGAATTTTTTTAGCTATTTTTAAACACCTTTTTCCGCTTACTCCATGAATCACCAGTTATATATCTTTAGATATCTCTACCTACTTCTTTTCAGAAGAACAGGTGCAAGATGAAGTACCACACTTGCAATCAGAGCCGCATGAACAACCCTTTTCTTCTGGACCTTGGTTAAGAATAAATTGAGACATTGTGTTAGTTAGTTTGTTAGTTAGTTTTTACTGTTTAGTATACTTCAAATATGTATTCACTTCAGGTTGTTGGAGGCCGCTTCTGCTTTATATACGTTTCCAGATGACCAGATCGAAAGATAAAAACTGCATATAAACTGCGAAGTTTCTGCCGTGATCATTCAAAATCTGCTGTATGAAGGAATGCCCGAGTCTCGAATATTCGAGTGCATTACGCTATTGGTGAGATTCGGCAATTGCTTGTGAGTGCGTTGTGCTGCGATAATTGTGCTGCATTTGGGCAAAGTCTGGGCAAACAACCTTGTGAAGATAAGAGTCATGTAATAGGTTTGCTGTTGTTTCTTTGAGCTTCGAATGACTCTTCCTTTATGTAAAGATGGAGGCGGTGCCCTAACGTCTTTAAAAGAGCTGAAGCAGGTAGTTGTTCTATCCTAATGATAAAACCGGGTGAAACTGGCGGTGTGTTACTGCACATAGCAGTAGCGGGATCACTATGTGGTGGTTGCAATTTAGTTGCTGCACAACGTTCTATGCATTATCTTTCCCACTTTACACTTCATTCTCTGCACTTCTCATCTGAATGTGGTACCTCACGATTCTGTGTTGCGCCTAAGATCAATAAGGAGGTTGCGATTAGGTTGGTTCTCTCTTCTTCTTTCTTAATATATTGCTTACTTTCACACTCAGTGTATCAGCCGTGGTTCTTACTCTTCTCAGGTACAATACATTGCTTCCTACTACATTCACACTAATTCTTGTGCGTAGGTGCCTCGTAATTTCTATATGCTTTTATTTTCTATGCGCCGTACTAATATATACTATCTATACTATGAGCCGAGTTAAAATATACTTTATCAATTCAAAAAAACAATATCATACCTCTAACTGAGCAAACTTCTTTCTATCTGTTCTCCCCTTTAGCAGTTCATTATTATCTTCCATTAAAAGTCACCCTTGTGACTCAAATCTTCCCTTGCTAAAATGTCGTCGAGGATTCCACTTGCAGCTGCAACTAATCCTAAAAATGGTCTAGATGGATCCAAAACCTTAGAAATGTATTCTGGGTGGTATTGAGTACCACAGAAGAACTTGTGGTCATCTAATTCCAATAATTCCATTCTGGTTTCCGTTTCATCCTTACCAATGAATTTTAAACCCTTGGCTTCGATCTTAGAAATCAACTTAGGGTTAACTTCGTATCTATGTCTGTGTCTTTCCATGACATACTCAGATCCGCCGTAGATCTTTCTTAATTTAGCATTTTCACTGCCTTTGACAAATTTAGTTTGGTGAATACCTAATCTCATGGTACCACCCAATTTAACTTGATCAACATCAGGCATGTATACAACAGAAGCAGTTTCTTCAGAGTGGGCAGGATCAAATTCCATGGAAGTGGAGTCAGGGATTCCAATGACGTTTCTAACAAACTCAATTACTGCAATTTGTAAACCTAAACAGACACCTAAGTATGGAATGTTACTTTCTCTAGCGTATTTAGCAGCTGCAACCATACCTTCGATACCTCTGCTACCAAATCCACCAGGCACTAAAATACCATCAGCTTGACAAACATGGTGCCATGCCTTGTGGTATTTCAGTAAATCAGAGGTCTTGGTCTCTTCTTCCAAATCACTTGATTCAACCCATTCGATCTTCAATTTTCTGTTACACTTCATTGAAGAGTGTTCCAAAGACTTGATAACCGATAAGTATGAGTCCTTTAAATGGGTGTACTTACCAACAAGAGCAATAGTTACAGTTTCAAAAGCTCTGTCGTAATTTGCGGTCAAAGTCTTCCATCTTGTAAGCAAGTGTTCACCCTTTTGTAAGGACTCAGCAGTCAATTCAATGGTGTCAAGTCTCAACTTTTGAGACAAGAACTTCATAATCTTTTGCTCCTTCAACAACAATGGGACATGATAAGTAGTATTAACGTCATGAACAGCAATGACTTGGTTTGGACCAACGTGACAGAACATACCAATCTTTTCAATTGTTGCAACTTCCAACAATTCTTGACATCTACAGGCAATCATATCAGGAGTTAATCCGAGAGATCTCAAATCCTTAATGGCAGCTTGAGTTGGCTTGGTCTTTTGTTCACCATGGATCACTGGGACCAAAGAAACGTGAATTAAAGCGAAGTTGTCAGAACCGACTCTGAATTGGAACTGTCTTAAGGCTTCAACGAATGGAGCACTTTCAATGTCACCAACGGTACCACCGAGTTCGATGATACAAACTTCAGGTTCTAATCCTGAATCATCAACAGGGATCTTAGAAACTCTTTCAATCCAATCTTGAATTGCACCGGTAACGTGTGGGACAACCTGAACGGTCTTTCCCAAGTAGTCACCCTTTCTTTCTCTTTCAATGACGTGAGAGTATATCTTACCAGTGGTAATATTATGATCCTTAGTCAAGGTGATGTTCAAGTACCTTTCGTAATTACCAAGGTCCAAATCGACTTCACCACCATCGTTAAGCACAAAACATTCACCATGTTCTAAAGGAGACATAGTTCCTGCATCGATGTTCATGTAAGGATCGATCTTGATGGAAGTGACCCTCAAACCTAAAGTTTTGAACAATAAACCCGTGGATGAGGCTAAAACACCTTTTCCGATACCAGAAATAACACCACCAGAAACAACAACGTATTTCATTTTCTTTTTTTTGGTTTTCAGGTAAAAATATAAAGTTTACAAATTAGTCCAATAAACAACAAACTAGTGTTTTAACAGTGGACGCGTCTTTTAAAAGAAAATTCTAGTTCCAGCTATCTTACAATGATACACCTATAAATTGTCAATATTAGATCCAATTTTATAGAAGCTTGCCCTCTTAAATAGCTGATTTAAGCGGGAAGGAAGAAAGGAAAAGAAAAAGAAGAAGAGGAAGTAAAATTTGTTTTCATTTCTCCTTTGTTTTTAGGGCCGAAAGAAAAAAAGCGAGAAGATCATCGCAGGGTTGACTGCCCGATGCGGAAGTAAGTGAGGGCTAACTTCAAAGTGAGAGAGGGATCAGAAGGACTGCAATATGCAGTCCTTAAAGTGGTGCAGTGTGTTTGGCTTAGGAGAACTGGACCATAAGGAAGATGTATTGAGAAGGAAAAGAAGGGAAGGTGAAATGTAAGTATGTATGCAGGCTAAGGGTGAGTGTGAAGGTTGCTTTACTGAGGATGTATCAGCGACTGAGTAGCAGTAATTGATAAAGTAGAAGCTCGATTTCGGCTAGCTGGGGTGGGCTTTTTCATTCCTTCTCTCGTAAATTCTTGAGATATTGTGCAGGTTTGTTTTATATTTTTAAGGTATGACATGGAACTTTGTTAGCGTTGCTAATTCTGCTTGCAGATATATCTGCTCAATTCTTCTCTGTTCATATAGCTGCTATATTTTAAGCAGGCTTGGGTTTCATTTAAACGTACTCAATTTATATATAGCTACGTCAATTTATACAGCTATTTCAGCTACAATGAGTTTCCTTACAGGATTGGTGCCTGTACTTTTAGCTGGATTTATTATAATTTACCCAGGAGTAGCGCCTGAATTGACACCAGGGTATGAAAAGTCTAACTTAGTCTTCACATCTTTGATTAAGTTGTTTTCGATTCAGGTTGTCGCCTTGAAAAGAAACGAGGTGGTTCCTGGTATGAAAATCAGACCCCTATACGGAATAGCTACATGTCAAATAGTGTTCGCTGCATTGACCTTCTATTGTGTTAACATCGCGAGTGCCTTACAGGTATTATATATACTAGCATTAGCCGCCTGTACGTTGGCTGTAATCATTCCACTAGATGAAGTGATGGCTAGGATACAAGAGCACGGATTGACACGAGGGAATATTACAGCTGCATTGTTTGCTCTCTTGTTTATAGCACACCCTATTGGGGATTGGTTACCAGGTCTGTATGGGTCCATCATAGTATTCGCGTCTTTGATTAAGCTTTGTTGTATTCAGGTGGTCGTAGCCGTTAAGAAGAAGCTGAGGGCTTTTTCGTTCAGAATTTGGCCCCTATACGGTATAGCTATAAGTCAAATAATGCGCGCTACATCGACCTTCTATTTGATGGATAGCAGTCCAATGATCTGTTTGGCCATAAATATATTAGGTATATTAGTAATTGGCGCCTGTGCGGGTTTTATGAACAAAGATCCTTTTCCAAAGAATATTTCTTCATCAGAGGATAGTGATGTATCAACATATGATGTAAAAAATTAGAGATACCAGTATAAGCAATGGTTATTCAAGAAGAAACTCAACAATGTACTTTAAAGTCTAGAGGGAAGGGTTGCAATGTGAACTGCCCTAGTACCAAACAAGAATTCATAACTCTAAATATTGTACTTAGATTATACACGTACTATATATAAGAAATCTGAACCGTAAGAAGATTTACGTATAAAATACTTAATTTTTGTAAGCATCTTCAGTTGACAGAAGGGCCGCTCGTAAGTCTATGCGGGACAGCTCTTTCATGCATTCTCTCGCATATTTGAGATTTCGTGCAGGTCGGTCTGGCAGTTTCGAGTTATTTAGTGAAAGCTTGCTCACAAACTCCTTCCTCCTTTCTAAATGAGCCCACTCTTAACATATAGCCACGTTACTTCGCTGTGCGTTTTCGTTCACAATGAAATATCTTACACGAGAGAATATTACGGTACATTTACCTGTATACTTTGCTATGTGGATTATTTTTCTGCCAGTGTTACCTTTGATGGCGCCGCCAGGAAGAGAACTTACAACCTTGGTGTACGCAACTTTGGCTAAAATTTTGTGTATTCAGTTCGTGGCTGTTAAGGGAAAGGTGACACTTCCTGGAATTAAAATCTGGCCCCTATACGGAGTAGTTGCATATCTCATGCTGTTTGCTACGGCCCAGTTCTATCACAGTAAAAAAGGCCTATATGCTTTAACTGGAATCTATATTACATCAATGGTCGCCTTGATGTTCTTCTCCTGTTACCGCGAGTCACAAAATACCACTTCATCAGAGGATAGTGAATTTATCCCAACAAATAATGATGAAAAGGTAGAGATACCAGTATAAGCTTATGACAAACACGAAGAAATTTAGTACTTTACTTGAGTGTAGAAGGGGAGAGTTGTAATGTGCTTTCAGCAGTAGATATAGAAAAGAACGCATTACCTTATACCTTTTTGAGAGTAAAATGGGAGTAGTTGCAATGTTCCTTTGCTTTTAGTAATAGAAAATGGACAAGAACAGACTACCTTGAATATGTAAGTTGAGTTATACACCTACTAGATATAATAAATCTGAATCGTAGGAACCTTTGTATCAACTTTGAATATACTTTATTTTTGCCAGGGTTGCAGATCGATATACGTCCAAGCTTACGAAAACATTGACAATATATCGGTGGCAGACAGGTATGTAGATAGATACTAATTCCAAGAGATTACAAGTTATTCATTATTAATGTTATGCTTTCATTACACAATCTTAACACCACCTATTTCATGTCCATCCTCGCTCATCAATATTTGGGCTTTTCCCTGTTTTACTAGTACCTTTAAAACCTTTACCAATAAATCATACTCAAGATTCCGTATGTCATCCGTCAACCCACTGTCCGTCAGCTTTGTTAATTCGTATACGGTTAATACAGAACCTAATTGCCCAGTTTTTTGAACAAATGAATATAATACTTGAGCCCATTCCGCCAATGATCTCCAAAATACTATAACCCCATTTTCTGGAGATTTGGGGTTCTTTAATTCCGCCTTATTCTGATTCAGGATAAGATGCTTGAATATCAATGTCTTGAACTCGTCGTTTGCCACCCTTTTAATTGACTTATTTTCAAATAATGACGGTATATCTTTAATTTCATCCTCTTCTAGTTGTGAATGTAGGATCTTACCCGTTATCGGAGACATCGATGTTATTTTATAATGTTGGCAGTAGCCCAAGAGGATTTCACACCATGAATCAAGCTGATTGTTCAACACAGTTGCATTTGGCTGCTTGGTATAGAACGGTATAAACGAATGTATCTTTGGGAATTCAAACGCCGTAGACATCTTTCTATGAAGACATATAAAGCGAAGTTGCCCCCAATGAAGAAGTATAAGGAATGATGAGCTTAAGATCGATGCTTGCGGTGGGTGCGCGCTAGCTGAGAGTTGCCCTACCAGCTAAATTTGAAACTAATGCCTAATTTAAATTTGTCGCACCAAAACGGCTCACACTTTAGGGAAGAGTAGCACATTGCAATACTTACACACTTGAGGTAGCAGTGCATTCGTTTCCAAGCGGAAGGTCTGCTTCAAGTTTTGAGCATACTGCATCCAAGATACCCATGAGAGGAAGACTTAGTTTCGATGGGGGGAATATTACAAGAAGTAGTTCACCACATCTCACCAAAAAAGTCTACAATATTCAAATTTTATTATTTTTCAGAGTGCATTTTTATGCTATATAAACCGTAAATATAACCGAACTTTAAAATACAAGATACTTAAGCTTCAGCCATGTCTCTTAAACGACGGATAGTAGATCTAACAGTGGCAGCAGCGGCAGTGGAGACAGTGTAAGCACCACCAGCAACGGTCTTTCTACAAGATTTACAGTTCCAGATACCAGCAGCACCTCTTTGAACGGTTCTCTTACCACAGAAAGAGCAATCGTATTTGGCGTGTTGTTGAACTTCCAACTTCTTGGTTTGTCTTCTCAAGGAAGAACCATATCTGACACCGAATTTACCGGTAATACCAACCTTCTTAGTTCTCTTAGTCCTGGAAATATTGTTAGTAAATAGAGTTAAAAGTGGATTAATAAATTCGTATTAATAGGTTTTGAATGTGCAAAGTAAAATATTTTCGTTGTCAAACTAGTCTGATATTAGTGAGGTCAATTCTAGGGATGATGTTTCACAGTTGATTCATCTCATATTAGATGTGTTATAGATAAAGTATAGAATATGACATTCTCACCTTTGGGAACTTCAATAGATTAACAGTTTCATATCCGTCGAACTCATCCTCATCACTTTTCTAAAACATTGGCTACATCTCTGACCAGAAAACTTTCTCTGATGGGCATAAATAATTTTCACTCATTTTTTTTCAGTTGGGTGTGTCCAATTCTAATCCATATATTCCTCTGGTCTCCCTTATTCGTTTCACTTCGAGACTAACTACATCTCTTTATAGTTTACATTGCATGGTTCTAACCTACTGATACTGTCCATATTAAACATACATTTTGATATATCTGTGTTTGAATACAAAAGCTATTAAGAAAACCTTTCAATTTTTCAATATAACTAAAATTGTTTTTCGTTAAGGTGCCAGTTTGAGGGTGCGGGAGTGTTGCCAGGAAATGAGGTGCGGGCGTGTAGAATGACCAAAACTTCGAAAAATTTGATGAAAAAGAACATGTGACCTATTAGGGTTCAGACCTCACAAATACGATCACGTGCCACTGTCCAACCCATTGAAAAGTCGGCCGTCTGAGAGCGACAAAAACGTTGGAACCCTCTGAAATCTGGCTCGCAAAACGGGAGCTGCCTAAGGGCATACTCACTGCACTGGTGCAATACACTTTACCATATGTAAGTATCAGATACCTTGCAAATGTGACATTTTCCTAGTCCAATTTTTTAAACTCATTCTATGGTACCTATTTCGTTCTCTCTGTAGTATTACCTTGGTTTCGACACCTCTTTTGCTGCTTCTCTCCTTCCTTTCGACCATTTTGCACGAAGCCTTTCCCTGCGTATGTTCGATATTTATTTTTTCATGGTTCCTTCTTTAGGCAAATCTGTAGATAAGTGATTTTGTGGATTTGGTCAAAAAAACTGGCTTCTCCTTGTGTTGCTTAGCGTTGTGTGAGAGGACAAGTTCTATATAGGAAGCGTTCACCATTGTATCCTCTCATAATTACTACTTTACGGTCAGTATTATAAGGGAACGTAGGTTGTCATGTCCGACGATTGGACCTCCTTTATCATCTATCCTGATGGTATGTGATCACCTAAATCTAGCAGAGGAATGTGCCTAATTCTGATGCACCAGAATCAAATCTGTTTGTCTGCTGGACACAGATATAATGTAAATCGAGTAAAAATGATCTGGTATTACCAGAGCCACTCTAGCTGGATGACTGCCCCATTTCACTTGGTGTCTGCAGATTATTTATACTAACCAACTCAACTAATACAGACTCCCCTAACGATGATGAGAAAGGAAAAGCAGACCAGAAAGCAAAGCAAAAGGAGAGAAGTACAAATCGCTCACGGAAACCTCTTCAAGAAGCAAATGAACGTGAAATATTAAATTTCCATAAAAAGGATTGGACTTCCACATCGTCTGTATATCCAGCGGTGTTCGAAGGTCTGTTAATTGATGGTTTGAGGGAACTTCCAATAGCCTCGAACGATTATACATGTGGGGTGCAGACTTCAAGATGGGCTAGCTGTAGAAGGAAATTCTCCTGTTCTATACACAAAGAAAAGGAGAAGGTATTAGTCAAAAGATCTAGACCACTCTCATACCTAAGAGAATTGGAGAAGAATAACAAGGATGTCTTTACTAATCGCAGACGAATTGTCAAAAGGTGGCTACTGACTCAAACATCGAAAGATGACCTAACTTCTCTTCTTCACCAAGCATCGTATCGGGTACCCATGCCACTTGAGTCTGGCCGCTTTCGTCATTTACCAGTGCATGTTCAGTCACCAATGCTGAATTTTCCAGATAGTAATATTGTTGCGACAAAGGATATATTCTGTCACTTGATTAAAAGCCATCATCTTCCGCTCCCTCCTCGATTTCCACATCCAACAGAATCTCTCCAACTAACCAAGAAACAGCTCTATGTCAAAAAACTCTCTAGATGTGCTAGCATTATGTTCGATGAGGTGATATCTTATCTACATTACAAACTTCAATCTATATCCAAAATGTCTGAGAGAGAAAGAGTTCAAAATCTTCATAATATCAGGTAAGAAGTACGCCTAGGAGGAGAATTATATATCATTCATTCGTGATTTATATATGCTTTTATTAAAATTTTCAGATCAACTGAAATAAATGAAAAATAAAAGAAAGCAAGAGAAAGTATGCAGTAAAGTAGCCAACAAACTTTTATATTAAATTCTTTTACTCATATCCTTTTTTCTTTTTCTTCATCTTCATCATCATCATCATCTTCTTCTTTCATTACTTTTTAGCTACCATTGGGAGGTGGACGTGGGAATAAATTTACATTTTGAGTTTCATTCTGCTCCATATCCACATCCTCTTCTTCACCGTTCCCATTGTATACGAATCTATCTCGGAACACCGCAGGCTGGAAAAGTTGTGGAGCATTCTGTCCAAATTGAACTTGAGGGGTGAAAGAATCTTCGCTAAGGTCTTCTGGATTCTGTGGACCTGGTTCGATCCCTCCTTCTTGACTTTCATCCGCCATTTGTAGTTGCAGTTGCTGCAGCTGTAGCTGCTGCATTTGGTATTGCTGAATTTGTTGCCTACGTATTCTACTTTGATGGTGATTTCTAATCATGGTTTGGAAGTGCCCTCTCATATCCTCTGTTCCCAAATTGCCTCCCAATCCTTGAGGTAACGTGAATCTTTCTCCTATCCATTGGGTAACATCGACTCCTCCATTTCCAGGAGACATCTCGTCTCCTTCTATTCCTATTCCAATACCAATCTGCCCGTTGTTAGCATTAGTAATATCTGCTCTCATATTAGTCACGTTTGGACTGTTGTTTACGTCACTATTAACATTAGCACCATCGGGGTTGTTATTAGGGTTGTTATTATTGTTATTGGCAATGTTACCTCCATTTAAGAGAAACCTTCTACGTTCTAAGGCAATCGCATGCATATCTCCGTGATTTAAAATATGGGCTTGATTTTCCTCCATCAGTTCTGTTAGGAAATTTCTTAATTGATTAACTCCATGACCTGAGAACACACAGAATGAATTTCGCTGTGATTCAGTAAAATCTGGCGGAGGCTCTCTGCAAAATGTAGTAATATCGTTTCTTAAAAAGGCGACTATACCCGTGAGTGACAAATGAGTCAATTTTGGACAATTCTTCAACAATAAATAAATTGGGCCAATAGTTAAGTTAGAGCAATAAGAGAGATGTACCCTCTCCAAGCAATCTTGTTCTCCCCTTCTTCTAACAAATTCCAAGATCCCATTGTCACTAATTAAATTACACTTGACCAAGCCGATTCTTCTTAATTTTGGTAAGTTAGATAACTCAACCAAGGTCCAATCGGTTAATTGAGTGCAGCATGCCAAATCAATGTATTGGATTCTGTGACATGACCGCACTAACGACGCCACTCCAAAATCAGTAATAAGTAAGCAATGGCCCAAATGGATGTAATGCAAAGATCTCCCCAACTGAGATAACGCTCTCAACAGGGCATCGGTTATCTGCATACATTTTGATAAGACCACATTTCTTATTCTGGGAGCATGGAATACCAATTTTTCCACTAATTTATCCGTGATCGCATTACAATTGGTAATATCGATAATCCTTAACTTTTCCAAGTAAAAATCTTCTGGTAACAAATTGAAAAGATCATCAGTCACCTTGGGGGCACAACTGATCCTGAATTCTCTTAATTGTGTCATATATCTGAAAATTAATTGTAAATACTTGTCCGTAACATTGGAACAAGTATGTAAATCAATTTCCACAAGGGACTTACAATTTTCATACATGGCCAAGATCAGTTCATCAGTTATGTTCTCCAGGTTGTTAAACTTAACTCTTTTCAACATGGGGCAAGATTTCAAAAGTTTTATTATTGCCAGCTCCGAGACTTTGCCACAACCAGGTGCATACAAACCTTGCAACCTAGTACAGTTTTCAGCCAATGCTAATATTATATTGTCATGGATATCAGTGACACCTGTGAGATCGATCGACTGTAATCTTTCACATTTAATTAAAGTTGAAGTTATCGGCTGGTGGGTCAATTTTGTGCAGTTCACCAAAGTAAGCCTCTCCAACTTGGGGCACCCTATAAACAAAGAAAGCAAGTCGTCGTCCACCAATTTTGTCATAAACGATAAATTCAACCTTTTTATGAACGACCTATAGTTCCAATGGGTCTGTGCTTCAGACAATTCCATTATTGATTTGATCTTTTTGAATGACGAATCATTTTGCATGTTCGGCCGGAACCACAAGATTTCGATGATCAAATCTGCAAATTCCTGACAAACAGTCAACAAGGAGTAAAGATCCTTACGCTCCAAATGATGGAATATCTGTAGAAGAACCTCTGTGGGTAATTTAAGGAGGTACGAGTTGGCGTAATTCAACCGTTGAATTTCGTTCCTGAACTGATTGTGCGTGCTGTTATTTATCGTAGCATTGGACGACGATCTACGCTTTGAGATTAACGAGTTTCGAAGATCCTTATAGTCCGAGTCGTCGCTATCATTATCCATCTGGAAGGGTATAGAATTCGCCGTAGTCGACGTTTTCGATTTGTGTGCTTGGGGATTGCTATCATTAGTAATATTGTTGAGGTACGACGAAGCATGCGGATGGCGCAGGTGATGTTGCACCTGTTGCGGATGTTGTTGCTGCTGTTGCGAAGTTGGTACCATCTCGTCGGAGTAGTTGGTACTACTAGGCGAACTCATCGTTAACTGATGTATATGGATGTCTTCAGCAGGGGTTTCGATTCCTGTTTAAAATTAAGGCACTCTCTTTTTTTTTTTTTTTTTTTTCTCTTTTTTCTCTTTTTGGACTTTGTTGTGTTTATGTTTGTTCGTGTAGATCAAGTCAGCAAGAAGAAGAGAAGAAGAGAAGAAGACTATACCAAAAGCCAAATCCTGTATAAAGAAGAAAAACCAGTAAGGATGAGTATAGTGTAGTTCACCGAACGAAAGAAAGCGCAGCACAATCGAAAGTGTTGGTGTATACAGTGGTGCATTTAGTTTGTGGATGTTCTCCATGGTGGAAATTTGGTGAGCCTTTGATTGTGCGTAGGGATTGAGTGAGCCCAGCGTGGTACTGCAGGTGGAAGGCAGCAGGATGCAGTCCGCTTCGGAGTGGACTGGAGTGGGGAACCAGAGGTGCCGATTTCAGAAGAGATTAGGATGTTTGGGAGGCTATGTTTGACAAATTTGATGGCAGGGGTGCTCACCATGCTTGGGAAATGGACTACAGTCGAACGAAGGTCAAGTTTGGTGGAAAGTTGCACCCACTATTATGGAGCTGTGATACGCTCCGGCCCTGCTCAGGTGAGGCTATCGGTTTTTTTCAGTCCACTGATTTACGCAGTGCTCGCTAAATCGTCCTAAACGGGGCAGTATGGCTGCGAAAATGGGCGCTAGAGAGCTGGCAGAAGAGGCTGGAATGGGACTCAGGTAGGGAGAAGGTAGTCCATGGAGAGGCATAAGAGGCTAAGGCAAGGAAGACAAAGAATCAGAAGTAGTTTGCTGCTCAGATTGGCAGTACTTGATACAGTTCAATGTCCTTTCATTTCCATCTCTATTTGCATTTTCCCTTCACACACATATCTACAGTAGCCTCATAATATCATTACTATTATTATTTATGTGTATATATTTTAAGTTTCCTTTATTCCTGGTTTCATTTTCGTTTTAATTTTCGTTCTTAGTTTTTTTTTTGTTCTTTTCCGTTTAGGAGCATCTTTATCTTTATCTTTATCTTTTACATTCATTACAGTATTTACATTGTTATCGTTGTTCACCCTGCTCATAGTTACAGTTACATTCCATTCTACAAGAACAGCGGTCTTTGACTAGAAGCAATTGTTGGTGTGTCTGGGTTTGAATTATAGCCCAATGCTGCAGAACTCAACGACAATTGCTCTAACTGTTGCATTACTGCCTGGTCTTGCTGTGACTGCTGCTGTTGATGTTGCTGGTAGTAAGCCGGCAGTTGAAACAGCGGTTCAGGAACCAGCTGCTGCTGGCCAAGGGGCGGTTGGCCCTGAAGCATTTGTTGTTGAGCCATCATCATCAGGTATTGTTGATTGTATTGGGGATTGAACATTTGAGCGTATGGGTTAATTTGGGATTGATTAGCCCCACCTTGGTAATGAGTATTAGTAAGAAGAGGTTGTTGATGCTGCTGCTGTTGCTGATGCTGTTGTTGATGATGATTATGGTTATGGTTCTGATTCTGGTGTTGACCATGGTTTTGCTGATTTTGTTGACCTTGCCCACCTCTGTTTCTTCCACCTCTCTTATTCCGTCTGCCACCATTTAATGAATTACTTCTATTCAATTTGGTACTACTTAATCCAACCTCATCCATCAATTTCTTGTATGGTTGCATATTGCTGATATTCAATTCTAACAATATCCTTCTGATCTGCAGCAAGATAAAGTTCTGGTATTTGATATTCTTAACATCACCAGTGACTTCATCCCCGTTGTTCAAGAAGGTTGAATTCGATAAAATTTTATAGATGAATACAGGCCCTGCGCTATTGTCTAAGTTTTCTGATAATATCGTCTCCAACAACTTAGAAGGAACAGGAGTTAATTCTTCATCAGATTCATTAAACTTACCAAATATTTCGTCCATTATCAACTGCTTCAGTTGATAATCTGTTCTGTTGTTCAAAATCTTCAAAATATTCAAATTAGCCAATTTATGACAACAAAGGGTGTCCAAATGAGGCAAGAACTTTGCGGTTAGGATCTTATATCTGTCGTCAGTACCAGTACTGCTATTACATCTGTATGTGTCAAGGAACCAAGTAATCAACAAAGAACCGTTGTTGTTTACCGCTAATTCGTTACTGAACTGAATAATCAAACCAGCAACCAATAAGATTTGCTCCTTGGTAACGATTTCTCTTCCATCATCAACCTTAGAGGCACTAGTTTCAAGGATGGTTCTAATACTTCTAGCACCAAATCTTCCAAAACTGATTTCCAAGAAATTGTCCAACATTGCTTCAAAGATAAAATCATTGAATGGAGATCCAAATTTCAAGCATCCTTGCAAGACGTAGTTACCAAATTGATCATTGAATAGCTTGACAGCATATGGTTTTAAACTAGCTCCAATGAGGTATTGTTGCTGATAATCACTTCTAGAGCATAAGTTAATAATCTTCTGAATAGCCCATGTACCATTTTTATGAATACCCAATTGAGTTAAGTACGGAGTAATTTCCTTCACCATCATCAATTTGATTAGTGGAGATTCAACTAAAGTAAAAATTTTTTGAACTATAGTGTTACCAAGGTAGTCATAGCAAAGCTCGGGAAGTTCATCCAACATAGCAAGACAAAGTTCCTCCAATTCCAACTGACTGAGAGGAGATAATGGTTCCTGTTGGTCTGATTCATCTACTCCTTCTTGAGCTTGGGGTCCAGGCGACCCACCTTCGGTCAACTCCAATAACTTCCTTAAATCTCTCAACTTTGGTGAGTCAAATTGTCTCAATGGGATTGGATCGGGCAATGGTCCAAAGTTATCCTGATAGTTTTCGTTAGGATAATTAATTGATTTTGAAACAATTGACTGAATCTTTTTCACATCAATATCCGACTTGTCGTTAACGTTTAATTTATGAATAGAATCCAAGAGTGATTCTTGGATTGCATATAAATTAGTGGGAGGAGGTTGGAATGTCTCCGAGCGCTTAGTAGAAAGCGTCTGGCTACCGTTAGCATTGCCATTGCCATTACCATTAACAGAATTGCTGCTGCCCTCGGATGAGCTGACTTTAGATTGTTGCAGCAGTGGCTGACCTTGCTGCTGTTGAGGTTGCTGTTGAGGTTGTTGCTGTTGCTGTTGCTGTTCCTCAAATTTTACAAATGCAATATAAATAACAACTCCAGGTACCAACTCTAAGTGATTGAAGCTAGCTTTGAGGCCCATGGCAATTTCAATGCTTGCACATTCAATTAAAGCAATTTTGGAGGTATTCAATGTCGACATCCTAACGCTTCTGATACTACCAACAGATCTATGAGTACCCAATGAATTGGAAAGTATAGACCACATTTTCAAAGCATCTACAAAGTGTGGAAGATTGTCAAACAATATAAATCTAGTTGGGCCCAAATTTGGGTTTTCAAAGTTGGTGATAATGTTTAGTTTCGTGATATCAAAGTCATCTTGAAGAACTGGAGATTCGGTCGAATTTTGCGAGTAAGTAGCATTTAGGCTTGTATATTGCGGATAGTTACTTGAGGAGTCTCCTTCTTTGAGATAGTCGTTAAATTGGGTTTGTTGGTGTTGTTGTTGAGGTTCAAATAATGTAGCCTCAGATAATGTTGGAGTGGTACCAGAATAGGTCTGTGCTCTATTTCTTGAATTCATGTACGACGAAATTGCAGCCAAGCTTGATGGAGTTCCCACTCCGCCATTTGTTGAAAGTCCTCCAGGTGTCACCGAGTTGAGTCCACCATTATCATGCACCCCAGAAGCAGAGACTCCACCATTATTACTTCCCATTAAGCTATCCAAATATGCGTTCATGTCATTAGACAGACCAAAAGACGTGGACAATAAGCGACTACCACTTCCAATCACATCACCATTATAAGAATTCTGGTTCAAAATGTTCAGGATTGCACCAGTAGTGGTGTAAGATCTATTTCTTGGTGCGTTAGCAGCCGATGAATTGTTATTCAAACTCAAGTAATCCATAGGGCTTGAAATGCTATTATTATTGTTATTAGTATTATTAGTATTATTATTAGTGTTGTTATTATTTATATGACTGGAGTGATTAAGGTTGTTATTATTAATATTATTGTTGATCGATTGCAGTGCCGACAACCTTGGGCTCAAGAATGAACCACTGGATGCAGAATGAATACTACCATTGTCCATTACATTGGGCGAGACATTAATGGCGTCATCATTCCAGATGGAGCTCGTCAGGAAAAGCGAGCCAGATCTTATTCTTCGTCCAGATGAAGACGTATGTTGGGCCGGGATTGGGATATCGACTGCGGTTGTATTATTACTATTATTATTATTATTATTATTATTATTATTATTATTATTACCATTGTGGGTGTTGCTATTGGAAAGTCCAAGAGAAATATGATCCATCGTCGGAAGGTCAATGGCTCCACTAACCAAAGGGGAGTTGTTTATATAACCATTATGATTCTGTGAATTGTACGAAGGTAAGGTGCCTGATCTACTTCTTCCTTGAGATGCCGCAGGTGTCAACGATATAGCAGGAGGAGAAGGGTTTAGGACGTTCAGGCTTCTACTCAGCATATTATGGCTGTTGAAGGAAACTGACTAATGAAAGTAAAGGTCTAAGTCCCACAACAGGTTCATAAATTAAAAATAAAAGTGAAGGAATGAATCACAGCTTGAAAGCGTATCTACTCTGGAGAAAGCGGATCAAATCAAGTGAAAAAAAGGACTCCGTGTAGAAGGTGTTTGATTCCAAATATTCAAGTTTTCTCTTTGCGTGTTCTTTGAACGTGTGTGAAAAGAAGATATCGCAGTGCGCCGTCGTTGTAATCTAGTATACTAAGAGGCTACAATTTCCAGTGAAAAGAAGATGAAGCAAAATCGTTGAATCTGAAAAGGACAAGCTTACCGCTAGCAAGTACGAAAAACAAAACGAACAAAAAAATACTACGGTCCGCAAGGGAAAATCCTACCACTACTGTGCCTATTTAGGGGCGCGCTAGCACATTTTGCGTAGGGGTGCCAAAATTGGGCGCAAACACTGCCAATTCAGCAGAGCAATTTTGTTGAAGTACTGCGAAAAACGTACACAAAGTACCGACCGACATTTTATTCTGGGGAAAATAGGAGGTGGGATCGGGTAGTGGTGGAACAATGAAAAAGTGGACCGAGACAGAAATGGAGAGCAACACGAGAATGAATACGCCATACATCAGCGAAAGGGAAAGGGAAAGGGAAAGGCAGTTGTAAGTACGGCAGGAAAACTCAAACAATGGTTTGGACATGTTTGCTAAGCAAAGATCTCGGCAATATGAATTGCTACTATTCACCAATTGCAAAATTGACGTGGTAGCGTCTGTGGGTTCTCCCTGTTATGCATGTAGGATGGAAGCCCTTACTTTTTTTTTTTTTTTTTTTTTTTTTTTTTTTCATTTACTTACTCTCTCTAAGTCTTTCCTGTCGGATGCTGCACAGATCAGCAGCATGGAATCTTATTTATAGTAATGAGTTGTTCACGGGCAGAATAGGAGTTTTACATTGATAGTAGTAATGGGATAGAGATCGAATGCGATAGAGATTGGAATGGGCAAACGGAATATCGCACTGGCTCATGAGAAGAAGCCAGGAAGGCTGCATAGCCCCACCTCCCACCAGACAAGCTATTGTAGTTCTTCTGTTCTTACTCTGATTGTATTATAACTAAAATATCCAAATATCCACAGGTGGGTATTGTTCGTTTCATGGCCTTGCATATGCGTAGCTTGTACACGTGAATCGGCGTGTGGTTTGGGTGGGCTCTAGAACCTCAGTCGTGCATACTAGTTTGTGATCTGGGGATTTTGCCCACTTGTGTACAGTATTTCTAAGATAGGGGCAAACTTTAATCAAAAAGTCCAGGTTCTATTGTGGTACGTCATTACCATCAACAAGATCGTGGTCAGTCAAGGTTGAGTTTCACTTAAGGTTTCAAATTTGAAGATGAAAATCCCAAAAACGAAAATTGTCCTACTTGTGCAATCTCTCTCTATACGATTATGGCGCTAAAGGGATAATAAAGAAAAGAAAAAAGATTAGGAAAGAAACCTACTGAATAATTCTCTTAATTGGTTTATCGTACAGTCACTGTGGATCAACACATTTTTCAACTTCAACAACTCCTTCATTTACTCTCCATATAGGTAACAGTAATAGAACTGCTTTAGGGTGCAAACTTTCCAGGTTAATTTTTTTCTTTTGTTTGTAACGATCAGTGGGCTGTATGCACACCGATATGGAATACAAAAGTGTCTCTCTGATGTGAAGCATCTCTCCATCCACCTCTAAGCTCTAGTTATCCCAAGGTTGTTGTATTAGTGTTCATGAATTCTCCCCTTTCGTTATACCTCTCGTTTGTTTTAACTTCAATTAGAAACGAAGATGCTTCTAACTTCCGTAACTGTATAACCATCAACCCTGGAGTCAATGAGGGCTCATTGAGGTCTTCCTTCCCTGAACCTTCAGAGTTCGACTTGTACCCATTGCCTGAGAAGTTCAGACCGATAATCAAAAACTACCTTAAGCTCATGAAATCAATCTATATTTTGAACGATATAGATTCTTCCTTAAATGACTTGAATGAAATGGTCAACAATTTAAATAGAGCTGCTGACACTCAAACCAATTGGATAAACCCAGCATTGATTAACGCCTCGACAGAATTGATAAATGTGTACCAGGTAAAACAAAAGTCCAACCCTGATGTAGAACAGCAACAAGAAGATGATGGTACTACTGCTTCGACTTCATCGTCGTCATCATCATTGGAGAAATTGGCTACCACTATTAATAATTCCTTCAAACTTTCCTTGAACGACAAGAATCTTGATTTGAAGTTAAGTAAAAGAACAGACATCTACTTTTTCCTTGGGAATCTTATAAAGATATATTTCAAGCTAGGGAAACTCGAATTAGCAAAGTCTGTAGAGAAGGCTCTAAAGGGAACTAGATTTGATCTACCTCCCTTGGACAACCCAATCCCGTCCAAGAAGAAGCACTCAGTGACGTATTTATACTACAGTGCGATGCTTTCTCTAGATGACTCCAACTTTGTAGATACGGAATCTAAACTTGTGACCGCAATGAATTTATTGTCGTACTACAGGGAGCCTAAATTCATAACCAAACATATGGAGATGATCTTAATGATTCTTATCCCTTTGAGATTATACAACAATAGCCTTCTTCCTACACAACTGACATGGGAAAAGTTCCCCAACTTGAAGTTCGTTTATAAAGATTGCCTTTTCAAGGCTATTATCAAGGGAGATTTGAAATCCTTTGAAAAATGCCAATCAAGGTTCCAGGTGTTGTTCTTAAAGCGTCACTTATACTTGTTGGTAGAGAATTTAAAGAACTTGTGCTATTTGCAACTAGTGAAGAAAGTGGCTAGAATATTTTCACAATTGAGCGATGACAAAGCATCTACTCACATTGTGCCGTTATCAGCATTTCAAGTTGGATTAGAAGTGTCAACAAACTGGAAGAGAGATCAAAATAATAGTTACGTAGCGATAGATCCATCCCAACCGTATTCTCAGCATTTAGATGAGATTGAGTGTATACTAGCAAATTTAATATTTGAAGGGAAGATCAAAGGATATATTTCACATGGCAACAAGTGCATTGTTTTATCGAAGACCAATGCATTTCCAACTCAGGTGGTGAGATTATAGAAGAAGTCTCAGGAAGCAAACAGCAGTAGCATAACTTGCTTGTCATATAGTATATGCATATACTCAACATGCTGAATCTGTGGTACCTGGAATATAAAGATGCTGAAAGATCTTGGTGTCTAGCACCTGAACCAGCCAAATGGGCTCTGCATAGAAACTACAACAAGTCGAACCAGTTTGGTACCTAGCACATAACCAGGCTGAACCAATTTGGCACCTAGTAAATAAATAAAGAAGACTCAGAACAACTGCGAGCATCAAAAGTAACTAGAAATAAATTCTAATGCATAAATCTTACACTAAATATCATACAAAAAACCGGTTACGACTAACATATCACTAATCCTAAGTACCACATTCCCACAGAGAACTCTAATGTCTTCATAACCTCCTATCCCATCACCTTCCACCTCTGACTCTCACCAGCTTCACCCAACCACCCATTCACGTGTATAGTAACCGACCTGCACACAAACTGAAAAATTATCCTCCTCCCAAAAAATTTTAGAAGAATTTTGCCATTAATCATCGACAGCAAGGGAGTCACTCATAAACACATTTATCAGATCAGAATATAGTTCGTATATCCATATTCTACTCTATTTACAATTCTAAACATAACGACGTCAATAATAATACCGAAAATACAATATGTCCTTTGTAAATATTTGCCGTGATAACACCGATCCGTTTTACCGTTATAAGATGCCCTTGATCCAATCCAAGGTGGAAGGTAGAGGTAACGGGATCAAAACTGCCATTGTCAACTTGGACGAAGTTGCCAGAGCCTTAGCCAGACCTCCTTCATACGTTGTGAAGTATTTTGGGTACGAATTAGGTGCTCAGACTACGGACAAAGGTGGTAGATATATCGTCAATGGTGCCCACGAGGCCTCCGAATTGCAAGATTGCTTAGATGGATTCATCAGCAAGTTTGTCTTATGTCCAAGTTGTAAGAACCCGGAAACTGAAATCCAAATCAAGGAAAAGGGAGTTTTGCAAAGAGATTGTAAAGCTTGTGGTCACATTTCATATTTGGACCCAAGACACAAGTTGATCTCTTTCATCTTGAAGACTGTAGGAACAGGAAAGAAGGGTAAGAAGGCCGCCACTGCTAGTGCTATTGCCAGCGGACAGTCCATCACTGAAATTGCTGCCAACCACACTACCAGCAGCTCGAATGCTGCCACCGATGCTGCCATCACTGAGAATGATGACGATGATGTTTTGACCAAGAAGATCAAGGCTGAAGCCGCTGCCTTGAAGCAACAAGAAATCGAAGTTGCTGACGATGACTGGGCCGTTGACATGTCCAAGGAAGCCATTGAAGCCAGAGCAAGAGAACTCGAGGGTCTTTCCTTGGGTGCAGAAAACCCAGAACACGCAAGATTCAACGAATTCGGTGAATGGCTCTTACAAGAAGGTGGTGAAGACAAGGAAGAGTTACCTTCTGACATTGAAATCTATAAGAAGATTGTTGAATTAGAAATCTCCGGACAACCAGAAACAGTACAAGTGTTAGCACAAGTGTTATTCAATGAAGACTTGATTGAACAGATTGACGAACATCTTGGATTATTGGCCAAGTTGATCAACCACGATCCTGAAAACGAAAAGGCATTCCTTGGTGGTTTGGAGCGTTACTTGGGTTTAGAAAACCAAGACCTTATTCCAGCTTTACCAAAGATCTTGATGTCCGTCTACGACAAGGATTTGATTAGTGAGGAAGTTATAATCGAATGGGGATCCAAGGTTTCCAAGAAGTACGTTCCAAAGGACGTCTCTAAGAAGGTTCGTAAGGCTGCCAAGTCATTTGTGAAATGGTTACAAGAAGCTGACGAAGAAAGTGAAGATGAAGATTAAGAAGGAAGTGATAAATGTGTCGTACTAGGAAGTGTTTAGTTCTTTTTTCTTTTTTTTTTCTAATTGTATAAAGTATAATAAATATTGCACGGAGAAGGGTGTAGGAGGGGAGCTCAGAGCATGTAGAGGGTGTGAGACAGAGCGTGAGATAGAGTGTAGAACACAGTTGGTTCCAGTGAGCCACATGCTCCACTGCAGATGCCAACCTAAAGCAGTTGAGCGATGAGAGGTGGTCGGCTACTGCTAGAGAGGTGGATAGAGGCACTACAGAGCTAAGGCTCTTTTCTTGCTTAACGAATTCTTCTTATTACTATACAATACAAACCGCTTTCACCGCCCTCGCTACTTCTTGGGCGGTATAGGACCTCTGTTATTCATAAAGTTGGCCATGTTGGCCATGTTTGGCATGTTGGGCATGTTGGGCATGTTAGGCATATTAGCCATGTTGGGCATCGGAGGCATTCCCGGTGGCATCCCTGGCATGTTCATACCGGGCATCATACCCATTGGTGGCATCCCTGGGGGCATCCCTGGCATCCCTGGCATCATGCCCAAGGGTGGAGGAGGCATGTTCTTGCCCCCTGGTCCTCCTGGTGGCTTCCCACCTGGTCCATTGCTATTGAGAAGCTGTGCCATAAGCTTCTGGGGATTGAATTCTCCACGTAACTTGTCCTGCTTGCACGTGTAGGCGGTCCAGGTGAACTCGTCAAACCCGTAGTTGAAGTAGTCCGATATGTCAGCACCTGGGATCCTCCATGGCTTGTTTGCAAGTGTCTCAAGGTCTACTTGAGTAAGTGGTTTTCCATCGAGCTCTGCCACCTTGTTTATATCTATAGTCGATTCCTGGTCTTTGGCAATGATAGTAGTTGTGTTTGAGTCTGCACCAGCTGCCTGGGCGCCATCCTCTTCGGACGTTATGGTGGTGGTGGCTGCCTTCTTAGGAGCACTTTCTCCAATAACAAACTCTATGTCTGAGTCCGAGTCTGATTCATCTTCTCCGGATCCAGATTCGTCCTCATCGTCGTCCCCTTCCTTATCGTTAGCCTCAGCACTGGATGCCTTCGTCTCGCCCTTGCCATCTTCAGTCTCATCATAGTCAATGTCATCGTCTTCTGCGCTTGTTTCCGTCTTTCTCTTTTTCTTTATGGGTTGTTCAGCTTCGTCTTCGGACCCGTAGAGGTACGCATCTTCGTCTTCGATAGGTTCGCCTGCCATTTCGTAGTGTTCTGGTACAATTGGTAATCAGCCAGACTGGAGCTGAAAAATGTTGCCTAAAAGCGAAAAAACGAAAAGCTGGATATGTTTAGTTATATGCAGGATTCGATGTTGGTGGGAATAGGATGGAGTAGAGCGAGGGTGGAGATGAAGAGATACACCGGACGAGTTGTCAGCTGTGTTTACACTGTTGTTGTGTAAGGTGTTAAAGATTCAAAGGGAAGGGAGATTGGTTAGCTTAGTCTACACAAAAAATATATACTTTAGCCGTTCTTTTTATTTATTACTTTGCCCTAAAGATGTGTGACATTAAGCATGGTCCAATCGAGGTAGAGCCGCTCGCTCTTTCCCAGTAATTGAATTTATATACGTATATATATATATATATATATGTATCTAGACATAGATATGGTACTGAAAATTATGTGAGTGAGCAGCCAATTATTCATTTCGTTATTCCATATGCTTTGGTTTTGCTTATTTTTGCATAGTTTGATTTCTTTCCCTATATTTGCTCTCCGTTAGCGTATACCTTTCCTTTAACGAACTCTAAGCCTTCTCCGTTATAACTGGTCAAGCCAGAAACTTCCACCAAGTCATCGCCTTGGATGATCCCACCATTTTCCTTGACCCATTTGGTTCCCAACTTCATGTAGTCTCGTCTTGCGGTCGTTGGGGTGTCGTTTTTGGCACCGTCAGCATTCTTCAATGGAGAAAACTCCTCAGTTCTTTCCACTTCCAAGCACCCAAATGTTTCTAAATCGACAGATGGGAAAACATCAAAGATAAACTGTTCCAACTTAATCCCATTTGGCTCACTTGGTTTGACAAATTGTCCCTTTTCGTTAATTGAGGCAATCTTCTTCTTTGCAATATGGAATGGCAAGTATTGTTGCGATGAGCTCCACTTAGGTACCATTTGGGTCAACAAGTCCACAGAATAGTAATGGTTGACTATGTTAGCTGCTCTGAGGAATAATTTACTTGAATCTTCAGGCTCAGTCTTGTTAGCCAATTCTTCCAGAATCTCCGAATATTCAATTACGCAGGGTTTCTGGTTTGCCTTATCCATCACAATTAACCCAACACTTTCCTTTGCGTCTCTTTTCCTAACCACTTTAGTGGCTATTTGGAACTTCTTATTTATAGCAAATCCAAGGAAGGTTGGGTCTGCCACCTTAACTAAGGCATTATCGACACAGTACATGTGAACGTGTTTAATGTTCTTGTTTTGGAAATCTTCGAGAATTTTGTTATCCAAGAGGGCCTTGTATAGTCCCCCGTTACCATCAGGAGCGTTGGTTACAGAATTTTCAGATTCCAATAAAATCTTGTCACCAGCCAAGTTGAAGCAAGGTAAAGTTCCTTGGTTGAAGAAAGTGACCTGGTCCGAGTTAAGACCAAACCACTTATTTGAAACGAAGAATGACTCCGTGGCATGTCTGGTTGGTTTAGAGGTCATGATGTACCAGTTTATAGTGGGTAATTCCAGCTTGTTATACCTTTGTTTGGCAAGTTCTTGAATTTTGATAATTTTTTCAGCTTGGACTTGAAATAATGATTTGGAAGATGGGAGTTGCACGTTATAGCAGCCCTTTGGGTCTGAGGATCCCAATCTGGAGCCTTGACCACCAGCCATGAGCAACACTGCAACCTCGTTGTTTGCGATGGCCTCCAAGCCAAGGTCTCTCCAGCTTTCTTTAGTTTCCAGATCGATCTCCAAAGTGGATGCGCATGAAGAAGCAGGCAACTGGGTCAATTCTCTCGACGAAGAGACACTTGAGGCCAATTTGATTGCTCCAGACACATTTTCGATCAACTGGTCCACGTCCTCGATCTGGGACTTGATCTGGCTTGAGATTGCGGTCTGGGCTGCGTGCGATAAGTACTCAGCACCTTGAACAAACGGTAACGAGTCTGAGGTCATACTGACTTTACTGTGGGTGTAAATATGAAGCAGTAAAAGAAGATGAACGAGAAAAAAGCCTTCAGCGTAAGCGAACGGAAAATGCTTCTATATGACAATAGCGAACGAAGAAGACAAAATTTAAAAATAGATATTGCTTCCAGCGGGGGAGTGGCTTGTAATTTATATGAAGAATTAAGTTAGGGTAGGTCGCTGGAGAAGGGAAAAAAAAAAAAAAAGAAAACGAGCCGCTAAAAGACGCAAATTTCTTAGCAGATCAAAAAAAATACTCACTAGAGCACCGCCAAAAAATAAGCGAAAAGTAATGATCAGCGAGCAGAAGGTAATTATAGATTGGGATATACTGTGGTTTAAATACGCTTACGTAGAGCCTGGGATACGAAAGAGATATAGAGAGATGCAGATTAGCATCCGTACTTATGTACAGTTCTCGTTTCAAATGGTAAAATGGTACACACTTAGCTTTGAAGTGGTACTTATCTGTGAATTCATTCCTGGTGGGTCACTTTCTGAAATCAAAATTGGTGGCTGGGCTGAAATAATTTAGCAGGTTGAAAATTGCCGTTTTGGTAAAATTGAAGGTACCCATGCTGATCCAAAGGTAAACAGTGCGCGTACCTTTTGGCGCTGGAATGTTTTGCATTTGATGAAAAAAATTTAAAAATACACAGCAAGACAGCTAAAAGTAGGCACTGGATGCAGGATCATCGGGATAGAAAATATTTGAATTGATGGGTGATGTGCTTACGTAATCTGGAGAGTTGTATGCAACCATTTTGTAGCATGGCGGGCTGGGTGCAATGTTTAGTTGCACTTGGTTTCATTTCTCTTCAGCTAGTGCTTCAGAGAGATATGGTTATGATCCTCTTTAGTTCCTCTTAACACAGTGGGCTCATATACAGTCTGGAGGTTGAATCAGTGGGCTCAGTTGTGCATTCGTTGCTTTTTGAGTCAGACTTATGTGAACAGTCTTGCTTGGAGCTCGCTAAACTCGTTTGCATTCTCTGCTTGTTCTTTACTCAGCTACACTGCGTGTAGTTTTCATTATGGTTTCTCCTTTACAGCACATGCTGGTGAGAATGAATGGTAATGCAACGAGAAACGGCATAACGTAGTTGTTCCCCGCTATTTGCCAAATCACTTGCACTTTATGTTCATCTACCCTATTCTCTGCCACAATATTCTACTGTTGACTTCTAATTATAAATTATTTATTGTACTTTATTATATTTTCCTATATTATATACTTGCATCTCATCCTACTAAAGAAGGAATGCGCTCATAGCTCCAAACAAAGCTGCAAAAGATAAGTAGTGGCTAGCCATTAATCCACCAGCTTGAGAACTCTTAGTGGAGCTCGAAGAGCCTGTAGAACTAGAGCCAGAAGAGGAGGATCCACTAGTACCAGTTGCTTTCAGAGTACCTGACAGTGAGGCGGAAGTACTTGAAGATGGAGAAGAACATTCGTAGTTGTGTCCTTCAATCTTACCATCCTTGTGCAACTTGTCAAACTCGTCACATGAGAAATCGTCGTTGGTTGAAGAAACATTGAAGTCCCCGTTGACCTCTTCTAACGCTGGCAAGGTAAAGTTACCGAAGCCACCAGCAATGTTCACAGCACCCTTGATCTTCTCCAAGTCATGGAATGAGTCAGTTATGTTTTCCAAGTTCGTGTTGTTGAAATACAATAATTCACCTCCAATAGTTGCCAATACTGGGAAATCGATTTCAGTAACATCATCGTTTGCAAAGAATTGTAAGTCACCTCCAACCTCTTCTAAGGCTCCAAATTCTACGCTGTCAAACGAGTTATAGGCAACGTTGAAAGTACCGTTGACGGCAGTTAAGTTAGTAACGGTTAACAGGCCCACGTCTTGAATTGTGAGGTTGGATGCCCATTGCAATTGCGAGAGATCAATAGAACAATTGTCACTGTTGAAACTTAAAATCAAACCCGTAGTTACTGTTTCTAAGTTGGTCAATTCTATAGTGGTGATATTTTTGTTGTTATTAACGTTCAAAGTACCGATGGTGGACAATGATGATACAAAGCCATCCAAAGTAGATAATGCAGTATCAGACAATTCAATCAGAGTGGCATTGTCAATACCAGCATTCAAGTTTAAGGTAGATAATGAAGGCAACGAAATTAAGGTTAATTCATTGACTTCAGTTAACTTGGTGAAATCAACTGAAAACAACTGAGTTAAGGCATCAAGTGATAATGTACCGGTAATGGATTCTAAACCTGGTAAGTTTACAGCGGTAATCGATGATGAGTTGAAAATATTCAAGGTTCCGGCAATTTCTTGGACGGAACTCAAGTCAAGTGAACTAATCTCATCACCACTGATTTCAACGCTTCCGGAAATGGTTGCACAGGATGCAACTTGACTGAGCGAGGCAGAAGCTGTGATAGTAGTGGAGGAAAATGAACAAGATGCGGAGGAGGCAGCGTTAGCTACACCTGCAACTAAGGCCAAGGCAATGGTAAATCCTGACTTCATTTTAGTAACGAAAGAAATTAAAGCGAGTGTAGAAGGGGACTAAGTTAGTGGAATATCAGAAGAACCAACAGAAAGAAGAAAGGAAAGGAGAAAAGAAGAAGAAGAAGGAAAAGAAAATTCTTCGTTGAAAAAAACTCGAAGCTGAAGGCACTAGGGCCTAATTTATAGAATGCCCCCTACTACTGAAGTTGGAACACTGGTATTCGGCTACTGAAATATGGTTGTGATAACTATCTGTTTACCAAAACAATGCAGTGAATAAAAAAAAAAAAAATGTTAATGCTTCTCATGCAAGGTACGTTTAATCTTAAAATTTCGAGATGAAATTAATCCGTAGACGGTAAAATTGTGGTAGACTAAAGGAGAAAGGGGCCTGGACTTAATGCTAGTAGTTGCACGATGGAGCCAGACTCGCGGTTTGCACTGAGTCTAGGCTCGAAGCAACAACTGCTGGCATGTTCTCGGAGCGCTGAGCTATAGCATTTAGCTCTCTCCCTATTGCTCCCATATATTTCAAGAAACGCTCTTCCCGTCTCCTAGCCCTATGCCAGGAGTAATGCTCATAATCCACAATACCTTACACCACAGCAGGCTACAATACATGGTGTGCTATTTGCTAACTGAAGAAGCAAAATTGTGAGCGTGTCTTACTTCAGTGTGCGTCTGTTCCGCATACAATTCAAGTAAGGGCTCACACTGAGCGTTCCACGCTAGGCCAAATCGCCAGAGGCTATGCTTCATCATGTACGAAAAGAGTGAAAAAATGTGAAAAATAAAAATAAAAAGAAACAGCAAATTGGTCGAGGAGTGGTTTGAATACCTTTTGTTGGCCGAGCTACCCTTGCCGAACATTCCTGTTAGAGAATTAGTGGGAATAGCTGAACATGAAACACCAAGAGCGTTGATCTTTTTCGTGTTTACATTGCAGATTGTTGGCACGTGACCTCAATCCAGAAGATTTCGAACCGGGACCCTCCCCCCACAGAATGGGATGCTTATTCGGCTGCTGGGGTGAATACACACCATTGTGCTGCGTTGAGAGGAAAAGAGCAGCCTTGAAAAGCAAACAAACGAGTTTGGACTATATCACATTGTATTGTTTTGTATTTGTAGTGGTTCCACTTCAGCCAGAACCAAAGTTTGAACAAAAAAAAAACACTCAAGAAAAAAGAAAATAATCTGGAAAGCGTATTTTCATTTTCTCTTCCTACGACTACTCTGCAACACTACTTATTCCCCAATATTACAGCATATTCTGTCCATATTTGCCTAATTTCTTCTTATTTCCTTCCTAATATTTCTGTAGTACGCCCACCTGCAACCCACATCCACTTATTTTTCGCCAAACTCACGCTTCCTTGCTCTTCACATCGCCTTCCATGTACTGCTTTCTCCTACATATTGAAAAATTGATCTCGTTCTTCCTTGCGCTCCAAGATCATGAATAATACCTAAATGGGACGGGTACTGCATATACTCCCTCTCCATCGTTGAAATCAAAACAAACACTAACTTGTCTACTCTCATTAACCAAAACACCAAAACAAAAGGAAAGTAGCAGAGAAAAAGAGAGAGGAAAAACGAGACAGAGAAAAAAGAAAACAAAAATAAGCTGACTGATAACTTTAAATTCGAAACGACCAGTCGAAATCAGTGCAGAGCCAAAGTGATACAACCTAATAGCTGTGTGTTAATAAAATTTTTATTTTTTTTTTTTTTTTGCTAGTATTTATCTTTCCATAACTCCTACTACTGTGGTCATTGATTCTTCTTATACAACAAGATCCATAACAAGTACTCCGCAATGCAGTACGAGGAGGAAAATATGAAGCATAAAATTATGTCTCCTTCAATAAGTGGATATGCCCTTTTGGATGGTATGGATTATGAGGACGACGATGAGGAGGAGGTGCTGGGAAGGCAAGAGGATTACAGTAACAACCTTCCACAATACCACGACTATGACACGCTGATGAACGATGATTCCTACAACAACTCCACGCTGTTGAACAATTCCCCGACCAAACCGCTTAATTTCCCACTTCATAAGGCTAAGGAATTCAACTCCAGCTCGGATACGTATACTAGTGACGCGGAAGCTGGTGAGAACGATGGAGCAGAGAATTCTAAGGCAAACAACAAGAATGGCGGGGAGAAACAATCCGACCTATTTGACAGAAACTTCAGCTTTGACAACTCCGAAGATGCCATCAAGACTGTAATAACTCTGCCAGGGAAATTTCAAGCTGTAACCAGTGCAGCAGCAGTAGTCACACCGGGAATAATAACGGCTCCCCAAGCCAAAGACTCAAAAACAGATGAAGAATCCGCCGGATTTGATGACGCTTTCTTCCAAACTCCATTGACCTCAACCACGGACTTGAGTCCTGAGAAACTCATAAATCGTACCAATAATAATTCATCGCCAAGTAAGTCAATTATGAGGAAGAAAGATACGCCGCATGGCTCTCCTACAAAGAAGAGCGTGGTGTTCACTGCGCTGAATCCAGAAATCCACCTATACAAAAAGGAGGAAACAGCCACCGAGGACGAATACCTGTTGCAACTGCAGCTGCCTTTGGACAATTCGTGGAACCCTGTACCCAAAAGCGATGAATTGAGTTCGGAGGATGACGAAGAGCCACCTGCGCCTCCACCGCATACGGAAAATAACCTCAAGGCAATAAACGAGAAGGAAGGAGAGGAAGACCCTTCAGATGATGTAGACACTGCTCAATTGAAGGAATTGAGGAAAAACGGGATCAGTAAAAGCTCGAGTAATCTCTCGCTAAATGAAAAGTTGGACATCTTCTTATCTAAAAAGCATTACAATAATCAAAGGATCACTTCAAATGATGTTAAGGAAAACGACCTATTGGACAAACATCTCAATCAATTAGAATCATCCAAATCCAAACAACTAGATTCTAGTATACGTAATTTATCTTTCAAACTACAAACTGAAGAGCTTGAAGGAATTGAAAACCCTTTGAATTCGTTTGCAAGATCTGGTGATGTTGACATAATGTCTGGTAATACTTCAAGATCATCTATGCAGTCATTAAGAGATGAGGATAGAGTTTTGGAATCCAGTAATGTGAACACAGTGGCCAAAAGCATTGAGTTAAATGATGGAATAAAGGGTTTTTCTGACCATATGGTTGAATCATTATTACCTGAGTCAGAAGAGAATAAAGAAAACAATGTTATGAACATAACGAAAGATACGGTATTTGCTCTGCCCATGATAGGATCTTTAGGAAGGCAATTTGTGGATTCTTCTAATGATGAATTTCACGACTCCTTTGACCAATCGTACAACAATACTGAACAAAGTATTATGGATTTATTGAAGAGGCAGAGTTCGATCAAAGGGCAATCTCAGATCAAAGAAACAGCAATCAAAGCGGAGCCGGTTGATAATATTGTTATAAAAACTGAAGATCCAGTAGTAAAAATACCAGTCAAGCAAGAGATAGAAGATGATCATGCTCATATAATAAAAGATGAACCAATAGATAATTCTTATCACGTTCCAATTAAAGCAGAAGAAGAGGCGGTGCAACTCGAACGTAACGAAGAAGCAGAAAATATTGACTATCCAATTATTGAAAAGAAAAACCGCGATCTGGGTACATCTAAAATGTCTATCCTGCCTGATTTAAGACGAGATTTAGAGCATATTCATAATCACCCTACTGAGATTGCCTCTGTTTCAGGCTTCGGAATACCCCATGATAGTAGTAGCAATCAAGTAGTCAAAACTCCAGTACTTGCTAAAAGTAGAGCATTCCAAGAAGATCTGTTTGATTCTAATCACGAGCAGTCACATCAATTCTCTTTGAGAGACCACATTGACAGCGATTGGAAATTTGAAGATAGCAACGATGGAGATAGAGAAGACAATGATGAGCTCACTAACAATGAAATAACTAGGGAGACTATTTTACATAATGAAAAAAATGAAGGTAACTCGGAAAGCGAGGACCTGAATATCGATCTGGATATTAATGGAAGCAACTTGAAGGAAGAAAATATTAGTTATAATCTGGAACTAGAAGACAAGAAAGCTAGTAATGTTGAACTCGATCATCATGAAGAAAAGAACGAGGAAGTATATCTGCCATCAAAAAGAGAAAGACTACTTGAAATTGATTTATCCCCTGACATATCGAGGCAGATCTCACGCGAGGAATCTGTGAAATCATTAGCTCCTCCAAAGATAGATTCTCCTATCAAATCTCCTGTGAGATCATTTACATTTGAAAGAAATGTTTCCCAGAATAACTCTCCGATAAAACCAGGAAGAGTTCAAGTCCTCGAGCAACCAAAGGAAGTTGAATTAGAAAAGAAATTCGAGCCAAGGGAATTATTTAAAGATTTTGACAAGGAAGAAAACGTAATTGATAATTCTTCTAAAAATACTTCTTCAGTTGCCAAGAATGTTTCATCTGAGAAGATTCTTGAGAATAGTACTGAGAAGGAGATTGAAAAAGAAGCTGACAATAAATCTAATGGTGAAGTAGAACCATCTGAAACTCTGAAAAGCAATGTCTCACACGAAGATGACGAGGCACTTGCTAATTCATCAAATATTGCTCCTAACGAAGACATCACTTTGCCCCCAGTTGATTTAGTTTCTCATCAATTCTCCATTGCTGAAATAACTAAAAATATGGAAAATAATTTAAGTTTGTCCTTCGAAGAATCACTTTCTGCTGAACATGATCAAGATCCTGCTAACCCCACTAATTTCATATCTATTTGGCACTCCCAAGATAGACATATAAAGGCAAAGCAACCTAATGATAATTATACGGCATATGAAGTGCTGCAACAGAAGGTAAAGCTTCCTTCTTCTCTCCAACCAAAAACTTTTAAAGAGGTAAATGTGATAACTAGACGTATAGTCAGTCCTGGATTTGAAGATTTGAATGTTTCAGGTTTTCTTCCAGAGCTTTCACAAGATTCTGGATTTGAAAAACAGTTTAAGGGTATAGTAAAGTCGAGGGATAATACAAATGAGAGCAATTCCTTTAATGACTCAACTCAAGAAATTGAGGCTAATGGCAGATTCCTTCCTAAAAACTTGACTAGAAACAATCAAAATTTTTCGACTGACGATTCTGAAGATTCTATTAAGGAACAAAAGTCTAGGTTGAGACCTCCTAAAGCCAATTTTAAACCAGTAGTGGTGAAAAGATCTCAATTCAAGGTTCCTTCTTTTGAAATCAAAAGGGGTAACTCTGTTTTGTCTCCAAGAAACCAATATGACGATATTTATAATGATACTATAAAACCTAGGAAATACCTTCCACCTCAAACGACAGAGGACAGAGCTGCCGAAGTTCAGCAAGTATTGGATGAGCCGCCAACTATCAAAAGTAGTGGAATGAAAACTTTGCCAAGTATGGATAGAAATGATGTTCAAAAGATTTTAAATACGAAACGCATTATCAGCCAGGAAGAATATTCGAAACTTAAATTACTTGGAAATACGAAAAAGGAATCTTTAATCTTACAGGATGATAAGTATGATCATTTACAACAACAAGCTTCAATACATGATGCACATGAAGAAGACGATGATGATGACTTGAGTGGCAACACTACTTATATTAGCAAAAGTTTGCCAACTGGTGCTACTCCAACTCATCGTGCCGTTGCATCTACTCCAACTAATGGTGGTCGTGCTGTTGAGGTAGATAATTCTATTCTTCCACACTTGGCTGATGAATTGTTGAGGGTTCCAAGTGCTCTACTTTCCAAAGATCAATTTTTTAAGGAGTCTGAGTTTAGTAGTCCAGTAAGAGTTAATGATGCTATTGATACTAGTTCTGAAGCATCTTCAAGAGTCAGTTCTGTAATTCACACAAAGAAACCACAAACACTTGCTCCAAAACACGTAATTTCACAGCACTTTCCTGAACCAGATCCAGAACTTTGTCACGACATTTTTAAAACTCCTCCTAAGGAGTTGGATAGTACAATAAATAGTACTGAGGATGAACAAGCTCAACAGAGGCTTTTGGCATACGATGCTTCGAAAGAAAAGAGGAAGACTAGAAGTTACCATCATTCCAGTACTCCTATAAAGAACAAGCCTGGCAGTAAGGGAAATTCTCCAATAAAAATTGGATCCCCGATTCTTATTGTAAAAGATAAAATCAATGGTGGAGTCACTGCGGTTCCTTCTCCAAAAAAATCACAATTCAGAGATGAAGTTTCATTTACTGGAAATGATTTGAGCTTTGATAAACTCAGAGAATCCCCTCAAAAGAGAATCAATGATCTTCAAACAGTAAATGTACCTTCTCAGTCAAGCAATAATACAAATAGCACCAGTTCATCTTCTGCTATCTTGATGTCGGCTGGGAAAGAAAAAAGAAAGATTTCTGGTCAACTGCTGACTACCGTGACTAGCTCTTCTCGTCGAAAGCCACTTTCGGAGAGAGGCAGATTGTTCCTTCGAGTTGTTGGATTGAAAAACCTCGACTTACCGGATTTGAAAAATAGAGATGCCGAATTCACCATGACTTTGGACAATGGAGTACATTGTATCAAAACACCAAGTTACAATTTAAATGATCGTAACATATCAATAGGTAAGGAATTCGAATTGACTGTGGGCCAAACTGGATTAGAGTTCATTTTAACTATGAAAGCAACTTATGAAAAGCCTAAGGGTGGATTGAAGGAAGTTCATGAACGGAAAGTAGTAAAATCCAAGAATAGACTTAGTAGACTTCTAGGGTCTAAGGAAATAGTTCACACTACGAAATTTGTACCAATAGATGTCGTTGATACCTGGGAGAACAAATTTGCTCAAGATGGTTCATTTGCGAGATGTTACGTGGACTTGGATCAGTACGAAGGTAAGATTACTGGTAAAGTTTGTAATTTTGATGTCACCTGCTTTAATGAATGGGCAACTGTCAGTGATTCGAAAGGTGAGCAAATTAAATGCAAGCCCTACAGAATTGGACAACTAGAAGTTAAGATGCTTTTCATTCCAAAATCTGTTCATGAAGAAGTTCTACCATCTTCCATCAAGTCTGCATATGAAAGTGTTAATTCCTTGAAACATGAACTTTCGTTATCCTTTGAGGGGTACTTACACCAAGAAGGAGGTGACTGTGAAGTATGGAAGAGAAGGTTCTTCAAACTAGAAGGTACCTCAATGATTGCACACAGTGAATACACTCACAAAACAAGAGCAAAAATCAATTTGGCCAAGGTTGTTGAAGTAATCTATATTGATAAGGAAAATTCTAAAACTCAAAGCAATTATAGAAATTTCAGTGAGGTTCTATTATTGGAACACGCATTCAAGATTAAATTTGGTAATGGTGAAACGATTGATTTCGGGGCACCTAATAACGTGGAGAAAATGCAATGGATCTCTATCTTAGAGAAGATCATTCAGAGAAATAAGTTTAGAGTTCAACCTTGGGTTAAGATTATGTTAGAATGTAATAATATTAAACAGAGTGTATAAATATTTTAATAATACGATAATAAATATAATAATTATAATAGAACTACTTTTTGAAATTTGTATCATACGTCTAATTATGATGAGAAAGGTCACCTCTATATAAATAACTCTTAAAATACAGTCTCTAAGTCAACGAAGGAAGATGGTATCTTATCATTTAGCTTTTCCCTCAATCATCTTCATCTAACCAACCTCTGGCTCTCTCGATAGCTCTCTCCCATCTCTTCCAGTTCTTTCTTCTATCAACATCAGGCAATTCTGCTTTAAATTCATTGTTCTGTTCGTGAGCACTCATTTTCTCTATAACATCGTCAAAATTCTTCCAAACTCTTTCTGATTCATCTTTAAAAGATAAACCTGCAGCAATTGCAGCACCTAATGCAGTACATTCTGCAATAGCTGCCCTTTTGACAGTCACACATGGTCCCAAAATATCTGCTTGAATTTGTAAAACTTCATCAGCTTTTGACATACCACCATCAACAGCCAAACTTGACAAAGGCTTCTTCTCATTTTGGTTTGTTAATGCTTCTTCGAGGAAATCTTCGCTTCCACCCGCATCGCTAGCCATTGCTCTTAAGATGGCTCTAACTTGAAAGCAAACACCCTCAAGGGCTGCTCTTGCTATGTGTGATGATGAAGTGTACTGCGTCATTCCGAAGACAGTACCTCTGGCACCACCATCCCAATAAGGAGCATATAACCCAGAAAATGCAGGGATAAACACTACACCACCGGAATTATCCACTTGTGAGGCCAATGGTCCAACATCTTTTGCATCAGCAATTAATTTTAAATTATCTCTAAGCCATTGGATAATGGAACCTGCAACAGCAATGGACCCCTCCAAAGCATAGTGCGGTTTACCATCCTCGCCTTCCAAAGTCGGGAACCAAAAACCGAAGGTGGTCAAAGTACCATGGTCACTGATCAATTTTCTGGTACCTGTGTTGTACAAAAGGAAACAACCAGTACCGTAGGTACATTTTGCAGAACCAGGTTTGACAGCCAATTGACCCACTAAAGACGCTGACTGGTCTCCTAAGCACCCACAGATCGGAATTCCTGAAATGGTTTTTAAAATATCATATGCTTCTTGAGTGATCTTGTTGTGAAATCCCAAGTTAGACAAGTTGGGGGCAGAAAAGGAACCATAAAATTCGGAAGATGAGACAATCTTAGGAAGACAGATTCTTTGTGGGTCAATGCCCCAGAAGTCCAATAAATCGTCATCGTAGTCTCTTGTTTCTAAGTCCATGAAATACGTTCTAGACGCGTTGGTCACATCTGAAACGAACGCCTTCTCTCTAGTCAAATTGTAAATTAACCATGTATCCACAGTACCGAACATCAAGTTACCGGAACCTTTTTCATATTCTTCCTTGATGGTATCATCGTTATCCAATAACCAACGTAATTTGGCACCCAGAAAGTAGGTGGAAAGCGGTAATCCAGTTTTGGCTCTCAATTCCTCCTTCTTTTCGTCATCGATCATTCTTTCCAAGTGCGAGACAATCTCCTTGGTTCTGGTATCAGTCCATGTGATACCGTTACTCAACGGCTTCCCAGTCTTTCTAGACCATACAATGGTAGTTTCTCTCATGTTTGCAATCCCAAGACATTTCACTCTGTACTTAATTTTCAAATCTGGGTTGGCATTGATTTTTCTCAAGGTGATCAAACAGGCAACAAGACACTGTACCGCATTGGCCAAGACGTGAACAGGCATACACTCCGACCAACCCGGTTGTGGAAATCTTAAAGTAGGACCTACAGAAGCAGCGTTATTTTCAATTTCAACATCATCTGTGATGGAAATGGCGATACCTTCGGCAGTGAAAATCGGCTCGTTGTGCCTAAGCAATGAGGATCTTCTTCTGAATTGATCTGTGTTTGAGGACTCAGCTGGAGCCTCGGAGGCGGTTGTTGAGTATTCGATTTGATGTTTGGCGACTTCTGAACCGTCTTCTGAGAAGAGGATGGCTCTTGCAGAAGTGGTTCCTATATCAATAGTGGCCACAATAGGGTGATGAGGAGCGTTAGACTGACGGCGTGGCATTCTCTGAATAGGTGTGGGGTATACAAACTAAGGTAATAAAAGATACTTTGAAAGATATTTGCAGTTCTTTCTACTATATATCAACCGTTTATATTTGGCTTGGGTTGCGCTACGTTATCCAGATCGGGCTGTATCAAAGTACTTAATTCTAGCAAGTAGAGCAATGAAAAAAACGTTATTGATTGTCGCTGTGCCTGATTTCACAATTTCCTTTCACTTGCGCACCATGATGCTCGAGCCAAAGCAAGCGACACATTTTTGGGCCATTTGCGCCTAATTTTTTTTATTTTCCTTGCTTTGTTCGCCCGAGGATTTGAAAGGCTTGCAGCTTACACAGGAGAATAGGGCAGGAAGGAAGAAGCAAAAAAAAAAAAAAAAAACTAACTAACCAATACTGAGAAAATGGACAGGAGGAAGGATGGAATAGAGGAAAGAAGTGGGAGCAGTCTAATAAAGCCAGTGAGTCTGGTGAAATGTAATGAAGTTATGTGAATCAAGTGGAACACCAAACAGAAAGTATAGGTGAATTTGGACTGCCTTAATTACGCTGCTTTCTATTTGTTAAGCTCATTACCGAGCCGGGTCAATGAGTCGGAGTTTTCTGTCTGCAGCCATGGGAGCCTAATCCACCTGCAGCAAGAGATGGGGCGAACAGTGGAAAAAAAAATAAAAAATGGTCTGAAAGCAGAGGTGAGCGATGCTGAGTAAAGGAGGGTTTTTTACTCGGTAGCAACCTTAATGGGGAGAGGGAGTCAAGGATAGAACACAAAGTAGCTCGAGTTTAGGATTTCTCATGAACTTTGCTTGAAGTTGGGCAGAAAATGTATTATTCTATTGGCCCAGTCTGGTTAAGGTGTAGCTCTACTCGATTCAGATTTAGGTTCCCACATTTTACTGAGGCAGATTCGAGATGAAATCTACTTACATACAAGTGGGGGAACTGCAGATAATTTGCGGGGCGGATGTGCAGCACAAATGTTCGTATAGTTCTTCTTCTAGAAGAACAAGATATAGATGAAGTTCGTTCGTTCACTCAGGTACGATGCCACTCAAGTATACTCCGGTTATCCGATTTATCTTTTTGTAGTCAATATTCATGGCAAATATGTTTCTGGTGTTGTGAGTGATATGCGTTGCGTACTACTTTAGCAAGCACAGATTTTTTATGTACCCAGTACATTGTCATACAGCACGCTGTACTGCATCAACCTGCATGGAGATTTTTAGCTGACTGGCATATTTTTTTCAAGATAAGACTAACATATTCAGAGTCCAATATACCATGTCTTTGGCTTTTACTCCTAGCGCTTTTCTCTCTCGACTTCTTCGCATGTGGTCCAGAGGTGGGTGGTTATGTGCTTGCCTTCCCCTGTTTTTTTTTTTTTTTTTTTGGTTTGTTTCGGATTTTTTTTCTTTGCAAAGACATTGTTCACAGTAAATTCCACTCTTTACATTGTTTTTTCGTGACACGCCTCAATAGTAAAACTATAATTCAGTTTCATCTGCTATTTCCATACTCTTGCCCTGAGTGAATGCAATTGCGAGAATTCAAGAATATAAGCTTGAGTTCCCCTCTAACCGTGAATATAAACAAACTGGCTTATATTTATTAGGGACTAAATTTGCTTTACTTATTTCTTCCGTTTTAATATTCAAGTATTATCTATATCATATCAAAATGGCTAAAGTTGAATTTGAAAGCAGCAACTCGTTTGCAAATAACAATAAGAAAACCATCCGTAACACTGCTATCTGCCTTGTTGTTTTAGTGGTTGTTTACTTCGCAGGTTCGTTCGGTTACAAAGCACAAGGGGCTTTTGATAACGGAGAATCCCACCATGAATTTGAAGCTTCAGGCGGAGAACTTCAACAGGGATTGTAATTATAGGAAAGGACCTTAGGAATGGGTACATAAAACAGTACAAATATACGCATAATGATTGAAAGAACTCAATGTAGTTGAAACGTAGAAAAAATTAATGTAGTAGAGAATTCCTGTTTAAATGTTTAATAAAAACGAAGAGAACTTGCAAAAGACGTATCTACGCATATACACTTTTATTACAAGTCCAATTTTTTCTTTTTATATTGCACACTCTCTGAAGCAGTTAAGGATAAGGTGAAATACCTCTCTACTGTGAAGTTCCATTAAGACGTGGCCCCAGATGCTTCCACTGCTAATTGAAATAAGCCCAGATGGAGGTTGCAACTTCGTTGCATAAGTTTCTGCATTGGTTGCGGCTTATTCTCTGTGCAACCAAAAAAAAGCAGCATTGTACTTACAAGAATCGAGCGTCATAATAATGCAATACTAATTTAATCTATAAATCTATAACTTCTCTTCTTCACTGTCGTAATCATCTATGTCCACGATATTAGAGCTATTTCCAAGTAATTCTTCATCTCCTTCGAATATAATAGAATCGCCGCCTTCGTATATCAAACTCTTCTCAAATTTAATTTCGTTCAAATCCAAGTTATCAAACATTAACGATGTTTCTGCAACGTCTCTTCTGGTTGAAGGTGTCACCACCTTACTGGATCTACTAGGCGATAAGTTATTTATGAGTTCATTGAACTTCTTTGTGGTTGGGTTCGCATTTATAAATTGCTTTATCTTTGTATTATTTTCATCAATGTTCTTCCCTACGTCATTGACAATATTTTTCAAAGCCTCTCTTGGTATCACTTTAGACTGGTTCAATTGATTTTGAAATTTATTGAAGTATTCTTGAATTGGCTGTGCCTGGGAAGGCTGTATCTCAATGTTGAAGATGTTGGACGCCTTGTTCTTTAAGAAATTCAACTTAGAAGGGGACTCTACAATTCTACTAGTAGCACTGGTTGCAATACCGGTGCCGTTGCTGGTGCTAGTGCTACTATTGTTGCTACTGTCGCCATTGTTGTTACTTTTGTTGCTGTCATTAACATCCCCATGGCTACTTTTAATCTGCTCCGACATCTCCATCAACTCAAACTTGACCAATTCTATTTGCTTTTCCAATTCTACCAACTGCCTCTGCTTTTTTGCAAATTTTTCTAGGATGTTAACCTCTTCAACCTCATGGCTCGATCTATCATCTATTGGAATATATACAGGTAAGCCCGACTTCTTAGTAGTCAACGTCTTTTTGGCTCTATTGGGAGACAAGGCAAACTTGACTAGCCCTGTAGTTTCGCTTAAAATCCTATCTCCTCCATGTGCCCACTGCGGGCTACCATTTAAATTTCCACCAGATCCATCTACAGTCGGAAGAATACTGTACGATTTTCTACTGGTAAGCTGTCTCTTGGGAGTTGCGACCGACATTTTCAGAGAACAAAGTAATGTAAAACAATAACTACAACTACGCTGAATAGTTTAATTTTTTTTTTTTCTAGTGCTACAATGACTCCTACTTTTCGATACAAAAATCTTAACTCATCGATCCCGTATCGTTTCCTCGAACTAATGTGTACCAAACATTCAATTGCAAACCAGTTTACCAATCAAATATGTTCTTGTCGCAATTATATCCCAATTAGGCAGTTTTATAAACAATCATATCACATGCCCACATGTGCCAGTTTGTATGAGGAACAGTCGTGCACCCTAAATTTGTTGATTTTTGTTTTTCTTCTTCGGCATTCTCTCACGCTTTTTTTTTGATTTCCTAACCCAAAACATCACCAAATTGTTTCTATCCAGTGTTTCGTCCGCAGAGAGTAAGATTGCTTTGTAAGTTTGGAAGATTTTTTTTTTTTTAATATATATAATTTTTTTTCTTTACGATTTTATAGTTTCCTTTTGAATTAGGTTAAATTATTTTTATATTAACTGATTCTATTCCGGTGTCAAGCGTATTCAATCAATCATGGTCTTCCTTAGTTCAATCAAGTCGTTTTTCGTGACTTTCTTACTTGCTTACACAGTATATTTATTTTCTTATAAATGTGACAAGTTGAATGAAACACCATTGGAACATGGCATTCAAACAGTCTTCCACCCACTCTCTCACGCTCACAATCAAGTTTGTGACTCGTTAAACAAGGGTGTTAACTTTGTCACTCCATACTTGGATTCATTCCACGCTAAAGTTGCTTCCCATCAATTGTATAAAGATTACAAGGTTCAAGATAAAGTAGACTGCGCTGGAGGTTACTACTCCAAATATGCTCAACCATATGTTCTTCAAGTTTTCCAATTGGTGGAAACTTATGAAGAAATTTTGATTGCTCACCTTTTGGTCGTCTGGGCCAAGATTCAAGCATTCTATGCTTCTGAGGTTGCCCCAAAGCTCAAGCTTGCTTAGTCTTCGTTATTTAAGTATGTATATTGATCAAATCTATGTAAATGAGAAAATGTCTGAGAGAAATTTGTGATTTCGCGGGGTATCCGGCGTTGAAATCTTGATGTAGAAACGATTCTTGGTTAGATACTGAGAGCTCATGTGTAATTCTTTCGAAATAGGGATGGAAATATCCATCTCTCGACTTTGAACTACGCGTTTGACGGAAATACAAGCTCCACCTTTACTCGGTTTTAGCCCTATTAAGACTCCCAATGCTCTGCGCTGCAGTGGATCGATATCGAGAAGCGAACACTTGTACCTGCATATTATGTAGTGTGTTGCCTCCATGCTTTGGTCCCGTTAGGTGTAAATACAGGGCTTACTGTTATTATTAAATACTATTGAATATTACTATCTATATAATCACGCTTATTCCAATTCTTCTTCTTCTTCGTCATCGAGCTCTTGATCGATGTTTCCATCTTCAGTCTCCTTCGCCTCATCCACTTCAACCACTTCTTCAGCTATTTCGGGTTCTTGTGGATCACTTTCAACTTCTTCACTTTCATCATCTTCACTTTCATCAGCGCTTTCTTCAGCTTCAGATTCTTTGGCTTCAAGTTCTTCCTGCTTTGTTCTAGCTTCTTCTCTTTCAAGTTCCTCTTTCTCTTCCTTCAATCTCTTCTCGAACAATGCCTCAAGATCAAACTCAGTTGCAGTTCTGAGTTGGTAAGCAACGTTGGCTTGCGCTCTCACTATAGCCAAATAGTCTACATTTTCTTTAATTAACCAGTTGGCTGTGAAGTGAATATTCCTCAAATATTCCTCCCATTCAACGAATCCATTAGGGACCTTGATTGCGCTAGTATCTTCGTTCTCGAAGAGATAATTTGATTTGTATTGGTAAAAGTAGTTGAAAATTTCATCCCTGGTGTTGAAAATTGTTTCCTTTATTTTATGGAACTCTTTCCAAGCCGCCCAATCATCTATATTTTCATCGCTATATTCTTGCTCAATAATCGATAATAATGTGTGCAATCTGGTAGAAAATTCCAGGATGGTTAAATCTGCAAATGATTCTAAAACGTCAATAACTTCTTGAGCTTTGGCATAATATTCCTTCAACAACTTACTGTTGTATTCAGTTAAAATAGACTTTATTTCTTTGACTTCGTCTAAGACATATTCCTTTGATTTTGAAATTTCATCTCTCATGTCTTGTCTCACTATGTAGATATTACCGTCATCTCCCTCATCTTCTTGAGATCTAATGATTTTTTCTTGCTCCTTCATCTTCACAGTGTCCTTGTCAATATAGCTGATATATTTACTCATAACTTTATAACTTTCATAATTTACTTGTTGAATTTTTGTAAACCTGTCACTGATTTCTTTTTTGATTTCATTTTCAATTAAATTATGGGTGAATTCTTGAACATCAGTATCCAAACTTTTCCAAGCTGATTCACAAGTTTTATTGACTTTACTCTTCCAATACTTCAATTCCTCATCAATTTGCTGTTGAGCAGGAGATCCAACCTCAGAATCTGCCACTTTTGATTCGAGTCCGCTTTCATCAGTTGAAGTAGCTTCACCGCCGACAACAGTAATCGTTGAAGTTACTCTGACAGTGATTGGTTCATCAGAGTCATCAGAGTCCTCAGTCTCATCTTCTGTATCATCAACCTCAACTTCGACTACTTGTTCTTCAGCGTAATCTGCCTTAGCTTCTTCCAATTTTTCTTCTACTTCTTCAACCTTTTCAAGAGCATCCTCAAACTTCTCGCCAACTTCTTCGTTTAGCACTTCTTTTACTACTTCAATAACATCTTCACCAGCTAATTTTGAATCGCTTTCAATTGCACTGGCAGGTTGAAATTTCAATAAGGTATACAACTCATCTCTCAAAAAATGATGCTTGGTCTGCAACTTTCTTTCGTAAATATCTGAACCCTTGGCATACAAAATTTCAAACAAGTTCTCTAAGTATGCTACGAAAACATCCACTTTACTCAAGTGAATATATTGATGCAACTTCACGTATACAGGATTGAGGTAAGCGACCTTCACCTTTTCATAATTAGGAGTGAAATACTTCGCTTTTAAAACCTGGCTTTGATAACTCAAGTTTAGGTACAAAATCTTATATTTTATACCAATGTAGTTAGAAATTATCAAATAATACTTTTCCACCAATTTCTTTTCCTTCAATTCTATCAATTTAGCATTAAGCTCTAATTTCTGAATATAGAACTGCGTCAAATTCCAGATTTTGGAAGATTGCAGGGAGACAATTGAACCGAAATTTGCAGCAAATGTCTTAGTCTTCAGCACTATTTGGAATTTTGAATCAACATCTTCGATTTTCACAATCCAGTCGCTGGTAGTCGCCTTTACTTGATTCAATTTGGACGAAATTTCAAACTTTGAATCAAATTCAGCCCACTTAGGTTCAACCTTCTCAGCCAAAAATGGTGAAATGTGTTCCGAATACGTGGGGTACACGTAATGGTGCAATCCATAACAAGATGCATGATTCACGGCTGCTGGGATAGATTGGATCTCTGGGTTTGTCCAAGGAAATGTTTCACCTTCCTTAATTGGACAAACTGATCCACTCAAATAATACCCATACCATATAATGGACGTTGGGACACTTACGAGAAGAAACAAAGTCCAGAGAAATCTGAAACAACTCCCCTTCTTCCCTCTCTTTGCAGCTATGGCGTCAGCACTTCCAGTGACCACCTTGCCATGTTTCGAATTTGTCACACTTGCAGGACTTGGTGGAATCCGTGTATCCTTCTTCGCTTGCAGCATTTTCAACAGCAATTAATTGAGCCCGAGACTGTTACACTCTGATACACTTAGTTTTGCCTCCTCTTCTCTGGCTTGGTTAATTTCGATCTGTGTTTTTTTTCCTTTCGTTGTTGTAATTGTGTACTGCATATAACACTGTTTCCCTTCACTTTAATCGATAAAAACAATTGCTTTGAATATGAACAAAAAATAGAAGAAGCCAAGTAAAAAAGAAGAGTACTAGTTCTGGTAGCCAAAGGGTACTAGTTCTGGTAGCCAGTGTGTCCTGAAATAAGGTAGAATTGGGTTTTTTTTATCAGCTAATCTGTGTTTAGTTAGATGCTAGTCGGGACTTCGAAGGTTCAATGTAATGCACACAGTATGCGGTATCATGCAAGGACTCGTTCTTTATGTACAGTACGATTTACCACTAAGGGAGGCATAGCTGCTTTGGGCGCTTTTGGAGGAGTGCCGCATATGAATGTCAACCGTGGGTGCAAAATAATAAAAAAAAGAACAAGCCCTACTAATGCAAGCATAGTGAAATGAAACGTAACTGTCAGAGACTAAGTAGCAGTAGGGTGCTTCGTAGAGATGTTGCGCGAGAATTTAAATCAAGTTTCTACATTTGGTGTTGTCATTATAACAGTATTCATTTAAAAACATAGTAAAAGTTTGGTATCTCATAAAAGGATTATTATTGGTGTAAGTCAAAATATGGAAAAAATTTAGTTTGACTTACATTGAGCAGGCCAACAAAAGTTAGCCAATTGAGTGGAACCAGATTCCCAGTATCTTAAAGATTCCATGTCAAATTGACCTTCGGTTTGAGCAGTGTATTGGTGGTCTTGGAAGTTGACAGCCCTTTCACCAGTGTGGAAATCTTGAGATAAGGTATATTGGTATTCGGTATCGAAGTGTTCACTCCAGACACTGTGTAATACGGAACCTGGTCTCTTGTTCCAGTCGAATTTGATAGCAAAATCTTCTGGCATACAGTGGTAACCACTCTTTTCAGTTGCTCTGACTAAGATAGTTGAAGACCATCTAGCAAAGTTATCAACCTTACTCTTTGAGGATCCATCCCAGATTAATTCTTCACCATCGTATACACCAGTACCTTCAATGGACAAGGTCTTTAATTCTTCGTGGAAGTTGTCGAAAAGCTTAGCAGATTCAACAGATTCAAAGTTAATGGTAACCTTGAAGATGTCATCCTTTACCCAAGCAGCGTCTGAAACAGAGAAAGAAGCTTGTGGAACAACAGTCTTGAATTGGCTCATTAATCCGTGACCGACAGTTGCAAAGATATCTCTCTTGCCAACGTGTACGGAAGCACCGGCGTCAGCCTTGATTCCGAGAAGACCCAAGATCTTTGCACTGACTTCAGCTGCTGCTTCAGCAGACAAGTGTCTCTTGGATAACTCTTCAGCTTCAGCTTCATTGTGACCATATAATTCCATCAATTCTCTCTTCAAGTTGTCAGAACCAACTTCAGCACCAAGGTCCTTTTCGACAAGTTCAAAGATCTTTGAAACAACAGCAGCTCCAACTTCTGGAGTGAGTTCTCTCTTGTGTCCCTTACAAGTCTTACAACTGCTTGCAGCTTGACCACAGGATGAAGTTGGGAATCCCCAACCAACGAAGAGAGAAGCGCAAGCTCCAGCTGAAATACCGAAGATTCCAAGGATGTTGGCAGCAACACCAGCTGCTGCGGAAGCAGAAATGTTTCTCTTTTCAACATCAGATTCTTCAGAACCTTCATCTGCCTTAGAAAGACTGACAATAGTAGCAGCAATCTTAGCAGCAACATCATCATCAACGATGATGTCCTTCTTGGAAATTTCTTCAGCACCAACGTCCTTTTCAACAATGCTCAACATGCTTGCAATGGCTTCTGAAGCAACCTCAGAGTCAATGATTTCCCTTGTAGATACTTCAGCTGATCTCTTGCCAGCTCTGACATTGACTGGAGCTTCATCACGAGATACCAATCCTAAGAAGCTGGCAAGAACATCACCAGCAACTTCAGTGTCAACTTCTCTCTTTCCAACCTTGACACCAGCGGCGGCACCTACCTTAATTCCAAGAAGACCTAAAATATGAGCAGCAAATTGAGCAGCAACTTCAGCAGAAATACCACCCCTCTTGATTAATTCATCAGCAGAAGCTTCGTCGTTACCAAGAGCCATCAAGTGCTTCTTGACAATTTCGCTGTCAAGCATGGCTAAGGAGTCACGTTGAGCAAGAGCGAAAACAGTTGCAACAGCATCTGCAGCAGCATCGACTTCTCTCTTGTAGACATTACCAGACTTACCCTTTCCACCTTTTCCACCCTTTCCTCCTGAGGAACCACCTGAGGAACCACCTGAGGAGGCTCCACAGTTTGAGGATGGTAATCCCCAACCAATGAAAATATTGGCACAGGCTCCAGCAGAAACACCGAAGATACCAAGGATGTTGGCAGCAACACCAGCTGCTGCAGATATGTCAATGTTTCTCTTTTCAACATCGTCGGCTTGCTTCTTTGAAAATTCAAGAAGTTGAGCGGCAACATTACCTACAACTTCATTATCGATATCTCTCTTTCCGATTTTAACACCTGCGCCTGCACCAGCTTTAATACCAATGAGGCCCAAGATGTTAGCAAGGAATGAAGCAGTAGCACTGGCAGAAATCTTTCTTCTCTCAACATCAACTTCGTCATCAGCTCTAGCAGTGAGTTCCATGATATTAGAAATGACCTCGGAGATATCTTCAGTACCAATTACTTCTCTCTTTCCAACCTTGACACCGGCAGCAGCTCCGACCTTAACTCCAAGGAGGCCTAAAATATGGGCAGCAAATTGAGCAGCAACTTCAGCGGAAATACCACCTCTCTTGGTTAATTCGTTGGCTGACTCTTCAGTTTCTCCGTATAATTCAACCAAGTATTTCTTAACTAATTCTGGGTCTTCAACTCCTCTGGTAGACAATCCAGCTAATACAGCAGCAGAATCCAAGATTGCATCTCTCTTGCCACCTTTCTTAGAGCAAGACTTACAACTAGAAGAACCGGAAGATGCTCCACAGCTTGAGGATGGAAATCCCCAACCAACGAAAAGACTAGCACAAGCTCCAGCAGAAACACCAAAAATTCCAAGGATATTTGCGGCAAAACCAGCTGCTGCATTAACTGAAATGTTTCTCTTTCTCATTGCTGTATCTTTTTTAGATAAAGCAAGGAAACTTGCAGAGACACGAGCAGCAGCATCAGCATCTACCTCTCTCTTTCCGATCTTAACACCACCAGCTGCACCTGCTTTAACTCCAAAGATTCCAAGGAACTTTGCAACTAATTCAGCAGCAAAACTGGCAGAGATGTTTCTCTTACCAATGCTTGTTTCAGCACCAGTATCTTTTTCAACAAGACTTAAAATACTTGCAACAACTTCAGAAACTGATTCTGCATCAACGGCTTCTTCTCTCTTTTGAATTAAGTCGTAAAGATCTTGAGCGATATCGTCTGCGCTTGCTTCTTCTCTCTTGAGAATGTCTACTTCAGCACCGGCACCGGCCTTGACTCCGAGAAGACCCAAGATCTTTGCACTGACTTCAGCGGCAACATCAGCGTCAAGATGTCTTTTGTTGTGGCACAACTTGGAAATGTTTCCTACTTGAAGTAAATCTGAGGTTTCACAGAACTTGGCAGAAGGTTCATTAGAAGCCAAGTCAGCGTAACTTTCAAACAAGTTCTTGTGATTGGCAGCAACTCCGGTTAAGAACGAGGAAGCAGCTAAAGCAACTGCAATTGTAGTGGATTTTTCAAAAATCATTGTACGGAAGAATTAACTAATATGTAAGAATGAAATTGGATATCAGGACCTAATTAACTAGAATAGTAAATCAAGTAAGAATATAAAACGAGTGACGGTATTAAAGGTTATTGTTTGCCAAAGGGTAATACGGCTGGAAGTTTATTAGTTTTTTCTTTACGTAAAAAGGAAATATCTTAAAACAAATATTCGAGTTGGGAGGAATTTAGTTGCTTTAATAACTTTTTTTTTAGTTGTTATTCCGCCTTATGATGAACATGTTTCAGAATAATGTAACCATAACCTTCTTACCGAGATTTAGAATAACTCCTTACAATAGACAAGACTTTTTTTAATTCCATAAACAATAAATTCATAAATAAACGGAGTTTGGTTCTATTGGGAATGGTAGAAACTTGTGCCTGCAGCCGCCTCGTTTTGACATAGATTCTTTTTGTTCATCACATGAAACTGCATAATCTGCATTAGAACAATGAATTTCCATTTTCGAGGATTCTCCTCCATAAAGAAAAAAAGAAAGACCCGTATAATTCGAGCCCCACAAAGAGTTATCCACCTATGGGAGCTATTAGAGTTTCGCCTCATGTGTTGGAAATGTTGCAAATTTCCAATTAGGAAATTCCAAAAAATAGTTCTCAAATGCGCAAAGCGGATCTTAGTGCGCGAGATAAAAAATTTTGCAATAATTTGCAATATGTCATCAGTAAGGTACATATCAGCCACTTGTTTCTTTGAAAATACAGTGTAAAAACTGTATAAAAATTGATTCATATTAAAATATACATGTTGAAGTATCAGTAACCATGGTTGGGAGTTGTGCCTTCGGAATTCCTTCTTTAAAACAACGTAAGAAAAAATCTAAAAATACACGAATTCCCTGCATATCCTGGGTCCGCGTTATGCAGAAATTTCCCCAAGGAACACGTAAATATGTAGCTTTTTCAGGTACAAAAACAATTTACGTGTGTGCATTAGCATGTGGCACAGGGGAATCAACTGTTTAACTGTTTACATGAAAAAATAAAACTAAATAACTGCAAACTAGCTTTCTAAAACCATCAAGAGGTGAATAATTAGAGTACTAAACAAAAAAGGTGAAGTGTTAGCTGCAAGTTCAAGTCTCTGCTGTCACGTATTGATATTAAGTTAACATATCATTAACATTCAATGAGCGAAAATTTTTAACTCTAACTTGAGGAAAGATTGCTTTTGTTGACCCATATTCAGGTTTGCAATTTTGGGTTTTCAAAAGCTCCGCTCTTTTCTTTTTTTCTCAGATATCATTCATTGAGAGTCATCATATTATTTAGGTTAAGGTTCCGAGAAGGACTAGTTAGGGAATTTCGCGTTTACGATGTTGTGCGATTCTATTTCAAAACATAGAACTGGGACTTATAATTACACTCTATCTTTCATGAGCCTCGGATTTACTTACTTGAGGTCACAAGAGCTCAAGGTAGGGTAATAATCATGGTCCGTGAGCTGGTAGTTCTTATGTAAGGGTAATAGTCACTAATTCGGAGGGATATTACTCTTGAGATCTTTCAATTATTATTGAGTACGTTTTTTATGCGACTTTCGAATAATTCGTAAATTCAGGGCAAGTATGCATGAGGGGCCTGAATGGAAGAATTCAAGAAAAAACTTAATCTGAAACCAAACACTAGGTTATACTTTCCATAGGTTAGTGGTGGATTATGTTTATATTTTAAGCTATATACTACAGCCAAGCGACTACACTCAGCACTGGCTAGTGTGAATCATACTGCTTACGAAAGTTGTTGCAAGGTTTATGGCTTATGTGGAGTCGTATAATTTGGCGCATGGGGGCTTGTGCTTTAAGTGAGATGCACACATCAGGCTTTGCTTGATCGCAGAGGATGAATTTTTGGATATATTTTGAACCTTAATGGAATGCGGTATTCATTGTATTTTCACTTTCCTAAAAGAGAAGGAATAGTTTTTCGTTTATTATTAGAATTTATTAATGAACAACATATTTAAATTAAGCTATTTAAAATCTCATAAGAATTGCGATTGGTTCGCTAAAATGTACGTTCCCTCCTAGTCGTTCCTTTGTCAATAATGTTACAATAAGCTCGGTTTCTCGTATGCATTATGTAACAGAATGTTGAAAAAAAACGAGATAATAAGCGAAAGCACACAGAATAGACTACATACCGGACGTTTCGCACAGTGAGAGGCCGAAATAAGAGAGCTAAATCAAGTCCAGAAACTTCCAGTGCCTAAGTACGTGGAAAATTAGCTTTCAGGAATGGAACTCAAAGTTGATTCCAGGTGTATCTTGAAAAATCCATTTTGGCAAAGCTTAAAGAATATAGTTAGAAAATAATTCATCGAAAGCTAACCTTTTTGGAATTCGAGGAACCATGCGTTTTTACCTCTCAATAAAATACCTAGTTGAGAACTTCAAGCTCAGCTCTTGACCAAAGAAAGAGTTCTGCTCGGTTTGCCCATTGGGTTCTAAGTTTGTCCTGCAGGTAGTGTTCGGCTGCGAGGAAATGGCAAATATTGGCACATGACATAAGCTCAGAGACAAGCCATATGGCCAAGAGAATACAACAGTTATACAAATATAAGGGGGTGTAGAGATGTAAGGACATAACAGGGTCACAACGAAGAAAAAATTAGCAACTTAAATAACGCGTTTTCCCGTCCGTTAGCCTAAAATTGCTTCCTTTGTTTCTCTTTGATAAACATCTGAATGTTACGGCTTATTTGCAGGCCAGGCCGGCAGAGTAAATTTTCGGTACATTAGCTCCCCAGCCAATTTTAGGTCACCTGAGCAAAAATATGATAAGCACCTAAAACCGACAGGAAAAAAAAGGAGGTTCGATAAGAGTGAGGGACAGCCTCCTCTCCTGGGAGATAACCTTCATTCCAGCGATAAACGTTGACCACACCCGAAAATCAGAAGAGGAGAGGAAGAATGTAATTGTGGGAGACGACGAACGGGTAAGAGATGGCGTTGTTGGATTTTTTTGCAACCCCCAATAATTTCGCTAGTAGTTTATGTAGTAGTTGCATAAACGAGAAGAACCCATTCCAAAATTACTCCAGATCAGTAAGATCCATTCACCCGTCCGCACTACTTCCCATTTCACTTAAGTAGCAGTTCTTCATTGTACGCTTCTTTAGTAATTGGTGCAACTGGTTTGGTCGAAATCAAGAGCTAACCCCAAAAAAAGAGAAAAATAAAATAAAAAAAAAAAATAAAATCGAAAAACTTCGCCAAGGGACGTGTACCAATCAAGATAACATTAATTAAGTTTACTCTGGACTAGCGGACGGCGATGCGATTGGTCGATAAGCACTGAAATAGAGTGGAGGTCAATAAATTGAACCTGTCAACAACCCTTCCTAATGAGATCGATCAATATTGATAAATTATTATAGAGCTAAATCCCAACTGCCCACTTATCGACAAAAGTGCAGTTTGTCGCTTAACCCCCTTGTTCCCATTTTGTATTCCCTAGCATCATATTTTCTTTTTTTTTATTCTGCTATGCTTCCTGATGGAAAGCAAGGCATTGCACTAGTTAATTTGTCTTATTGGCTAATTAGTGTGTCCCGTTTTCTATTTTTGACTCATCGCCCTCTAATTTATTACTAGTATTGCCCTTATTCGGGTTCTGGTTCCGAGCACTTTACCCTTTTAACCGGGAATTCGGGAAAATAGTTGCGCTTTCCAACACACGACCCACCCCGCATGTCGGGATTGTCCTCCTCAGCTGAAGATTTTGATCTTTTATCGTTTGCGACTTAGATGTTCGCCTGCCCTCTCTTATTGGATGATTCCTGATACAGGGGGGCCAGAATTCCTAAAATGGCAAAGCAGAAGTACAAGAATCCAAAAAAAAAAAAAAAGAAAAAAAAAAGAAATAGCGACCAACACGACGCACGATTATAAAAAGAACCAGTTCGCCTTATCTTGAAAGTAGCTGCACCCCCTTTCTTGCTTTCCAGTTCTTCTTTTCTTTAGATTGACTGCTGCTTTCATTCTTAGTGATTGATTCACATTCCCATATTATTTACACATAAAAACTATTAAAAAAATGGTTGCCATTACTGAACAAACTGCTATTTTGCAAAAATACCTTGATTTACCGCAAAACGGTAAGGTCATGGCTGAGTACGTTTGGATTGATTCCGAAGGTAACACCAGATCCAAGTGTAAGACCCTTAGTAAGCGTCCTACCTCGATCGACGAATTGCCAGAGTGGAACTTTGACGGTTCTTCCACTGGTCAAGCTCCAGGTCACGATTCTGATGTCTACATCAGACCAGTTGCCTTCTACCCTGATCCTTTCAGAAAGGGTGACAACATTATTGTTTTAACTGAATGTTGGAACAATGACGGTACCCCAAACAAGTTCAACCACAGACACGAATGCGCCAAGTTAATGAAGGCCCACGAAGGTGAAGATATTTGGTTCGGTTTAGAACAAGAATACACCCTTTTCGACCAATTTGACCAACCATATGCTTGGCCAAAGGGTGGTTTCCCAGCCCCACAAGGTCCATACTACTGTGGTGTCGGTACCGGTAAGGTTTACGCTAGAGATGTCATTGAAGCCCACTACAGAGCTTGTTTGTACTCTGGTGTCGAAATCTCCGGTATTAACGCTGAAGTTATGCCATCCCAATGGGAATTCCAAGTTGGTCCATGTGTTGGTATCAACATGGGTGACGAACTCTGGATTGCCAGATACTTGTTACAAAGAGTCGCTGAAGAATTTGGTGTCAAGATATCGTTACATCCTAAGCCATTAAAGGGTGACTGGAATGGTGCTGGTTGTCACACTAACGTTTCTACCAAGGCTATGAGAGTTCCAGGTGGTATGAAGGATATCGAGGCCGCCGTAGAAAAGTTGGCCAAGAGACACAAGGAACACATGTTACTCTATGGTGCTGACAACGAACAAAGATTAACCGGTAGACACGAAACCGCTTCAATTGAAGCCTTTTCTTCTGGTGTTGCTAACAGAGGTGCTTCTGTCAGAATCCCAAGATCCGTCGCAAAGGAAGGATACGGATACTTCGAAGACAGAAGACCAGCTTCCAACATCGACCCATACTTGGTCACCGGTATCATGGTTGAAACCATCTGTGGTGCTATCCCAGATGCTGACATGTTCAAGGAATATGCTAGAGAATCTTCTGCTTAATTGTGTATTATTTAAAACAAAAAATGAATAACTTTTCATCTCTCTTCTCATCAAACATTTAATTTTATAAACGATAACTTTTTTTGGTAATTTTAAACAGCAACTTGTAGACTGTACGAGGAAGAGACTTAGGTGATCTGCGTAAATGATCTGTGATAATAGGGGTTTTACAGGGAAGGCTTGGGGCAATATAGAGAAGCTAGAGAGGAAATGTGGGGAACGGTGCCCGATTGTTCTGACCTACCTTAAAGCCGATATAGTACCTTGACGTTTTCTTTAAGAATCTTGCGTCGCTCGCTTTGATGTCAAACGGTCATTTCTAGACAGAGAAGGGAAGAATGAAAAAAATAGGGGATTTGAAAGGAGTTGTCTTGAGCTCATGGAAACACCTGAGTTAAGTTTGAGAGTGTTTATTTACTTATACTGAGCCTGCCTCAGCTCTGGAAATAGGGGGTTAGGGAGGAACAAGAATGGTTCCGATAAGAATTGAACTTAACGTAGGTGTACGGGTGTTATTGATTTTTGTATACTACTGTACAATTTCACTACTAAATAATATACTTTACCGTGATGAATGAGGAAGTGAGTTTGGGATAGCTGGGAAGTGAGAACTAAGAAATAATTGAGGAGCTTGCTGATGTCATTAGCCAGCTTCAACTATTGCCCAACAATCAAGCGACATACTTGTACCCATTGGTTGCCCGATAGTTGGGGTGAGTTGTAGGAACGGATTTATTTTCCACTGGCATGAAAAATAAAACCCGTACACCTTATCTACAATAGAATGTATTAGAGTAAGAAATGCCTCAACCAAAGTACCAAAATACCAAAGAAAGAAATGCCTCAACGAAAGTATCAAAGTAAGAATTGCTCCAACAATGGAGGCTGCGTGTAGAACATAGCCGAGAGAAGGTAAAGGTGCTGCTACAAACCATAAACCTTCCTTATTCTATAGAGCTCTCCAATCCGAAAACGACAAGGTAATGGGAAATGCAGCATTTTACCGTACTGCATGGAACCCAATGATAGCCCAGAACACCTGCATAAAGAAAGTCAGGTTAAGTGTTTGTGCTGAAGTATGAATCTTTTCCATTTAGGATGTGCTCTAACAAACAAGAAAAAAAACAAGCAAGGTATGTATAAAAGCGGTTAAAGCATACCTTCAGCGTTCAAAAATAGACACTAGCTAGCTACAGTGTGAGGCTATTAATCTTGTGGCAATGGATTATGGATGCTGACAGAAAATTTCAATTTCAGAAATTAGCTGGTCTCGTATAGTGGTTAGTACAGTTCGTTGTGGCCGAACAAACCCAGGTTCGATTCCTGGGACCAGCAGTTTCCCTTTTTTTTGTTATTCTGTTAGCTAAGGTGAATTGCCAGTATCTTCACAAGATTGTTATCTCTCGACAGGTATAGATCTAATTCTGTCCCATATCTCCTACTTCTTACCTACTCCGTAGAATGTTAAAAAGCTACTTATCATCTAAACCACACCTTCTTCCAGCTACTAGACATTGGATGCATTTTGTCAGTCAAAATCGAGTCGTGCCCCGCACAAAGATACCAATTTCGATTAATACGCATGAAAGATTAAGCCAAAGAAAAAGAAAATTAAGGAAACCCGGCCTAGGATAAAGGGCTACATAGGATAGCTTTGAATTGTACATGAATAAAATGACCGTGGACAGTGTAAGTATAAGAAAATTTTTTATTAAGATTTTGAATATCGAGGAAACATGCATAATTGGACCCTGGACGGGTGATGGAGGAGCTGTCAAGCAATTTTTGTCGGGGATGTTAGATTAATTTCGTTGTCCAACGGGTGACAAAATGGAGTAAGACTATAAAAGAGCCAGAAATAAGCCAAAGAGCCCAAATTGACTTTGTTTTCAAACAATATCAATAGCGAGGGAATTGTAGACCTACGTCTGATGTTTGATGCGGGACATTGGATTTAATTCCTGTCTAATGGTGGTAGTTTGTGACACTCCTTCATTCACACTCTCTCTGTCACTGACTTTCTTGGTGACAATAAAAGTCGATTGGCTGCATGAAAATACCAATTTCTCAAAAAATTACCGCCCCCAGTCTCTCCCATCTTTACGTCAATGCATATACCACCATAGTGATGTTCTCCATAATGTTCGTCACAATGCCAGTCTTGCCCTATCCCTTTTCGTATCACTAACCTTTAGCCCTTATATATCGACAGCACTTACTTGACCGACCGTAAGAAGGACATCAGAGAGAAAATCATCCCCTGGGAAGGTTTGGCTCGTGCCAATGTCATTTCTGAAGACGACGCCAACCACATTAAGATTTTGGAAAAACAATCATCAGAAAATAAAAACTCCACCATTTTGTCACAATTGCAGTTGTATACCAACACCATTTTACACTTATTAAATAAATTATCAGTAAACTCTAGAGATGAAGTGTTGAAGAACGTATTAGTGTTGATCAACGATTTTCTTTTGGAATTGCCAAATCAAGAATTTGCTGCTAGCTTACTTGAATTGGGAGAGTTGGATGAATCTTTACCATTTGCCCCTTTGTTGAAGCATTTGGAGAACTCCAATGTAGATATTAAAATTTTGGTGTTGTACAATTTGGTGATCTTGCTTCGCAAAAATGACCTGAAAAAGGTTGATAAAGAAATTGTGATCAAGGTATTCGACGCGCTCTCAGGACCAGAGTTTTTGGGTAACTTGAAGAATTCTAGTGTCCAGTTCATTGCCATTCAGTTGCTACAAGAGTTAGTGACTCCAAAGTATTACAAGGAGATCTACTTGAGCAACAATTTGGTCTCGAACTTCAAGCCCATCAATCAACTCATAGGTCAACTGGCTAGGCTTCCAAATCTGTCAGGTATACAATTATTGTACGATATCTTGTTGACCACTTGGATCCTTTCCTTCAATGGCCAAATTAATAAGCAAATAATCCACAACTACCCAGAATTGATCGGGAACTTGTTAACCATTTCTAAGGATTCCATTAAATTGAAAGTTGTCAGACTTGCAGTTTCTACTTTAAAGAACTTCATCAGTAGCAGTGTAAGTGGTGGTGAACAATTTAAGACTATAAAGTTAATTTTGTTCCATGATGGATTAAACACAATTAAGGTATTACAAGAAAGAAAATTTGCACTGTCCACCAGTGATGAAGAATTATCTAACGACTTGATCTACTTAAACGAAGAATTAACAGATGTTGTTGAGAATAAACTAACCTCATTTGATGAGTACTTGACCGAATTGGAAAACCCCAATTTGATCAGCTGGTCGTCACCAACCCATAAATCTACCGAGTTTTGGTTAGAAAACAGTGGTAAATTCAAAGATTCTGGATTCAAGTTAGTCAAGAGAATTTTCGAAGTTCTAGGTGGGAACATTGCACCAGCCAAGGTTATTTTATTAAGCGATTTGCAGTATTTGATTCAGAATCTAGGCAGTGACTTGATTGCCTTCATTAACGAAGGCAACGATGGCCAGTACAAGTTGTTGATAATGAACTTATTGGACAACAATGAAGGTGACAGCGAGTTGAAGTATCAAGCTTTGAAGACCATTCAATTATTAGTGGGGCATAACTATTGATGGGAAATGAATAAAAGTAGGAAGAGTTCAAGTTCTTAGTCCAATTTTTTAAAATAATAGAAGTAATTATTATCTCACAAGCTGCCTTCAATTTTTTTAGTTCTTAGATTAAAAAGATCATATATATATATGTATATATGTTCTACAAAATAAATAAAATACAATGAATAGAGTCTGAGAAGTAATGATGTAGATATGGAATTGGTCTAGTACTGGCTTGCTCTAGTACTGGCTAGCTACCTAAACTGAATGTTCAGAACTTGTAGATACAGCATTGGTGTAGTTCTAGCCAGCTACCTACCCTAGCTTGAAAAGGCAGTATTACCTTCCCCAACCTTATAGATATGACACTTCTACTTACCTTAACATGAAAAATTAGTGATGCCTTCCCCAAACTTTTTTTTTTATATGACGCGAATTATTTTTTCTTTGTTTGGTAAACAGAAGAAATCCATAATATTGATCCAGCCCTGCTAGGAGGAACCAAAGTAGCTCGACAGTAGCAGTGAAGTCGAAGTGAAGACCTGTAGATCTGTAATAGTAGCAGCTGATATATAATGTCAAGAATATACGAATCGATGCAGTTTCGAGAGAATCGACTAGAAACTTATGAAGGTGCCTTCCAGTCCAAGTCCAAACAGAAGCGATACTGGACTCACGATAAACCTTCACCGGAAGTACTAGCAGACTATGGGTTTTTTTTTACGCCAACTAAGCTCAACTTAGATCAAATTACATGCTGTTGTTGTAAGAAGAAAGAAACCAATGTAGGAGGTGTCGAAAATATGGCACAGCACCACCTACAGTCGAACCCAAACTGTGCTCTATCAAGGATCATATCTCAACAGATATCTCACTTGAGCAGCGATTCAACGCTGGAGGAATTTTGGAAGGGAAATCCTGATGAAATCGCTAAAGACGTGAATTGCAAAGCTGCTGTTGACATAAGGAAGAAGACATTCGGCCTGAACTGGAATTTCGATAAAAGCAAGGGCTCCAAAGCAACTAGCTTATCGTTGGCAAAGTCTGGCTTTTACTATTGCCCGTTAAGGTATGGTAATGATAGGGTTCAATGTGTTTATTGCAGCTGCAGTTTGGATACCTGGCTGTCGAATGATGACCCAATAGAGGAACACCGGGCCAATGCCCCAGGGTATTGTTTTTTCTTGGAGAAGTACAATGTGGAACCCAAGCCTAGAAAGAAAAGAGTTGCGAAATCTAAAAAGCTGGAAGTATCAGAGAATCAAGAAGATGTTGTGAATGAAAGTACTAAAGAAGTCACGATCGATATGACTGACTTGAAAGAAGAGAGCCTACGCAATGAAATTAGTGAAATGAAGAGTATGTTGGAAAAGGAAGACGTTGAGTTTAGTGATTTGGAAGATACAGTAGAAACTGCACAAAGAGTGCGAGAGGAAGTAGGCGAAGTTGATGACGACGAAGAAATTAGACCCCCAGTTAGAAGATTGAGAAACAGGAAAGTGATTTCAAGTCAATCTCAAGAAGACCATAGACCTGAAGAGATAGCAATAGTGGAATCCAATCAACTGTCAATTAGCGAAGATGAAGTTCACAGTTCTCATTCAGAAGATGATTCAGATGTCTTAGATTATGCATTCAGCAATCCTGACGTTGATGTTCCATATAAAGAACGACAAGGAGACATAGAGGAGGATAAAAATGATTCGAGAAGCTCAACTGGAAGGATTACAAGATCCAAACAACCCAAAATCGAAAATAGTGTTCGAAGGATAAGTAAGGATTCCAGTGATGATGAATTTTGGGACACCATACCTGGGGAAGACATTGATTTTAAAGCAGCATCGAATAAGCCAGCAGAAAAAGAACTGGAGCCTGTCACAGATCTAATCAAGAAAACCACAAGATCGATAAATATCACTAAGAAGGAATCAATTGATACGAAAGAGCAGAAGAGTAGACTTAATGAAGGATCATCAGAAAATGGTCCCGCTGAAATTGAACATGGACCCAATGAATCAACAAGCTTGAAAGAAAAGGACACAACAATAGAATCCACTAGTATTTCACTTATAGTAAGTTCCGATGAGGATTCAGAAGTTGATGAGATGTCATCGTCTTCTTTTGAGGTCACAGAGGACTTTTTTTCAGATGAAGATGATCTGGTAGAACTCACGTCAGTGAAAACTCGTAAAAACGTGAATAAAGTTCCAGCTAGAAGAAGTGTTTCGAATCAAAAATCAAAATCTGCGGAAACCTCAATCAAAAAGACTCCATCAGTCGAACCAGAACACAAGTTGAAGTCTAAACAGAAGCCAGTCCTACATAACAACATATCTTTTGATGATGATAGGTTTGAACAAATACTTAAATCTCCCAAGAAGTTAAGCAAAAGAATTAAAATGAAGCAAGCTGATTCTCCATCTCCCACATCAACACATGATATTTCCAATCATAACTTAGGTGACTATGAGGAAGACAAACTTGACTTTTTGGAACAGAATATAAAGTTGCATGCTCCAAAGAGTAAATCACCCGAGGAATTAAACTCCAAATTGTCTAAGAAAGATAAATTGCTAGATTCGTTGTCTAATATTTTAAAGCCTACCAACTTAACAAAGCTCCCAGGACCTGCGCCTATTTCACCCATAAAGAAGATTCCACAGAAGAAACAAAAACAGCCTGTGGTTAAGAATTTGTTGGATTTCTCTTCTGTGTTTGATGTTGGAGATGGCGAATTTGATGCCAATACTGTTATGCAAAAGACAAAGAAAGGTGATGATGCCTCCAGGCCAAAAAAATTGGCTGAGGAGGAGCCTGTAATTGACATTGCTCAAGAAAGAAGCACCAGTAATGAAGACATTTTGGACGAAATAGATGATAACCTGAAAAAAGTGGATACAATTGAGGAAATTAAAGAGTCTACCCCAATAGAAACAGAGGTGCCAGAAGAATCTGCATTAAACCGTGACGAGCTTAAAATGGGATTAAAGGATATTTCTGCAAACTTACACGTTGACGAGCATGTTGTGACAGAATCTGATGTGAAGGAGCTCGATCTAAGTAATGAGAAAGATATTTCTCAAAGACATGAGACTACTCATCCGCAAATACAAACTTCAGCGAAGGAAGAAATTGTTCAAATTGAGGATAAGGAGTCTGTCCTGGATAAATTGGAGAAATTCGATGATGAAAAGCAAGAAAACATAGAGGAATATTCACAAGAAGAGAATAACTTGGGTATATTAGTAGATGAAGTGCAAGAGAACGAAAAGGAAATTACAGAAGAAATTAAAAAATTGGCTGTGGAAAGTAGTACACCTCAGTTGAAGCAAGTGGATAGAGTGCAGAATATTGACGTGAAGTCAACGATTGAAAATTCACACGACAACGACAACGACAAAGAGAATAAAGATGAAAGCAAAAAAGTTAAAAGCCTTTCCTGGAAACCGGAAGTACTTGCAGAGGCACCAAATATTTTTCGAGAGCATTCGCTAACAACTGCAACTCCAATTAAAGAGATAAGGTCTATTCCTTTGGCATCATCAAATTCAAATAAGTCAGCGGATTTTTCCAAATCTAACCTCGAAACCCCTTCCAAGCGCTCGCTCATAAGCTCGGCCAAACCCAGAGATATAGGGCATTCTTCTAGATTAAAATCATCACCATCCAATTTTCCTGAAACTTCTCCACTAGGCCAAAATTCACAGACGTCAAGATTAAGTGAAAGCTCGACTACAAGCAAACGTTCGAGGGATGATTTGGGTGTTCATGACATTGAAGAAGAAACATCGAAAAAAATCAAGCTTGAAAAGCAGAATATAGCAGATGTTATTGAATCTAGTACCCCTCAAAGACAATTCACTCAGAAAATACCTGACACATCAGGTATGAATTCAATAAAATTATCCACAGGATGGAGAGAGGCTTCATTTGCCAGATTGCTTGATAATTTGAGCAATATGGAGACCACCTCAGACTACTTGCATTCGTTATCTAATTCGAAATATGAACTTAATGACGATTATGACGGAGAATTAACATCTTTCATTTCTAACATGCCCGAAGACGAGGAAGAGATGACATTGCAACAGTGGATAAGGTCCAATGCTGGAAATTGCAGAAAATTGCTAGAACAGGTTTGTTTTGAAATGATTGCTAGCTATAGGAAGGAATGTGACCGAGCAATAAGAGTATTGGAAGAAATGCCAGAAGTGGACGAGTGAGGCGATTATTCTACTAATGAAGGGGAGGCTTAAGTTTGAAGTTGAACGTCAAAAATGGGCTTTCCTGAGATATTCGTTATCGTCTGCGGGTAAATACAAGATTATAGTTTACATTTAATAGGTAATTTGGGAAATAAATATAGAGATACTTCAAGCCGTGGTTTTTTAAGCCGTTGGTGTAGCCTGGTGAGTATGTAGGGTAGATAATAAGAATCCACGATGAAATGTGCATGCAGAACGCCTCGGGTATTCTGGAACTGGTATTCTGTCGGGCCACAGAACAGGTTGCGGGAGGCAGGAAGACGAAATACAGGGTAATTAGCGTCCTCTCAACCCCACAACCAAATCGCCAATCAAACCACCGTATACGCCCTCTCACAGTCCCTCACAGTCCACCACGGTCCACCACATTTGCAGCCGTATATTTTACGAAGTGTTCCTCTTGTGATACTGCATACGCATGCGCTTCCATTGGCCCTTCCTACTAAGCCAAATCACACTCTCACTTATCAAAGTCAGCGAAAGTTCGCACGCACTTCACACACTCGCCTCATGCGCTTAATAGAAATTAGAAACACTGACTTCTTTCTCTTCTTTTACCACAGGGCTATCCTAATTTAGCAGAGGAGTTTAACACATTTGAACTCAATTCCGATTTTTTCTCCTTCTCTGTATCAATACGCACTACTTGAACACTTGAGACATCCTTGAAATCTTCGGCCTACTAGTGGTGATCTCCTTTCATTTAGATTACGCTTGCTAATTTTAAATCTTAGAGACCACAGACATTGACTACCGCCTGCATACAACCCAAGCGACCATTAACAAACAAAATCCTCCTTTTTTGTATGGCTGAAGCTGACTGAACAGCGGTAGAATCACATAGAACATAGATAGAACCAAGCACGATCGCACCAGATGTCGTTTTGGCCGTTCACGAATTCGTTGAACAACAACAGTAGATTGCAGAAGTTCTTGGACTCTGTCCTGGATCCGGCCGCTGTGTCTGTGGAGGATTTGGTGGGGGACCTGGAGCTCAGTCTGGAGATTGTTAGTGAATTGCATAGTATAAAGGGCAATTATGGAAGGGATGCTGGAAATTTCCCATTCCAGCAGCAGCAACAACAGCAGGCACAATCGCAGCAACAACAGCAACAACAGCAGTCGGGACAGCTGGAACTCTTAGCTCAGCATCTCGCTAACGAGGATGACCACGCCTTGACGCCAGTGGGGCCGAGTAGTTTCAATAATAATAACGCTGACAGTGGATCTGTTTCGAGTTATAGTGAAGCTGGAGGAGGTGGAAATCTCAGCAAGGATGCAAGAGGAGCCAAGTTGTTGGAGATCTTGATCCAACCACACATATTGAACGGGTTCTTGGATTACATTGTGGAGAGTGTGGGGTTTTTCGATGAAGACTCCAAAGCTGCTGAGCTTGAGATAATCAGGGAAGCTGAACAGAAGCCATTGAGTCGGGATACGGCGGAGCTACCTGACCCCGACAAGAATGATGCAGCGCTGGATATCATTCAAGAAGAAGACGAAAACGAACTAGAAGAGTTGGAAAACCAGGATGCAGACGAAGAAGAGGAAAAAGGAGAGGAAAAGGAGGAGTCTTCTCAAGACAAGATGCGTAGGTACATCCAGACATCATCGGATATCCTTTCGATTGATCTTTGGATCATCTCTAATAGAATAATCGAAACTCCTGTCATAATCAGCAAGCTTTGGCTGATCCTTTCACTTCCGCAATTGCTGGAGGTCAGTCCTCTGGTAACATATTTAATCCATATCTTAGATCAATTGATGGATGCTAACAGCATAGAATTACTCAACTTTATTAGGCGACAACCTGATCTCGTTGAGACATTCTTAGGTAAGATAGAGATCCCCATGCTTATGGATTTCTTTCTTAGAGTAATTCAGACAGATAAGATAGATTATCCGACTGGAATTTTAGAAACTTTACTGCTGCAGAAGTTGATACCTCAGTTAGTTGATATCTTGAAACCAAGAGAAAGTCAGTTTGATAGCGAGACTTCTGAAGGAACAAGTAGCGGTATCCCTGACGCCCAACTTTTTTTCAAGCAGACGGCTGCTACCGATTTCATTAAAGCTCTAGTTACCATTTCGTCCAATACAGCATTGGCAATTAATTTAGAAACCAATATTGGACCCAATCAGTTGACTAGAGAATTGGTTTCGAGAGAGATAGTTGAAACCATTGTGAAAGATATCATTCTTTTCAAGCCTCCTAAGGGTTCAAATATTAAAACAAACAAACATGGGATTAATAATTGTGTAGGGATAATAATTGAGCTTATCAGAAAGAATAACTCAGACTATGATACAAACTGTGGGACATATTCCCTAGAGGATAATCAACAAAATAATGGAGGAGGTGGTGGACAAAGCGCAGGAGCTGAAGTGAATTCTTATGTCATGTTCCAATGGCTCAAAGATTTTGAGCAAAACCCTCCTGGAGCTAGAGATCCAATATATCTTGGAGAAATGCTTGAAATATTTTCAGATCACTTGGATCAATTGGCTGATTTAATGATGATATCTCACGAGAAAGAGAAAGAGCTTGGTTTCACCAACTTTAAACTTTCTGAATTGATAGCTGAATTATTACATTGTTCAAATATGATTTTATTGAACAGTAAGAAAATTAAAAAGGTTATAAAAGCTAGAGAATATGTTAGATCCCAACAGAGCAAACTTTTGAAGAGAGCGTTGAATGAAAGTATGTTAAGTGAAGATGGATTAGATGACGTAACCCATGGATTGGATGATGTCAGTCTAGATAACATAAGCTTGCTAAGTAATAGAAAGAAATTGGATGAGATAACAATGTCCAATGATGATTATGACGATGGTGAAGAGAGTTTAATGATGTTGGAATTGGATGCAGAGGATACACACTCAGATTCTGATGATGAGCCAGTGATTTCCCCAGAAAATCCGTTTGTTGGACCTGAACGTGACAATGCCATTCGGTTGAATCCATGTATTGGTGACAAATTTAAGATTGATTTGGTGGATCTGGGACTTTTAGAACAAATTGTCCGGAAGTTCACTGAGTACCCGTGGCATAATTTCTTCCATAATGTGGTTTTTGACTTGGTGCAACAAATTTTCAACGGTAAATTAAACTCCTACAACTCCTTCTTGATTGTAGAATTGTTTAAGCCGGAAAAATGTAACTTAACGGGGCTAATCTACATTGCTTATAGGGAAAAATTAGAGCCAAGGCCTGGCTACTTGGGCCATTTAATTCTCATAAGTGAGGAAATCGTCAAATTTACTTCCTTATATAAGCCTGACTTAATATCTCCAATTATTGTTGACGCAGTCACATCTGATGATTGGGAATGGTTTGTAACGGAAGTTTTGTTGAAGACGAGAGAGGTTTACAATGCAGTTCTAGGAGCTGCTCATGGATTTGAAGATGATGACGAAGATGATATCAACAAGAAAGATGATGATGACGATGTATTTGGATTTGATTCAGGGACTGTTGGATATCTAGATCTCGAAAATTACGGGAACGGGAGTAAAGTAATCGTCTTGGGCGATAAAGACAACCATGAAGAGTTTGTAAATGATGGGAGCAATGGAGGAGCAGATGATGATGACGAGATAGAAAATAGTAGACATAATATGGAAGATGAAGATGAAGACGACATAGAAGAGGATATGCCAGATGTGAAGTTAACGAGTTCACTTGTTGGCACAGTCGATGGCGTAAGTGAAGTGGGGGGTAGTGAAGGGGCAATTGAATTAGATGGAGACGGAATAGAGAGCGAATTTTTAGAGAATTTATCTGGATCAAGCTCTTCCGAAGATGATGATGAGGATGAAGTAGATGGTTCAGCCACTAACGATGATGATAACGAATTACGAAGAGTGCCTAAACACAATAGTTGATCAAAAAGAATGAAATGAAATTCGTATTAACGAAACATGATTAGAATTAAATTATATTAATAATATATAAATATATAGAAGTAATAGTTAATGATATAGAAGAATGACATTTTTATGAATAAATGCTAAGCACATAACTTACTGAGCTGGTAACAAAATAATACTTACAAGGACTTTAGGTAAATTGAATATTTACTTCGTACTTTTCGATTATAATAATAAATAGAATTAAATCACTTTCTTCTTGTAGATTGACCGGATGATCTACCATATATGACCTTCCCATTTGGTAACTCAATCTTGTCACCTCTTTGAGACTTCTTCTTCTTTTTCAGCTTATTGTCTTCAGCAGCAATTGACTCTTCAACAACAGGCTCTTCTAATTCAGTGCTAATCAACAGACCGGTGACTTTTCCACCTGAAATATTCCAAAGATAAGATGGGAATCTAAATAAGAAGGATTCCTTGAAATGTGGGACTGTACGTACAGAGTTTTCATTCAAAACTAATAAAGAGGAGTTGTCTTCTAAGTAAACATTGCCGTCTGCAGCGACAATAAAAGTTTTACCATTCAGCTCATTGAAAACCTTACGATCTGACCCATCACTTGGAGGAACAAGCGACCCACCCCATGCTTGGTTTTTCAACTGCAGTTTCAAATCCACAATTCTTTTGATATCCTGCTTTCTATTAATTGCCAAGGACGCGTAATGGAACCCTGAAACTAATATGAAAAGTAAAGTGATAGTGAAAATAAATCCTGGGCGGAACTTAGAATAGAAATAACCAGTCCCTTTCCATTTGGGGAATCCCTTAGCTAAGAAGTAATCATATCTCTTTCTGAGACTTTGATCTTTTAAGATATTACCAACTAAAGATAACCTCTGGAACCTTTCTTCGGCCTGCTTACGATGAACTCTTGGTGCTTTATCTGGGTGCAAGTTACGAGAGAGTTTTCTATACGCTTTATTGATTTCTCCAGTAGTAGCCTTGTTGGACGAAAGACCAAGCCATGAATAGAATGTCGTTTCATCTCCTAAATCTTGCTTGACTTTGTCATTGAGCGAGAAGATCTCATAGTCCTCGGGCGACCAATTTGCAGTGACAAATGTGACCAATACGGCTAAAAAGAGTATAACCTGGAATTTCATAGTAGTCGATGGGGTGTCACTGGAACGCTGGTGTTGATGAAGAGCAAGATATGAAATTTTTCACTTTACGAGGCGCGTTGTCAGACTGTCAGTGCGTATGGCAGTACTAGCGAGTATACTGGATGTGAGATAGAGATGCAACGAGTGGAAGAGCGACGAGAGGTTGCGGTGCCTGAGAGGGAGGACCAGAGACTGAGAGAATGAGAGAATCGTGGAGACTGGGTGAGAGAGAGAAGCGTGAGCGTAAGTCAGACATTGCGATTCGAGCCATGAGGCGCACGGTGATGAGCTGTGCTTTTCGATATGCTGCAGCATACAGGAAAAATCTGAACCGATGGTGGTTAGCAAGATCGAGAGCACTTCTTTTCATTAACAACATATTTTGAAGGCACTTTTTGCATTAGACCTTACCATTTAGCTCTCTAGTATTTACCAAAACATATTGGAAAAATGGCACCACTTTATCCCTTGACGACTTATGGAAAAGTGAAGTTTTTTTACTATTGTGCATCATTTACACTTTGGTTTTGTTGCTTTTGCAGGTTCCTTATATTGTTACCATTGGTTGGTAGAAGATTTCTTCCAGGAGGAATGGCAGATTTCTTCCACGTAGTATCAGCACTACCACTAATCGGTAATGTGCTAAATATGCAATCATCTGGATGGAGGGGCTCGAGCTTTTACTGGTCCTACTTCAACTCCCTCAAGATGATAGCTCTTTGCTACTTGGTGATTTTTCCACATCCCAAGATTGCGAAACATACGTCATACTCTTTCCTTATCCTGTCATGGTCAGTATCCAATATAATCCATACTGCGTACTATGCTTTCAAGACCAAGACCCGCACATCTCCACAATTCCTCTTCTGGTTGAAGTATCACCATTTTTATGTAACATTTCCTTTAGGACACCTCGCTGAGATGGTACTTTTGTTCTTGAGCTTAATATTTGTAGAGGATGATCTGTGGTTTGAATTGATTTTGAAGGGCATATTATTGAGTTATATTCCCATAGGATATTTCTACTGGGGTCATTTAAAGAATAAAAAGAAGAAGAAATATGATAAGATTATGGAGAAAAGGGTGCATGACAAAACAAGCAACCCACCTGGATCGACCTAAATCGAATACTTACTGGAGTGAATCAAGAAGGAAGAAAGAAATAAAATGATGACATGTGTAAAACGAAAGTACCTATAGACAGAGAAATTGTACTACTTATAGTTAATTTCTGCTAAAATCGTATATATTAAGTCATAAATAAATAAATATTATGATATCTTGTAGCACCTATACTTTAACGTTTATCTTGAATCCAACAATGAAGTATCTGCTAACTGCCCAGAAGAATATCCCAAACGTACATAAAACCCCCACTAAAACAACGAACATATCATAGTTATGTTGAGATCCATCACCTATAATGGCAGCACCGATGGGCACACCAACAAGGTTACCAATACTTAAAAAAGCCAGCAATAATCCATAACGCTCACCAAATTCTCTAACTGGACTGATTTGACCCAAACAAGCTGGTAGCATAGACAAGATCAGGCCCAGAAAAAATCCTCCAAACGATGCAAATACATACAAGACAGTCAAGCTGTACCCAAAAGGCAACCATAGAGCAAATATACAAATATCTAGACCAGTGATCATCAACAAATTCATGTTATACTTACCCAAGTAGTCAGAGAAATATCCAGGAACCCACCTTCCCAAAATACCTGTAGCGTTCCAGACTGTGAGAAGAAGGTATGATGTCGATTCCAGCACACCTTGAGCAATTGCGTAAGTTGCAAAATATGTCACAATAAGTATAAGCGAAAGCTCACCACAGAAAGCACCGCAGATCAAAAAGGTGTACTTTAATTCTTTTAATGATTTGAAAGAAAGATTGGCGATTGTAGAGTACATAGAGACACCAACTATTTTCACAATGGATATCAATTTATCGGCAATGCCAACGTTCTTCTCGCCCTCGCTAGTAATTGCTGAAGCTGATTCTGATAGATGATCAGTTTCTTCTGCTTCATCCTCTTCTACTTCTTCTTTCGTCTTTCTGACTCTTTCATCTACTAATATTGTAGCTATAATCATGCACCCACAGCAGAAAAATGCCAATATTCTAATGGCCCATTGGAAACCATACCTTGGATACAAATGTCTTAACATCAACGGGATCGCAAGACCACCAACAGATCCACCACTGGTTGCGATACCTGTAGCATTACCTCTTTTGACAAAAAACCAATGGTTCACCACTCCGACCAAAGGTGTCATTGCAAGCGCATTACCTACTCCTACGCAAATCGACAAACTCAAAATGAACTGCCAGACATTAGTACTGTTGGCGGTTGCAATGAAACCCACAAAAATCAAGATAGTAGCGCAAATGAGCAAACCCTTGGTACCTTTACGATCAAACACAGGCCCAATGAAGAGACCAATTGCGTATGCCAAGGCCAAATAAATCGAGAAGACCCAAGCGACAGTAGAAGTTTGGACGGTTTTCAATTGATGCTCAGATACGTACGCTTGAACTGCCCCAATGGAATTGATTACCCCCAAATTTGAAATAAGTCCTATAAAGCAACCGAAGAGGACAGAGTATGCCTTCCTTCCACCATCAGGACATCCTTCATTGTCAGAAACTATATTCTCAAAGCCGGCTGGTTGGTCTTCAGAATTAACCTCACCTTGGGATTCTAAGCTTGGAGTACCACGAACATGGGTCCTTACACTCCTCAATTCTATAGAATCTCGTTCCATTATCATATATTACTGACTATCTACTTTTCAGTATTCACTCAATGAAAAGGATTTGGTTGCACTTTATACTCAATGCGGTAGAATATCACCGAAGAAAATGGAAAACATTACTAGCGATAAAGCGCGATGTGATAAGAGAGATATTCAGCGCCAAATCGAAGCATATTTGGGGCGGTGTTTGAGTCATACCGAGTACTTCCACAGTAGTCCAAAGTTCAACTGCTAGACGCTCGAAAAAAATGTCTTCAGGCTTTCTTCACTTACATGGGAATTATCTATTGACGGCTCCTCTTTGAATGCTGTACCCCATGTTCAAGGGTACATTGGTGTGAGTAATTTTCTGACGTGTACACTGTGCGGCTTAACATCTGCTAGTTAGTTATGGCAACTTTATGTGGTACACTTTCTTTTTGTGGACTTTCCTCAGTTTTTTGAACTCGATTCTGTCTTTGTTTTCCAGTGAGTAGTGATTGTGAATTAATGAGGGGGTACGCTTTTTGGTGGAAACTAACTTTAAAAGGGTAAACAACAAAGCAGTCAAGTAGAAGAAATGAAGTACGATCTCAGCAGTACGAGACAGGTTCATCAACTTTTGAACCAAAGTCAATACTTTATAAGTTTCTGCCATAATTAACTGTAAGTTCAGTCTGAGAAAGTAAATTACAGCAATCGTTATGTACAGCAATCATTATGCTCAGACGTGGTTATACCACCATACCAGTCTACATACACTTGTAATCAGTATCTGCAACATCCTGCACATCTGCAAAATATACAATCCTGCATACACACATACTAGTATCAATTTTCCACTTTAACTCTGAAAAATTTAGGATATCAAAAAATTTTCCTCTATAAAAGTTGACAAACTAGCTAAGACTACATCATGATCACTAAATATTTCACCAAAGTAACGGTAAAGTTCGACCCATTTGCGCCCTCTGCAAGACCTGCTAGATTATTTCTTGCTAGGATCCCTCCTTCGCTCAAGGGTCAGTGCCAAATTAATCACCAAGTGTTAACCCAGAGCTCTCCTGCATCCGAAAAGCCTATAATAGAAGTCACATACAAAGACAAACACATATTGCAAGCAGATCCAGCTAAGATGACCTACTCAGAATTGCAACAACATTTCGATGCCCATTCTAGAAAACTAGTTCTCAAGGACTCTATTGCTGTCTAAGTCTAACTGGAGAAGTAGATTTCAGCCAGTGCTTCTATACCATTAACTAATAGCCATTGGGAGGACTGATTCCTGTATATAAACATAAATAAATCATCTGTACTATAAGTCCGTAAGGCTAGGTCGTTGTAGGATACTTTGCTCTGAACCAGGATGGAATTTTCTCTTTTTGGATATGTATGGTAGAACTTAGTGGAGCTAAGGTTAGCTTATCGTCGCAATATCTTAATTTATAGCCTGTTTTCTTATCGCTACACTCTCTCGCAATCCAAGTTAATACGACTTGGTACCATCTCAATAGTTTTTGACAAGTTATAAGGCTACCTTTGTCATCTTTATTCATATATATGGGATATGCCTGTACTATGTCTGGGATATCATTTGTCTGGTAGGTTTTAATTGCAGCCAATTTAAAGTGAGTATTGGTGGTATCCCTCTTCCTGAATCCAATTGAAAGGTACTTGCCATTGATAAACTTTGTTTGACACCAGCTTTGCACTAGTTTTCTCGTAAGACCATAATCTAAGGTAGATCCTTTTGTATGTGTTTTCAATTCAATATAAGAAGCTAAGTTACTATTACCCTTAATCGTAGCATCAATTTCTGCAGTGCAGTAGACAGGGACAGAGCCTACTTGATGCCTCGTAAACGTGTAAAAGCTTGACAAAGACTCACCGTCAGTGATCTTATCCTCTTCTTGTATTGCTCTACAGGTAACAGCCTCCTCAAACTTGAACCCCGTGTATTGTAACTCAGTGACCCAGGAGGGAGTACGTTCTTTTTTGTCAATACCCAATTTTTGTAATCCTTCTACCAATTCATCTTCAGTAGAATCAAAGTCTATGATGAGAAGGTTGTTCCAGGGTATGATATTGAATGTATACGATTTTGTAGGATGCAACGGAATAGTCATTAAAAGAAGTAAGATTCTACGTAGTGAGACTATGCTTTGATCTGCTTTTATTGCATCCTTGGAAAGTTGCTCGTCAACTGCCAAGAATAGATCATTCAATTTAAAAACTTCATCTAGAGTGGCAGGGACATAGTGATGGCGCCAGCCTTCGCTCAAGTTTGTCCCGATAACTTTACTCTTATCATGTATGACTTTCTTCAGCCTTGAATCTTTAGTCTTTGGTTTTCCAACGGGCAACTTATACGTCCTCAAGCTTTCAGTGCTATTTGGTACGAACGCAGATGCATTTGGTTTGGAGAAGTACATGCATTGAGTTGGAGATAAATCATTCAGCGTGCTGCCTCGTATTAACTTCTCTTCTCCGACTAAATCATAGTTTGAATTTGTTAACTGCTTATGTGAGAGCCTAGAGAACAATTCTGACGCTTGCAAGGTTATAGATCGTTCCATTAATAGCTCAACTTGCAAGATTGCAAATAGGAAGAGAGATAGTAGAGATCAAGATTTGTCGATGACTTGAGCCGCATCACTTTTATATATGTTGCATACAGCCCAAGATATCGCTTAAGAATCATTGAATTGGCTTGAAACTCATAACTAGGAAGTCTGTTATATGAATACTCTACAGGGTGTTTATAACATCTTAATATTTCATTTACTAGTTCATTTTTCATTTCAAAGGTTAAATAATTTGCTAAGCAATTTTTGATCTGCGTTTTTGGTACTTTTAGTTATTACCTTACTTCTTTCTTTCACCGTATGCCTTTGTAGCATAGTCACCATTGATAACAATTACGTCCTGTGGCCTGTAATCGTGTTTACCAGTATAATAGCTTTCCAAAATGTTTTTAACACCAGCTGCATACCTTGCTTGGGCATCTAAAGAAGTACCTGAAACATGAGGGGTCATGGCATTTCCAGCTCCATACTTATTTCTAAATGATCTCCATGGGTGATCCTTAGGAGCAGGTTGTGGATACCAAACATCACCACCATAACCTCTAAGCTTTCCATTTTCTACAGCCTCTGCTACGTCCTCTGCAACACAGATAGCACCTCTGGCAGTGTTAACTAACCAAGCACCATCTTTGAAATGAGAAAGAAGCTGCTTGTTCACCAATCCCTTGGATTTTTCATGAAGTGGACAGTTAACAGTAACAACATCACTTGCTGCAACCATTTCTTCTAAGCTCACAACTCTCTCAATTTCCAAATCATTATCGTTGAAAATTTTCGAAACTTGCTTCAAACGATCCACAGCATCTTTTGGCAATTCCTGGTAGTCGTAGTACAATAATTTCTTTGGATTGAAGGCAATTAACCTTTCCAAAACTCTGTATCCAATTCTACCAGCTCCAATGGTTGAAAAAACTTTACCTTCCATATCGTAAGAGTCCTTTGCAATACCTGCAATATCCCAGCTACCATCAATTGCCTGTTGATGAGCCGCAGTGAAGTTACGAACAAGAACAAGCATGGTCATTATGACATGCTCAGCAACCGACTGAACGTTAGAGCCAGTTACTTCAATAACCGAAATTTTTCTTTCGTTTGCAGCATTCAAGTCGATGTGATCTGAACCAACCCCAGCGGTGATACACATCTTCAATTTTGGTGCCTTGGCAATTCTTTCTCTAGTTATGTAGGCAGGGAAGAATGGAGTGGTGATAATAATTTCTGCATCAGCCAATTCTTTGTCAACCTGGGACGAACCTTCTGGGTCCTTATCGTCAGTAGAGACTAATTCGTAACCGTTATCTTCAACGAACTTACGGATTCCCAATTCATTTTCCAAGGAACCTAATAATTTGGATTCTTGCTTGGCGTGTTCACCGCCCTTGTAGAGTACGAGTAAGACCTTTCCTTTTGACATTTTTAAAATTTAGAGATGTTTTGATGTTTTTAGCTATTAATGATATTTCGATTAGAGCTATAGAACTAACTAAGGTATATACTTAATCTTTGGATTCCATCATGAATTTATACTTCTGGACTTGTCAATCTAATTGGGAACATCAAAGTCCGATCCCCGCATAACCCTAAAGCATTCTTTATAGTCCAAACCTTTTCCGAGTCTTTTTTTTTCTTTTTCAATTATAGTTGCCGTAGTATCTGTTCACTTCGCATCATCATTTTAAGGAAGCTTCGCTAGACGTAGCAACCCCGCTTGGAAAACTTCTTGTTTTACAATAAGGTGTTGGACACTTTTTGTGGGGTGCAGCATTCCTGTATGGAGTTTGGAAGTTCTCATTTAATAGGGGACATCAAAATGGCTCGGAGACTGAGTAGTCCAGAGCAGAGCACATTAAAGCTTAAAGTAAAGGCAAGGAGTACGAAAGTATAATGAAAGAAATATTGAGCAGACGCCCTAAAATAGTACTGGTTAAGTGGTCATTTAAGGTTCTGCTCAGAAAATCGAGAATAGGTAAAATGATCCGGAAGTGTTTCATGGAACCAGGCAATATATACGAGAAAAATAGAGTTCCGCAGTAAGTATGCAATAAAAATTTCGCTCATTCTCTTGCAGAGGGTAGTATGGACTTCACTGGGGCTCCAAGGGCTCCAATACCATGTGTAATACATCACTCTCTTCCTTCCGTTAGTTCCAAAGTATGTTGTACTTTCTCCCGCGCATCCTTGCTGCTCGATATATCTCTTATGTCATAGACCTTCTTCTCTTTCTTCCGCGGTATATTGCTACATAGAGACTTTCACATAGATTAAGAGGAAAAGTTCGTAACCACACAAAATGCGAGGCAGGAAATCTCGATGTTTCAAGATACTTCCAATTTTTATGCCATCAGCTGAAACACTACACTACAAGAAGCTCTAAGTTTATAAATAATGTTTAATTAGAACATATATAAAAGTTGACCTATTATCATTCTAGTAAATTTTGATACAACCTACTAAAAAACAAAAATCTATGCAGCATCAAAAATGGATCTTTTGCTCATCCAAGTCACAATTGAGTAGTTTATTTATGCTACTCACTGTGCAAAATGTATGTTGTAGTGTAAACGAGTTTTCAATGGAAGGATACGGATGGAAATCCGGCGAGTGGGTTGGTAAAAAACAAAAAAAAATCTTTACAGCACAATAATGGGGTGGAGGGGGTGTAAGGGGAGGGGGTGATGTGTGCGGTGTGCGGTGTGCGGTGTGCGGTGAGGAACCATGGTTTGAAACACAGCTTCCTCAATCAAAAGCCAATTGCTTCTTGATTTCAGCAATAGCCTTACCTGGGTTCAATCCTTTTGGACAAGTTCTTGAACAATTCATAATAGTGTGACATCTGTATAACGACATACTGTTCTGTAACATTTCCCTTCTTAATTTACCAGCTTCATCTCTAGAATCAATCAACCATCTGTAAGCTTGCATCAAAACTGCAGGACCTAAGTATTCTTGTTGATTCCACCAGTACGATGGACAAGAAGTTGAACAACAGGCACACAAAATACATTCATAAAGACCATCCAACTTTGCTCTGTCTTCAATACTTTGCAAGTTTTCACGTCCATCTGCAGGATGGGTTTCTCTTTGCAAGTATGGCTGAATAGATTTGTATTGCTTGTAGAAATGAGTCAAATCTGGGACCAAGTCTCTGACAATGAACATATGAGGTAATGGATAGATCTTTAAATCCTTGTTGGTGTCGGTATCTATTCTGCATAAACAAGCTAATGTGTTGGTTCCACCGATGTTCATTGCGCATGACCCACAAATACCTTCTCTACAAGATCTTCTGAAAGTTAAGGTTGAATCCTGTTCGTTTTTAATCTTAAGTATAGCATCTAATACCATAGGACCACACTTGTTTAAATCGACTTCATAAGATTGCATCTTTGGCTCAATTTCTGGAGTGTCAGGACTCCATCTGTAAATTTGGAAAGTCTTCAATCTAGCTGGAACTGAAGCCTCGGTAGCTAAAGTTCTAGCAGATGATCTGACTACTGGAGCAAATGAGTTAGAGCGTAATAAGTTTCTGAACATTTCTATACTATTATTATATGATCCTACCGTTATAAGCAATTAATGAAACTTCGTTGGAAAAAGAAGCGTATCAGTTTTCTTTTATTTCGTTAGTATGTTGTGCTCGGATTCTGTCCCGGGGTAACACTTTTTTTATTTTTTTGCTTTGACAAATTCAAATTTAAGGAGCTTTCATTGGTGGGAATTTGCCCTGCACAGGGGCAAACGGAAGCGCTAGCAGAGCTGTATGGCGTGTAGATATTTGGTGGAGCCGAGCTGCCAAAGATCACGTGACACACGGCTTCTTTCTTTATTTTTTTATTTAACAATAGAATTCTCCTGCACTCCACCCTCCACCCACTAGGAAATGCGCTAAGATAGTTGGCTCTTGAAAGTACTTCCTTGACAGAGTTGCTGCTTTATAGTTCAACTGCTTTGCTAACAGTGGTCTCTTCAGTAATAATGGAGGACCTTATATATTGAACTATTTTTACAATGTACTATCATGCACCTCATTGTTCTCCTGTAGCAATTTTTTTTCAGTGTGGGGTATTGGCTGCAAAATTTAATTAACCCTGCTTGGTAAGTCATTCTTCAGTTTAGCAATACCTTAGCTCATAATGTTGGCATAATACCAATTATACTGAATTCATTAACCCTCCACTGAAGGCCAAGCTCCAAGTGAGGCTCATTCCATCGTCTAAGTACAGGGTACTGAAACTTGAACCAGAGAAAAATCCATAGGAGCTTTCGGGATCATATAATGCTTGGTTTAACATAAGGATACCTAGCCATTCAGTATTGACATTTCCAACAAATCCTGATATTTGCTCAGTCCATTCCTGTTGAACAAATGTAGCATCTCTGATCCTAGAGGATGCAGGAGTAATGGGAAGCATATGAATTCCGTGTACATATTCTGGATATAAGTCCGGAGATCCAAAGTAGGTAGTATATGCAAGCTTATTCTCAAATAAGATACCTGCTACTTTGTTACCTATATATTGACTAGGTTCTATCTCATTGTTATCTTTAAATAGGTAGTAATAACTCATAGACCGTTTCATGATTGACAACATGAGATCCCCGCGACTCTCCATCAGCTTATCACCTTGAACACGTCCCCATAATTTCATGCCATAAGCAAAATTGTAATCTTCCAGAGAAGATTCTTGATTTCTTCCATCACCAGATTCAAACAAACCTGCAGCCCAGGAATGACCCGAATACCAATCAAACATTCGAGAGACTGGGAAATAGGTATCAACTTCAGACGGATTAGCAACGTCACGGATTAAGGAATTGACCCACCATTTGTTATCTTCTACCCACGTACCTCCGTAGAGATTATCGACATACCCAACGATTGCAGCAGCATGGACATAATAGCCATAGTGAAAGTGATGATCATTATAATACCCAGACCCATAGTCTGCACCTGTATCCCCTCCCTGCGATGCAGAGCTGGTTACCCCACAAAATTTTGTATCATAAATAAAAGGATAGTATTGTTCATTGGTAGTGAATATTTCAAAAGCTTCTTGAATCGCTTCCAAAGTTGCCTTGGTTAACGACTCGTCTCCAACAATCTCTTCCAAAACAAGTAATATATATGCATATTTGTCAAGCACTTTACCTGAAAAATAATTTGAATCTTGAGCGGCAACCACGTCTGCAATATCGACCAGCAATTCGTCATTTGCAGCAGAAGCTATCAATTTCAATTGATTAATTGAATAATCTAGATCAGGCGTTTTGATTTGCTCACTCCAAGGTAAGAATTGAATATTCGTCTCTAAATCTTCTCCCATGATGAAAATATTTGACAAATAACCAGTCATATATCCCTTTGTTGCTGAGGGTAAAATTAGGCCTGTTGAGTCGATGGGAGAGACTAGTGAATCATTAACATGTGGAAAAACGAAAACTAGAGGTTCATCTGAGAGGCTCGAGCCTAGTGTGCTATAGTTGAAACCATATTCTGCGTAAGTCCCCGAATCATACGATTCACCAAAGACTGAAGCTTCGGTCACATAAATTCCAGCGGATTGGTCGTAAATTGATATAAGCAGTGAATCGCTTGGTGCAAAGGCGACTTGGATAATTACTCCATTTCCAGGCTCAGTTCCCTCAATGTAGTACACGCCGGCGTCACTACCAACATAAAGACTGAAAGTGTCACTTGCTGAGGTATGGGTAACATATATGAGCCACGTAGTAGAATCACTAAGTGTAACGCTATACCTATCAATTGTGTCTGAAACTTTTCCAAAGTAAGCTAATTCCTGAATTCCTGTTAATGTAGAAATTTTTGGAATTAAATTACCATGATAAATGGAAGTCACAAATCCCATTCCTTGTACAATTGGGAATTCTATGTAATTTATTGTATCATCGTCAACTGAGAGTTGAATATTGACTGAGTTAACTTTCATGGTATTCACGCACAAAGAAACGCCATTGGAAAAGCTAGAGGAGGTGATTATCAACTGTTCAAGATCAATAGGATTATAGTAGTAAGAGGCGTATTCAGGATTGTTGGTATCCTCAGTACCAAATACTCTTTTGGATATATTATTGTTTTGAATTCCAATACCCTCTGTATCAATATAGTTTAAGTTATACGGAGAAACATAAATGGGGGAATCTTGAGTACCCAAGAATAAATTAACATAGAATTTGTTTGTTTGGAATGGAGAGCCATCGTTAGACACACATGATGGTAATTCAAGTGGAAGCTCTTCTCTCTTAAAAGTATCAGAGGGTACATCGTCCGAAACCATTACGAAAAGATCTCCTTCATACCCATTTGAATATGCCAGTCCAGTAGAGCTTGAAGTCGTCAGGGTTGATGATCTAGTGGTTAGGGTTGAAGTCACTGGGACAGATATCACATGCGATGTTCCTGCTATTGATTTTAAGGAAGAGATGGTACTAGTTGTGAAAGTAATTGTACTGACTGTAGTTACCAGAGTGGGGGAGAAAGACTTAGTAGTGCCAGCCACTTGAGATTGAGATAGAGTATAACTATCTATCACAGATGTGCAAGAAGTAAGGAATGATGTACTTGCTTCTTCTAAACATTCATCACATGGCACTGTCACTGTATCTGTCTCATGTAGTGTAGTTTCTACAATATTGGTAGAAGTGTCGGTAAATACTAACGTGGATGATTCAGAGTAAGTTATTGTCTCTTTACTTGTCTTAGAGACCGTTGTTTCTGCCATGTTGATAGAAGTCTTAGCAAGGACTGAACTAGATGATTCAGAACAAGTCACAGTATTTGAAGTTACCTCAAGTAATGTCGTCTCTAGGGTGATAGCTGAAGGTTCAGTGGACACTAATTTTGATGAGAGTAGAATAGTAGCAGTCCCAGAGTTGGCTTTTTCAATGCATTCAGTGCATGCCACAAAGTCTGTACTTGTTCTGTATACTGTGGTTTCGACAAGATTGGTGAAGGTACCAGTGGCTGCAGAAGTGGAGCATCCAGAAGTAGTTGCATCCCTGCGGTAGAAAAGTACCCCCAGCGTACTCGTGGAGCAATTTAAGCAGGCGACTGTGGTCCCACGGGTAATGGATTCAACTACAATTGGATCGGTCAACAGTTTCACAGTAAAATTACCCTTGGATACAGGATTGGGTATAGAGCTATAGTTAGATTCTGCTCTAGTAGCCAGTGCACTACCTATAGGTCTACCAGTCTCTTGAAATAGAATAATTTCGGTTGAAGTGTGGTAGACTTGGGTGAGACTTGTAGTTGATTGTTGGTAGGGCTGTGGGATGAGTGCTGAATCTGCAACAGTAGCGAAGCCCAAGAGGAGAAATGAAAATTCATTCAAACGCATGCTTAAATCTAACAAATATGTAGTATATAGTTAAAACTAATTAATGGAAGTAACTAGAAAAGCGTGAGAAGGAAATATCCAAAAGGTTGAAGAGAACAGAGGTCTTATATAAAACTATTTATTTTTTTTTGCAGCCATTCTTAGCATGCATCTCTTCTTGGTATTTATGAGAAGAAATCTCTCGATTGGAGCACAGTATTGTGAAGATTTTATTGAGACTTTGCAGGCATGTGATCTCAATAGAGAATGGAGCACAAAATATACTATGATCTTGTCTTCTTGGCTTACCTTTCTCTATAGTACTGGTACTCTGCGTGCTTCTACCCATCGATTAGCGTTTGGAATGGCTGCAAGGAATCCACCGAAAAAAAAAGGACCCTTGCGCCTAAAAATAATGCTGCGGTTTAGCTGATAACTCCCATGCAGGACCAAAACCCGTCTTATCTCCGGCATATATATGTGATGTTATTTTTCACTATCTTTGGATTCAAATCAAACACCCTAAAAAGGTGATCTTTTTCAGCAAACCAGTTATCTTTTTTTCACAATGCAGCTGCCACTGACACTGGATTGGCAACCTAGAAAACGATTTAGAATTACCTTGGTATGCAACGTCTGTAAAATTCGAAAAGTCAAATGCGATCGAAAATCTCCATGTACTTCTTGTATCAAACATAACACGGGCCACATGTGCAACTACGACGAACAAATATGGATATCACAGCTTCCGCAACGGGATAACGGTGTAATACTTGGTCTTAATAATAATATCATTTATAGTAATAGTAATAATAATAGTAGTAATAACTCTAACAACAATGGCTCGCCCAATGTCACTGCATCTCCTCCCATACAATCAGAAGTGAAAGAGCTTCGAGATAAGTTATCGAGATTGGAGAGGTTGATAATTACCACAAACCAAGCTAATCTTAATGAAATTGTAGATGTGGAAATTGCACTTGAAAACTTCAAGGATTTGAGATCCGTTATAGGTATAAACCCCATAGGTACAAGTGAAGATACTTTAAACTTGTACTCGAACTTTGGAACCATCCGTACAGATAAAAGCGAATATTCGAAACGAATAGACTTTGCACCCTTTACCTTCCATGGATTGTTGAGGAGGGATCCAAGCTTGCTTGATGTATGGTACTATATTACTCAGAAACGAGCCAATTTAAAGAAGAAGCAGATAGACAATGGAGCTGCGTCGACTCCATTCGAAATGCCTAAATTAAATGCCAAATCAGTTGCTAACAGCAAACTGTCTAACCATAAGAGCGTTCTAATGAAAATTCGGCGCTATCTGGAACGAAAATTTAACCAAAAGAAGTTTTCCTCTTCCATTACCAGCCCTGGAATACTCTTGCAATCATCTTCACCAGGAGCAGAGGGTTCTGCATTATCTGCTAACGAAGAGAGTTTATTCTTGCCGCCTAACGAGACTATATGGATGTATATTGAAAATTTCTTCTTGAAAATCTATAAATATTTTCCATTTGTTGATGAAGACGACTTCAGGGAGAATATTAAGAGGATTTTGGAAGGAAGGTCGAGTTCACAGATACGAAAACTTCAAGATAAGAAGGACTTTGCAATATTGGGCCAGTTATACATTATACTAAGAATTGGCTATTTATCTATGGTGTCACGGGCTGAATATGGAGAATTTCAAAGATCTCAAAACAGTATCAATAGTGTGACGTCAGGTAGCCCTTCTTCTTCATCGTCGTCCTCGCCTATTCCGAACCGTTCGTATTCCCTATACCCTATTGGAGTTGAATACGTTGATTATGCTAAAAGATGCTTAAATTGCTTCGATTTATTGCAACCTGTTGATATTAATATCGTGCAATTTTGCTTATTATTATGCTCATACTTGAAACTTGCACCCGAGGACGGCGAGGGCCCAGATAGAAACCAATTTCAGATATTCCTAGGAACCTTGGTGCAAATGGCATTCAGTATTGGCTTGAATCGAGATCCCAATAAATTTCAAGAGTTTGCTGTAAGTGAAAGTCAAAATCATCTTCGAAGGAAAATATGGAATGAAATTGTATTACTTGATCTATATTCATCTACATTATTTGGAAATGCGCCTAATATTCAAAGGAGGTATTATGATACAATTTATCCTTACTATAGCATTGGATGCGAGGGGATTTCTTCAAATCCTCCTTTAGAAAGAGAAATTATTGAAATTCACAAGCCAAGAGAAATATTAATCCAAAAAACAAAACAAATGGTGGAGTCAATATTGGAAGTAAATGAAGAAGTTAAATTGAGAACTCTTTCAAACTACTTGAGTGAAATGGAAATAATTTTGCACAAGGAATTTGGTTTTTTACCAAATTATAACGAGAACGATCTCAGCCATAAGCTAAACATGAATTTGTTTATTCAGCTCAGAATTTTCCATACTTCATTGTACTATGAACTATTTTTGTACTATGAACGTGAGAAGAACGTTGAGTTGATGTTCTTTTACTTCAAGAAAACCATATGCGTAATAATAGAAGAATACGCACCCCTAGTATTCAATTTGGCGATGAATGGTGGTAAAGATTCCAAGGGGACAGGAGGCGACAAAATTACACCTGAGAATTTGATGCTATATCCTGGTTTGGAACAGTTGGTGCATAGAATGAACGGAATACTCTTCTCAATTATTGTTAGAATCAAATATACTCTTCGAATGCTTTTGACCGATAACACTTCAAAGAGTGAGGCAGAAATGAGAGCGTACTGCAAGGAATTGGAAAAGTTAGGGTACTTGTTGAAAGTCACTGTAAAAGGAGCTATTGTTGGAATTTCACAAATCAGCGACATGTATTGGTTTGCATGGAGAATAGCCAAAGCGCATAGCTATATATTCAACGTCATCACAGCGGACGAGTACTACTCAAGTATCGACGAATATGAACGAGAAAAATCTTTACCGACGATAATATTTTCTTTGGCTCAAATTAAAGAAGCGAGAACTATGATTGACCAATGCCTACTGAAATATCGTAGAAGAGGAATTGGTAGTCAATGGAGTGTTGTATCAGATGTGAGTGAGGCGACCACAAGCGAGGATGCCCAAGAAAATGATGAAATAAGTACCTCAACCATTCTGGACCTTAATTTTAATACCGATATTGATGACGTTTGGAATAATTCCAATTTTAATAATATTCAAAATCACTTTGGATTATCCAATGAGGATTTCACCTACGTTTTAGAACTGAAGGAGTTTAAGGATGTGATGGAGAACTATTTCGACCTCGACGAGCCCCTTTTCAATACATTTGGACAATTTACGACTGATACTTAGTTAGAGTATTATATGTCTGAAAGTAATATAATATTTATTAGAATATTAACATATAACTACATATCCTGATAATGTTTAAAGGGATTTTTCTAATGTGGACAATTTTTTCAATAAAGGTTCATACTTCAAAAATTTACCTTGGTCCACTGCTATACTCAATGGTGGTCTGCCAGTTAAAGACTCACCCAAACCATAAAATTTTTTCAATGCATACTTCACTCCAACAACATTTAGTTCTGCAATCATTAAATCTGCATGAGATACTAATGATTGCAACTCTGCAGCTTCAGCAACTTTTCCATCTAAGAATAAATTATACAATCTGAGCATAGTTTTAGGGAATATTGCTGAAAGTCCATCAATTGCACCGTAAATTCCAACTGAGAGAGCAGGGACCAATACTTGTCCCAAACCTGTGAAGGGTCTGAAATTGTTTTCTTCACACATTGTCTTATTTTGACCCAATTGTGAGTATACATCTAAGTTGAAATGGGTCAATTTGACCCCCACAATATTAGAATGAGAAGATAAAGCCTCAAACGTTTCATATGTTATGGTGACATTATTAGAAACCCCAGGGTAATTATATAATATGAGGGCTAATGGAGATTCATCAGCTACTCGAGTAAAGTAGTCAATAATTCCTTGCTGAGAGGTTAAGGTTGGCCCAAAGAAACTGGGAACTAAAAGAACAGCGAAATCTGCCCCAGCATCCTTAGCAGACTTGCACTCCTCAACAATAGTAGCAATATTTCCAATTGGTGGGATACCAGCAAGAATTTTGAAATCTGGGTCAGGAATGGCTTTCCTTATGGATGAAAAGAGTAAATACCTTTCTGTTTTTGAGAGATGATTAGCTTCCCCCAAGGACCCAGATAATAGCAAGCCATTAATTCCCTTCTCATATAAGAATTTAGCGTGTTGAATTTGCGTTTCGATATCCAATGAATAATCAGCATCGGATTTGAAGAAAGTGGTGACAGGCGAGTAAATTCCTCTTGGTACAACTTGATCAATTGTCATGGTGGCTATTTAGATATTATATTAATAGTAAGATAAATATATATGCATATGAAAAATAAAGAAATTGTACAGGTTTTCACTATCTTTAATACTTTATTGTAGTATAGCAGATGTATTAACGGCCCCGAGCTTTGAAGACGAAATGAAGATGGGGGACTTAATGTGGGGTAAAACACAGGTGAAATTTGTAGATGGGGGAGCAGACATAGGGGCACTTTATCTGGGGGGTATTATAACCATTGTTTAAGAATAGGCTACAGTTAGTTCCCAGTTTGCATTAATTTCATCTAGCATCAAAAATTAAATTTAGTAAACTTATATTAATTGTATATTATAGATTTAGCTACCAACCTCTGTGAGGAACCCAGATATCAACTACCAAGTCACTACCTTCAACTACAAAGTACCAAGGATAAGATGCTGCTGTTATACACGAATGTTGTGGGATAATCGAAACCCTTGTACCAATTGGGATAAACTCCGTCTTCTCTTCGCCATCCAACGGAACCAAAATCCCATGTTCTTGGCTCAATCTGCCAACGATCCAATTTTCAAATCCTTTCGGTTGCACTATTCTTCCATGCCCAGGTAAAGGACCAGATTCTCTTGCCAAAGCTATAACTCCCGCATTGATAAGCTGCTCACCAGGAGCCTTGTCACCTCTTTGCGGATAAGTAGAGATAACATCAGCAATTACCAGAATAGAAACATCGTCATTGGTAACACAGCCTGTACTGACTTGTTGCAAATCGCAGAACGGATAGTTACCGGCGTGCAATTCTAATTTTCCCAGTAATGACTTACCACCAATTTGTGCTTCTACTTCTTCCATTTTCAATATCTCAGAAGCATGAGCTGTTGGCGTTGCTCCAACTGATATTTGCAACTTTAACGTTGGATCAATTTTCAATGCAGCCGATGCGGCGCAGTTCGCATGCACTATTTCTTGAAGCAAGAAGTCCTTCGCAGCTCCTTCAGATTTCGACAGATAAGAATGCCCTGCATGACAATAAAAACCATATATTTCAATAGTTGACTTATACTTTATGGCCCTTTCTAGCGTTTTAGATAAGTATTCAGAATCGTTTACTAAACCTGCACGTTTAGTTCCCATATCAATTTTAATGAAAATAGACCACTTTTTCTTTAAACCATGAAGGCTTGAATACTCATTTAGAATGTCAAGCTGCGCTTCATTATCGAGCATAAGACGAAAATGGTCGAAATGTTTGGAAATTTCCACTATCTCGGAGAGTCTGGATTCAACGACAGGTAAACTGAAGAGAACGTCTTTCACTAGACCTCTTTCTGCTAAAGGAACAATTGACCATGCTTCGCTTAGAGTTGAAACAACTAACTTATCTGTACCTCCATTTCCCAATTGAAGTAAGGTACCTTCTACGGTCTTATGCGTCTTAATATGAGCACGGAAATCAGCCTTCAAATTTTTCAGATTAGCCAACATCTTATCGGCATTGACTTTGAACTTTCCGCGGTCTACGATGAACGACGGAGTAGGAAGATCAGAGATCTTTTGTCCAACATATTGCTTTAGGAGATCTTCTTTATTAGGGATTGTAGTAAGCTGACTAGGAAACTTCATGGTATTCGTTTAATAGCTTTGGAAAGTAAAAGAAACGTACATAAAAGTGGTTAGGTATTGAATTCCATTGGGCTCTTTAAGAATAGAAGTTTCGCGCGGAATTCATTCTCCTCTCTCGAAAATCTAAACTGCAACCTCAACAGTGGATGGGGGGATGGGGGGATGGGGGA